GTGATATTGGATCCCGCCACGCCAAACCATCTTGATGATCTCATATCTTTGAAGGATCTTGTGCAAAGCAAGCTTGCCATTGATTACGGCTGTGACAACTTTTCTGATCCAAGTTCTGTGCAGGATGCACCGAAACCTCTAACCCTCCTGGAGAAGGCTAGGTGCAATCGTGCGTCGTGTGTTGCTGATGGCGGCGCTCCCGATCCAACGTCGACGCAAGATGAGATCGACGTGTTCTTTTATGAAACTCGAACAGCGGATGATTCGTATGCGGGCACCATCGAATGATGGCGTGCAACTGGCGCCAAGCACTTCCCGCATATCGTGCTGATGGCGCGCGACAAAGTAATGTGGAAGTGCTCATCGGTTCCTTCTGAGTCGTCATCTTCGAGAGTAGCCATTTTGCGCGCTGACCAGTGTCGTCTTGTTGACAAAAATCTGGAAATGATGATGAAACTCCGTTCATGGAATTTTCTTTTGGACAACATGGCGAAACGTTCTTAACTTCAATGCTCATTGTAAAATACAACACCATGCTTTATACGGCTTGAAACATCCAATATAATCAACTTGAGTTGACTTAGTCGTCGACTAACCGACTTGACTTCGACTAAGTCGACTAGCAGCCCAATGTTAGTGGACTTGAGTCGAGTCGTACCCATCCCTACCAAACTCAACCCATACCCATCAGTTCGGGCGGGTATGATGTGGGTCTGGTATGGGTATCCGATGCAGTCTCCGCTTTGCTGTGCTTGGGAGCATATTCCATCACACTAAAAGTGAGTTACTCAACCTAGTAGAGTATTATGTTGTGATGCATTTGATGGAGTAAACTAAATATCAAAAGTATGATTTTGTAAAGATGAATGATTAAGGGCTTGATACTATAAATAATTTGTTAGAATTGCGTGGGAACACAGATCAATGTCAGGTTGAGTTGGATTAGACGTGATTGAAATTAACAATGCGACATGTTTATTGCGTTTGTGACTTAGAAGGTTTTTGAAGAAAATAAGATGAGAAAAAAAAGTTTAATTGTTGGATGAGCAAAGATAAACAATTCAAGTCTAGAGCAAAATGTTCTTGTTGATGAGAAATTGTATTATGTTGAATCTTCACATACTGAAGCTTGCATTTGTGAATCAAAACAAAATTCAATTTATAGAAGCAATTTACTTCAAATCTATTGAGAAAAAAGTCATGTTTATTGAAATTGCTACCGAGAGAACTTGGTTAACAACATGGGAATTCTTGAATGGAATTTGACATGGACAGATTCACATCTAAGAACGATGTGTGTAAAAAAAATTGAGTTTTAATTCAGCCTCAACTCTATATTGATGCTCTATCTAAAGTCACCCAACTAAAGTGTTGTTGTCACTTAACGGAATTTAGATATTCTCAACACCAGTTGGAGAACAGACAAGCGTTATATGCAATAGTATTGGGTTCACAAAGACTTAAAAAGTATTTCACAAGAGGATGGAGAAATTGGATGAAATCAACCTGGTGGTGGCGAGATGAGATCATGAAAGTGAAAAAGGATTTTATCAACTGTTAATATGTAACAAACGCAAAGAACACATTACTGTGATTTAAAAAGTTCTTTGAATTATTTAAGATGTACAAGACAATTTCACTGTTAAATATAGTCGCATAAATCCTTATTACCCTTCGTTTCTTGAAAATGATGAAGATCTCACTTGAGTATTTTTTGACATTATCTTTTATAAATTAAGATATAAGTGAAAACTAAGGAAATCTAAGTTACAGTCGTAAACTAACAGAACTGTAATTAAATTTTTACCTAAATTCAATCATGTTAATTTTGAGAATTTTAACACATGTTTTTTTATCTCAAATTGGAACCAGTATTTATTATACATAAAAAGAGACCATTATCTTCCACTTATATAAAGATTCATGTTTATTTCAACATATGAATCTTACAATTAGACATGATTTTGAAAACAAAATATTTTGGTAGACAGCTACGTTATCTTCACAAGTTTTATTGTTAGCTTGGAAAAAATAGAGCGTTATGGATTAAGTTTTTGTTCAGATTGATGCAAATAAATCTTCTTTAGAAAGTTCCGACTTCACAAAATTGGTTACAGGAATATATGACTTCACAATCCCAAACAGCGTCTTCAACAGTGCAGTTTGGCTATGACGGTAACTGTTATAAAGAGAGACAAGAGAGTGTCAAGAACATAACAACAAATTAAACATGAGCGGGAGAAATTAAAAAAGTGCAGTTATGAAGCAATGTTTTGAATATTCTTCTTTCAACCATGAAATTTATATCTTATCACACTACTTCGCCAGGAATACACACTTATACTCACATATGAACACAATGAATACACTATTATGAAACTCATACCAACTTGATCAGAAAATAAGAATATGCTTTCTTGTGTGCAATCCGTGATATCTTGTTCGTTGATATTTTTGTTGAATTTGTAGCATAGTTGACATTTTGATATTATTCTCTCTGAGCACAAAACTGTGCTCACATGTCTTTTTACCCTTATGAGAGTAAAAATTGTGGATTTAAGCTCTTGCAAAATTATGCTTGGGGTTTTCTGAAAGTTTTGGCAAGATTAGGAGTTGGTGTGATGGTTAGGGGGCAAAAGGTGCAGAAGGGGGCCTTCGGGGCAAGGTCTTCGGCGAAGTGCCTTCTGTGAAGTCCCTTCGGAGAAAGGCCTTTGGCGAAACAGTGAAACCCTCATAACGTTTTCAATGTGTGACGCCTTGACTCAATTAGTGTCTTGTTGGAAAGAGCTTGCGACGCTCGTTCCAACGAGACCAAGAACTCTTGAAACGGATAAGGCATCACCGAGTTAGAAGCGGCGGAAATTACTGATATGGAGGGCTTTCGGCGATACGCCTTCGGCGTTAACACGCCTTCGGGGAACGGGCTTTCGGGGGAAGGACTTTCGGCGGTTGCAGGCCTTCGGCGGAGGAGTAAAACCGTCATAACTTTCTCAATTCGTAACGCCTTGACTCAGTTAGGATCTCGTTGAAAAGAGCTCGCGACGCTCGTTCCAACGAGCTCAAAAACTCTTGAAACGGATCAGTCATCACTGAGTAATGAGCGTCGAAAGCGGCTGTCATGGTTAGGCGAAAGGCCTTCGGCGATAACAGATAGAGAGGCCTTCGGCGTTAACATATAGAGGAGCATTCGGCGATAACAGATAGAAGGTCCTTCGGCCCAAGGAGTTGCAAGTAGGAAGCCTGCGCATAGGCGGCCTGCCCGTAGACGAGTTGCGTGGAGGCGGCCTGCGCGTAGGCGGGTTGCGAGTTGGAAGCCTGCGCATGGGCGGCCCGCGCATAGGCGAGTTGCGCGTAGGCGGGTTGCGAGTAGGAAGCCTGTGCATAGGCAAACGCCTTCGGCGGAAGAGTAAAACAGTGATAACTTTCTCAATTCTTAACGGTTTGACTTAGTTAGAGGCTCGTTGAAAAGAGCTCAACACGCTCGTTCCAACGAGCCCAAGAACGTTTCAAACGAAGCAGGGATCTGTGAGTTATGAGCGTCGGGGTGACTGTTATAGATAGACAAAGGTGTGGATGAGTGTCTTCGGTGGGAGGATGCCTTCGGCGGTGCGCAGAAGAAGATTTCGGACGGCGGATGTTGACGTGGTCATGAATAAAGACTATACAGGTGTGGCAGTGGCGGCGGCGTGAAGTCAAGCGTGGGAAATATGACGGCGGGGCATGAGGTCGCACATGGGAACCAGGCCGTTGCCCATCATCGCGGGAACGGCATTCAAGCGGCCTGCGGGCAAACGGCCCTTGGACATTGGAGAGGATTATTCGGCCTGCGAGTTGGGATCGTGTGGTGTGCCATTGTGCGGAGACGCTGGTGGGATCGGTAGGAGGAATAGAGTGTGGACGTGATTGATTTTCGCAGGGAAGTGAGAATTAGGAGAGGGGTGTGGAGAGTTCGAAGAAGGAGGAAGCAAACTCTCGTGGGTGGAGAGTCGTATCTGAGAGTGAAATTAAATTGGGATTTGAGATTGAAGTGTAAAATCTGTGAGTGGGATCGGAGATTGAAGTGTAAAATTTGTGAGTGGGAGCTGAAATCAGAGTGAAAGATCTGAGAATGGGAGCTGAGAGTGAAGTGAAATCTGAGACTGAAATCTGACAGTCGGGATCTGAATTTGAAACTGAAAAGGGAGAGTGGAATCTGAGAGAGGAATCTGTTGGGGTCTTAAGGTGGAAGCTGAGAAATCGACACTGAAATCTAAGTAGGAATTGGGAGTGGGACTCGGAGCTAGGATAGACCACAGCGGCTGTGGTATTGAGAAAGTCACCCAGAGTTGGGTTAGATCTTTATGTAACAAAGAGCTTGTCTGCTGCTCTTGTGGAAATAGCAGACAGTAAGTTATTATTTTCAGTTTTGGATAATTTGTTTGTGAAAGAGCAAGTGTTTAGGATCTTGTTGTCTTGGATACACTTAGAGCACATGGCTTGAGTTCAGCGAAGTTAGATTATGGAAGCTCGAACCCCCACCTGGACTACAAACGCTGAAGGGTGGGAAGGTTCGGCTCACATTCTCAGTGGAGTCTAGCCCCTGATTTACTTTCTGGTTACAATTTTGATGGGTTACTTCCAAAAAAAATAAATAATTATTTTTAATCAGAACCACCAGATATAAACTTGAAACTAGAGGTCTATGAGAGGATTTACCCATATGTTAAACTAAGTTGCAGGTATGGTTTTTCAACAGAAATAAAACCATTTAAAAGAGGAGAAATTATGGATAAAATTTTGAAGAGTGTAGATCCTTCTACTGCTTGCCAGCAATGGAGTTAATGCACACCTCTTTAAATTCGGAAACTGCACCTTAAATGCCAAAACTGCCAAATTTAACGGTGCCGAGGACGCCGAAAATAAAACCGCAAAAATGAGTGAGTGTAGAGTTTATGTTGTAAAGTGTAAAGTGTAAATGGGCTTTGGCTAAGTTGAACGCGGACACATGTCACTTTGCCAGGATGGTGGTGTCAGTCAACAAGGTGCTCGCGAACTCTAAAGCTTGCGGCACACCGTTTCAAGCAAAGCATGAAGTCGAGTATGGCATGAAGGTGGTGGCTCGAGATGCAAACGGTGTCGTTGATAGTGTACAGTGCCAATTCTGCCGTTTCCATGGCCGGAAGCGGGTTCCTGATGCCAAACGCAAGCGTAGCCAGAACATCAAACTCTTTGCACCACCTTACCGAACTGACAACTATCAACTCCATCACAGAGAGACTCACGTGGGCAAGTGGATCGAGTACAAGGCAATCTCGTTCGAGGACAAGAGAGTGTTCTTCAACAAGCGTCCGGAGTTCAAGTACACGTTGTTCTCCTTCTCCGACGACGCGAGCTCCACACTGATATTTACCATAAGTGCGCAGATTGTCAAAATTCTGATTGGCGAGTTGTTCTTCAACTCCGAGGACGAAACGATCTTGGCCGAAAGAGCGTTGAAGCTATTTCGGCATCAGAAGGACGATAGCTTCAACGTTACAATCAAGACGCCGCTTAGATATTAGCTCGTTTTTCAACACACATCAGCCGGGCTGTTGTTCAGGCAGACCGTCATTGTCATTCAACAACATTAAAAGCTCACCAAGAACACAAAATTGACTGGAGTGACCGATGCTTTGATCAGCGGCTAAGTCCGTATTTTTGTTGCGGTCGCCATGCAGCATCTAAACAATCTGATGAAAAATCCGTCGATGTGGGGTTTCTCGTTTGCGTGCGACATGAGCACTCACATGGGTATTTCATTCATGGATCAACGTCTGCGTCTGGTAGTGGATGGTCTCCTTGTCAACCTACATTTGCTGGCCATTCCCATATTTGACCAGCACACCGCTGTTAACCATGTCAATTTGATCACAAAGGTCATGGACGTTATCAATTCTGGCTGGCGCGAAAAGCAAATCGGCCTCTCTTCAGATGACGAGACAGGCTGTCGCGGTGGAGTCATCACCCTGCTCGAGCAACAGGAGACGAATGATGTCTTGCGCGTCTGGTGTCCTGCGCACCAGATTGATCTTGTCATGAAGGCGGGGTTCGCCAGGATTGACGATGGACAATTCGTCAAGGGAACGAATCGATGGGCTGTGCACCTACGCCGTCAGACGAATCTGATCAAAAAAATTGGCTTGGCGTGTCCGAAGCTGACCAATCGCTGGCTTCACATGGGCAACACACTCGATTGGATGCTAGCCAAGCGCTTGCGTCTGCTGACGCACATTGAGGAGAAAAAGCCCGTTGATGCGCCCACCGAGGTGTGGTATATCGAAGCAGCAGCTGTTGCGGCAATGACGGCCATGGTGAACGCGACGCTTACGAGGATCCAGGCAAAGGACATGATCATTTCGCAGCAGCGTAGTGAGATTGAACATATGGTCTGTCGGTTGTGCACCCTGGTCTCCGCCAAGCTGTTGTCCGATGACCTCAACCTGGTCAGTGCAGATGATGTGTGATCTCTACATTGGTGGCTTCTGGCGGACACACTGATCAACTTCATCGGGGAGCAGGGATCATTCGTCCGCGAGCTACTCCGTAATCTCAGTCTGGACGACAAGCCGAAAGTTCTACGAGAGATTGGCGAATTCATCCTCCATATCCTTGAGGGTATGTGCAATGTCCAAGGAGAACGTGATAGCAGAAACCAGGCTGCCGCTTCACTTGCTCCTGCGGTCATGCCGGCTGAGTTGGTCAAGATGACACCTCGTATATTTGTTGCCGAGATGCTCGACCCACGCCGAGCCCATATAGCAAAGTTCTGGTCTACAGAGCAGGTCGAGGAGATCGAGAGCGATCACCGCTCACTGTGTCGAGAATACATGGTAAACAAACGTGTTAAGACCAACAAGATCATGAGACTATGTTTAACGGTGGCTGGAATAACGTCCAGGGCTGCATAACAGATGGTTCGTTTTGTTCTTTGAGAAAGTTCTGCTGCGGATTTGCCACCGTTTTTGCCAACACAACGTCGGTGGAGTCGGATTTTTCCATATTGAAGTGGGAGAAGTACTATCGGCGGACGGATTTGACTTGTCTGGCACTGGAGGGGATATTCCAAGCGAAACAGTTCGACCTACTTACTCGTCTGTAGTGATAAAACATGAGCATTTGGTAAACTTTGGCAAATGTCGAATTGAAGACCAGGTGGTGCCGAAATTAGCCTATTCTCGGTAGATTAGGCGTTCGCAATTTTACTGAGATCTGAGTTAATGGCACGTGAGAGGTTAAATGTTCAATTCACTAATCTGTTCGGCATGCTCAAATCTACTTTGGTCAACATAAGCACGTTGGATTTCGTATGTCTGTAATTCCTTATTGATGTGTGGCGATGTAAGTCATTCTACAAAAACCACGATCAATATCATGGTGTTTATTTATTTATATTTTAGTTTAAAAATCTACATCATGTACAGGAAACATGTACATAGCAAATAGGGAGAAAAAGAGAAGCCAATAGAGCTCAAAGTATAACTTGATGTCTCGTGCTTTTGTGACGTAAACGCCATGAAAGCCCTACTACTCATTTCATGCTCAGATGCTCTAGTTATTTAACGATCGTACGGTGTGGTTTTACGTGGTGGTACGAACCACATTTCTCGTCATGAGAAATGTTCCACTAATAATATTTTCGTCGTAGTGCTTGACGGGGTCTTCCCCCCATCGCTTATTCTATCCAGTTAGCCCCCGCTTCTTGTCTCTACTCATCTTTGCGGCCATCTCCACTGTCATGGGTGCCGTTTTTGATCGGATAGACCGAAAATCTGAGCATTCCACAGACGCCAGGGTTATCCTCCCCAGTCTGCTTCATGAGTACATAACCAGACTCGCCCCAAGTGGTTGCCCATGAATTCCTCACAATCCAGTAAGGCACACCTTTCGTCGTTGTGCTGTAGCCCACCACAACAACGGCGTGATTCAAATGGTCTCCCGAGCAGTTTCCGTTATAAATTCCAGACGCGTAGGACTTGAAATCTTTGCTGGCATGCATGTACACGACCACAGGCTGTTGTGCGACGGCTAGCATCAAAGCCCTGGAGCTGTTTTTCGTAACGTAGGCGTAGTCGTCGATAGTGACCAAGCGATTATTCCTCTTCTGGATATCGCAAGAGGCAGCCTGCTGTGCCACGTACGGGTAGTCCTCCTCGGAATCGATCCCCTTGTTGTCTTTGGCGATGAATGTGAACGCACTATCAACTTTTCCCCCGTCGCAGCCCTTGCAACCCATGTACGTGAGGCAGTCGACGAGCTCCTGCTCCGAGAGATCATAAAGCTGTCCGGTTCTGATGGCGTTTATACTCTCCACTGCAGCAATGGCGGAGAACGCCCAGCAACTTCCGCATTGTCCCTGGCTTCTGATCGGGTTGACGACGCCTTTCTTCCTCCAGTCTATGGCAGGTGCAGGTGAACCTCGCTGCATTGCTCCGTCATCACCGTACCGAATTATACGGGGTGAGAGGTTTCGGTCGATGAGGTCAATCTCCTCCTCCTCGTCCCACTTTTTCATCAGCATCGTGTCGCTGAACTCTTCGAAGGTAAGATCTGAAAATTCATTCAAGCCCATCTTGAATGAACTATCTTTACTGTTGTGGGCATGTATGTAAAAGAGGTTGTCCTTGAATACCTTCATCCTGTGCAGCTTTTCTGGCTCGTCAACATAGCTCTTGCCATGACGGATTTGCCACGAGCTGAATAGATTGTTTATTCGCTCCTCCGAGAGCAAGTCTTCAGGAACGTACCCCAGATTACTTTCGTCCTCATCAATGTAGGCCGCTGTAGTTCTCAACACTCCCAAAACAACCACGTAGAAACAGATGCCCGCCACCAGTGCTCTCATGATACCCATTGAAGCTGAATTGCGCGTCACCTTCTCTCCTTACTGCGAAATCAACTCCTTTCAGGATTTGATGGTAGCCAGATACGTCTCAAGACGAGCACATTGTTGTGAAGAGAACCACCGGGTTTTATAGGCTTCAGTTCACCCGGTGCTGACCGTGCCAAAGGCTTTCTCGTAAATTAAGAAGGTCTACCATGACATCGCCATCAGAAGCATGGATGAATATGATATGTTCCAGTGTCCATTGCCCACAACCCAAACTCTCAGACATATGATAGAAAACTCAGACTTGTCAGATATAACATCAGCTTCTGTAAATTCATTGGAGATTTCAATGAATTTAGAGGCGTGTCGAGCCTTTTACGAAGTGCATCTTCAGCGTCTTTGCAGAATCATAGTAGAAAAGCAGCTTGACACTGCTTGGAAAGAATTTGTTGACAGTAATAATTTTATTTGCAGCAAAGATGTCTGCAAAGGCTCAGGAATTGCACATTCATAGTAGAAAGGCATCATGACGCTGCCTCCAAAAAAGTCGACGATGTGAATACTCTAATTTGCAAACAAGATATCTCTCAGAAGTTCCCATAAGATAATATATTAGTGAATGCTTTGCACAGGTCGGGGACTAGTAAAAGTCTAATGCTTGACAGGTTAAGGAGTTTCTAACGAGCACGGTGACACGAGTGAGCTCATTAGGAACGTAGAAAAAATCTGATCGATTGTTTCTACGCTCCGGTCGGACTTCTCGTCGTAAATTTTCAGTGACCTTGAATTCTAATTGGTCTTTTTTTCTTGACACTCTTCTCTCCGTTTCTTTCTACTCTGAACTTGAACCATACCGTGAAACCATGTAGCTGACATCACCCCATTTGGCTTGGAAACTTCAGTACTCATAACATATTGTATGTAACCTTCATGTCTGCACTTGATCTACTCCTGCAAAGAGCAGAAAACCGTCTCTGAATCTGACCAGGCCGCCTGTTTAGACATGTGTGATGACATGAAATGGTACATGCGAGAATATCAATATTAGGTGGGGCCAATCAGCATATGTGATTTGATAAAAAAGATCTGATGAACACAATCTCAGCATGTACTTGGACCTTCATTGCTTGCACGCTGTAAACGCGGTCGAGAAATTTTTTCGCCTGCGGCGCTACAGAAATACCTGGCGGAGCCCCCCCCCCACAGAAAAATCGTGGCTCCGCCCCTGCAAACCACTGATAAGTCCGCACCGACAACATTGACAACTTCATCGTTCCCGAAGTACAGAATAGCCTAAATTGCAATAGATTAATTGTATGGGCTACATCCCGATTCATGCTAGATAGAGCATCATCCTTGTTTCTAACCCGTGTTGGTATCAATCCAAGGCCACGTGAAAACGATCCCATTAGACGTATTTCGTGGGGCAAGTGGATATTTCCCGAAGACCTTGAATCCGCGGGATAGATATTTGGAGAGAGATTTGTAATCTAGTGAATTAAAATGCAGAAGTGTTTGGATCATAGTACAATCTCCACTAACAGCAGGCATGGCCGCGGCGGTTATACTAATAGCATGCGTGCTACTAGCATATACTAGCCATGCTTTCTACAAGTGAATAGTCATCTGCAAGTGAATCGTTTGCACTGAGTTCCGAAGATTTCTGCATTGCGATGATCATGATTCTGTGGAAGTATCGCAAACTCTTAATTGAAAAAGATATGAACTCTAGAATTTCAGAAATGCAATCACCAAGAAATTATCATACGGAAAAGCGAGCTCTTGAAAGTGGAACGGGAAGAACGATCGAAGAGATTCTTAGTATAGGTGAGGAGGTGAAGAGCCCGAAATGTCATGAAAGATTCTCATATTTGTTAATCGCAGTCGGCTGTAAAATGATGGTATCGGGAAATAGAAGCTTTTTATTTTACTCCTGGACAGATCTGAATCATGTGTTCTCTCTGGTTGCAGCGCTTCCGTTTGCCGGAACTCAACATGCAAACTTCGACCACCTAAGGGACTGCACAATTCACTAAGGGATCGAGTACCCAAAGAAAATGATATGACGCACAACAACCCACAAATTTTATGCTGCTCATTTGAGTCCTCGGATTTCAACACATTGCACAACACCTGAAGGCTTGACAGCAAACAATTTTGGAGATCACCTATACGTGTATTTCTATCGTATCCCAGAATACACAAGCTCTGAACCTATGTTTAATAGCATAATGAATCATTTTTGTTCAGGGTTATTCACTGGTCGTGTACTTGGATCTAGAGGAACTTGGATCGCCCAAGCTTAACTTACTTTCTTCTTGGTCGAATTGTGAACTGACAACATCATGACAAAATGGACATGATTCGACCCCTCGAGTGGCGGCTGGTGTCTCAGTAAGGTCGATTATAGTTTATTGATGGCACGTAGCCAGCGATTGAAAGCGATTTTAGATAGAACTTGAGGTATGATGGATGGTGTCGAGCTTTCAACTTGAAAAATATTATGGATTTAACGCGATGGGTAATAGGCGTGTTAACTGGATTTGGCTTCAGATCTTCGTCTTCGACTTAAAGAGAGACCTTAGACAAGTCTCGAGAAATCCCCAAATCCATGAACTTGCAAAAATACTCAGTCACGCCGATTCTTAGCTCAAGTGACACGTGGCGAACGTGAATGAATTCTCAAAATAGGAGGTACATGAAACGAACAAGTTATTGACATAAAAAATTTAGCTGTGATAATCCTTGAAATCAAGGTCACAGATGCCGGAAGAAAAGCATTCAAAAGAATATCTGTCGGTAAAGAGCTACAAACTAGTAGAAAGAAAGCACATGTTTTTTCTACAGCATTAAGTCTAGTATGGAATACTCAGTTCACGCCGCTTCTTATCTTAAATGACACGTGGCGAACGTGTATGAATTATCAAGATACGAGGTACAAGAAACGAACAAGTTGTTGACATAAAAAATCTAGCTGTGGTAATCCTTGAAATCAAGGTCACAGATGCAGTAAGAAAAGCATTCAAAAGAATATATGTCGGTAGAGAGAACGCACATGTTTTTTCCACAGCAATAAGTCTAGTACGGAAAAGTAAAGTAAATTAAACTATGCCTGCAGTATTCAAAATAGTCACCAGCATCAACGGCAAGATGCGCACCCCCAATATTGAAGTGCTTCACTGTGTGAAAAGTCTGTTTGTTATATTATCTTTTGTAAAATATAATATGTTATTAGTGTATAAGAATATCAAGTAACCCTAACGAGTGGGAATTTGTGGATGAATCCAAAATGTGACTTTGAATTCAAAGTGGAAGTGTTCAATCAGAAATCTCGAGCATCGATTCTTTGAGCATCATCTCAATAATAAAACTAATATGTGACACATCAAAAACTGTAAGAGCCGAGATATAATCTCCAAGGATCATTGATAGATTGAGAAACAATCTTGTAAAATTATTCGATAGATCAACTACATGGCAAACCGCCAAGAACATCACCGTAGGCAACGGGTTTCAGGACGGGTAACTTTGGAGGTGCAATCACTAGATGATAGTGTGATCTGAAGTGAGTACTCCACACACAGTATAGACCACACCGTGTAGTTACAAGAACTTTGTTCGCACGGTGTGCCGTCAATGTATACCATTGGGTAAAACAATACTTCATTGATCTCATTAAGTTATTTGTGTTTCATAGGAGTAACATCAAGTAAGTTACACCCAATTTTCCAGACCGCGCTTTTGTTGGTATGATAAACTGTATAATATATTGTTTCAATCATGCCATTTTTTATACATGATTTCAATGGCTACAAAAATTTGAATTGTGTTGTATTATGAAAGTTACAAAAGATTGAATTTAAGATTTTCTTGCTACTTGTCACAAATTTTCAACTCGGAAATCCTATAGCACGCTTCCTTTTAGGTATATCATCAATTATTTCCTTTGTGCTTTCACGAAAAAATCGATTGATGATATCCCTCCATAACATACTTGATGTCAGGGTAGCTATCTAAGTTACATAGCTTATGGTCATCCATCACGGATTGTTTTATAGAGATATTTGCTTGATGGTACCCCATTTAAACGTTAATTGCTTGATGGTATCCATCAAGTTTGAATTTACCGATCGAACTCCATTGACGGCACACTGTCGGTGAGTTCTAATAAATGTTCTAGTACCAACATTATCTAATTCGTGTTTCTGCAATGGCTTCGACGGCGTGCCACTAGAATTTAACAAAATTGGATATGCTCTTGTCTGCATGATTTTTCAACCCAATTGAATTTATCGAATCTTCTGGACATTAATGATTGCACTCGCATTTAAAATCAATCTGCACAATCACATTGAATTGGAGAAATCAATATTGAGTCTGAAAACAGTGATAGACAGTGCAATATCATTGGCAGTATACCTTTCACCTCCAGTAATTGTGGGTTCTTTTGTCAAACCATCAAATTTCTGCTCTAGCAAATCTGCAACACCAGACTACCACAATGAAGATTTCTGCGCACATGAATTGCTGCGGACAAATTCATCCTTGAAATAACGGTACGTTATTAAGGAGACAATTTGACGCTGACTTGGATCTTTCCGTGGAGTCCCATCGGGTAAATTGAAACTTAATGGGTCCCATCAAGCAATTTATGTTTTGATGGGGTCCCATCAAGCAAATCTCTCTTGTTTTATAGGATAGGATTCTATTGACGGCACACATACTTCAAGTTATAATATCTACTTACGGTTCAGGAGAAGTAATGAGCACTAGCCGGATTGAGTTATGATTGCGGATAGGTGCAATACTCTCTTTTTTTGCAATGTGAAGAAATGTATGATCCAAGTTATAATATCGACCAACGTTGCTGGAGGAGTAAATAGCAGTTGGAGAGAGGGATTGATGAAAGATCGCGGATCAATGTAATTATTTTTTTGCAATGCAAAGAATTATGTGTAGAGAAAATTTTAAACCATAGATTCTATGTCTCGATGTATTGCATTCCATTCTAAAGAACTTTTGAATGTTGACCTACTTAAAAGATCAATTCATTGGAAATATATATCGGTTGGTTGCAATACCTCCATAATATAAGGCCAATTCTTTTATCTTCATGACATGCGTTCTTAGAAACTAACTGCAAGTTTTGGAAACTTTGAGTCTCGTGAATCAAAATGAGACAGTGATATGCATGTTTTGTACGAATACTACATTACTCCATCCGTAGCCACATTGATGTCTCCAAAAGCATAACGTGATTAGTTCATCCTATTTTCAATAAACGTTTCTGCACATTTACAAAATCATTCATGCCGGCAATGCGCAAGATTATGATAGTTGGTACTGCATTGTCAAAACTTGCAGTCAAGTTGGAACTTCCAACCTGTACCTTTTTAACTCTAACCCACACCATGTAGTAACAAAAACTTTGTTTAGAATTTGGTGACATTGTGTCGTCGTTGGAGTTCCATGAAGTAAAACATGAACAAACATTTTGATGAATCCTACCAAGCTATGTATGATACAGTTGTTCCATCAAGTAATTTTCTTTGCTTTCACCCATTTTCAAGTAGATTGCGTGTTAGTGAATGTTACTAATAATAAAGTATCATCTATTATCATGAATTATCTGTAGACACTTTCATGAAAATGTTTAACATCCACACCTATCCCACCTGATAGTGATACTAGTACTAGATACCTGATAGTGATAGTGATACACCTATCCAAATAGATACTTCTCTCACTTGATACTATTCATGGCTGATTATGTGTATTTATATGTATAGTGGTTGGCAATTTTATCAAACCATTTATTATGATGCATTTGAAAGTTTGAGCATATCTCTTTAAATAAATCCTTTGATGCATTTAAAATTGATGTTCAATATTTTAAAAGAAATATAGATATGTGGAGGTGAAATATAATGTGTAGATCAAATTTTGTATAGTGGGAATGAATTTTATTTTTTAGATAAGTCGATATAATTCATCTAATTCATAATCATCAATTTAATGAGAAAAATATTTTTAAATTAATGAATTTACAACCAAAATTATAATAATGAATCACGTTTGAATCACATATACACCATATATCTTATCAATGAAAAATCAAAAATATATATATAAATGTCAATTATATCATATAAATATGCCAAAAAGTAAGTGTTTGCTTCATATACAATGATAAATTTGATGGTTATGACAAATAAATTGCATAATCAAAAATGATTTCTTGCAAAACTACCATATATAAAATTTTGAAACACATATTTTTGTTGAAATATATTGTGAAAGAGTTTCAAAGATTCATTATAAGATAAAAATAATCGTTGAATTCCATGTGTCACAAAGTGCAAAAATATAATAGATATTTCAATTTTTATGTTTTCACTTAATTGATGTTAAATCATAAAAACTTGTAGATATATAGTTATTTTAAAACATAAAAAAGTGCCAAAAATTCATATTAAAAAAATACTTATCATCTAATTTAGTTTGTAAAGTAGCTGAAACTTTATCCAATATAGTTAAATTATTTATATGTTTGAATGTATACGCATCTGAAAGTTTTTATATTTAAATATACAAATATATAAACATATTAGTACACAAATGATATTATAATACTTTTTGATACAATTTTTATAAGTCTCAAATCATAATACTTATGCTTGTAAACAATTTATTTGATGTGCTTACGAGTTCACAATCTCAAAAAATAATGGCTTGTATGTGATTTTGAAAAAATATAATTATTATGCTTTTCAAATCGAATTTTAATTTTCTAAAAAAACATCTACACATAAATCATTTTTGCATGTTTTTATTTATAAAAATTTGTTAAAATTTACATTTTAATATTTTTCATTATTAAATTTTCATTTGATATTTTAAATAAAATTATTTGATTTTTTCAGTATATTCACTATCGGCTTATTAAATCTCTTTAACATAAAATTTAAACAATAGAAGAAATTTCAAAACTATCAAGTAAATTTTCTCCAAAATTTTTTGATTTAAACATAAAACTAATAAAATCTAATTTAATTTAAAATTGAAAATTAATATCAAGATTATATTAAAAATTCTATTAATTTTTTAAAAAAAATTGAAACATGGATGTCAATAATACAAAATACTTTCAAAAAAAATTTGAAAATATATGTTAAGATTTAAATGATGAATCTTTGTAAGAAAAATCTGCATAATTTTATATAATAAAACTATTTATTTTTAACTTCAGTTTGTATGATAATTTGGACTAGGAGATTGACATCCATTAAAAGTGGAAAAGATATACATTGACATTTTAGGTACCTAAATGTGTTAAAATTTAACAACAAACACTTCATATGTTATGAGCATTCAAATTTCACGGAATCAGAGATCATTTATTGAATCTCTAAAATATGTCATCAAACAATAAAATTAATTGTTTTTACATAGTCTCCACCTGATTAATCTATCTAATCAAAGTTGAGCTAACTAGAGCTAATCAAGACATTGATTAACTTCTAAATATTTCTCCTGAACTCATGATTCATATTTGAAAATTCTTGGAAAGAAACATGATTCATTTGTAAATTGAAGATCATTGGAACTGAATTGAAAATTATAATTTCTATGAGTTTCAATCATCTTTAATTTACAAATGAATCTACAAGCTACTATCATTACAATTTATGTGATTTTAGTAGCTTAGTTAGAAAGTGTTGATTTAATGTAGTTTAGCTTCCCAATTAGTTGAGCTTGTTACATTGTCACCATATAAGATTGAATTTAACATTAATCTTGACAAATTCATTCCATTTATCATACCCTAGATCTCTAATAATGTGAAAATATTTATATATATATGTATGTATGTATGTATGTATATATATATATATATATTATATGTTGTTTGTCATTTGATTTGTAAGAATATGTAATGCATTTGAATATCACAATGCAAATCAATAAACTCTTATATCAATCTCATCTCAATAGTAAATTTATTCAATTTAATAGCTTCCTTGGATACTAGTGCCAAGGAAGATATTTTATTCTATCTAATTCAGTTTTTGTTGTGGACTAAGGTATATATTTCTGCAAAGTAAATTTTTAACTAATGTATCTATCATCAAGTGTAAATACATATTCAGTTGTAGAATTCACATTGTTTTAATCTTTTTCATAGTCAACATCAACTTGATCTAGCAAATATTTGATACTGATTTTTCATTTTTGAAGATTGTGATATTGAGTATGATGAATGCAATATATTTATCTTGGTAGAGCGAAATCATTTTTCTTTTAGAAAAATTCAAACCAGGTCAATAAATCCGAGTAGAATGTGAGATTCAATTATTGATGGATTTTTAGCAAACGACAGGAGAAGAATTTTCAAAACCATATTAACGGCTAGAAATTTCATATTCAAAAAAAGTGATAAATCAATTCATCATTCAACTGAAAATAAAAGTCTGACTTTATTTTTTTTTATCCTTATCAATGAAGTTATATCATATAGTGAAAAATGTGATTCATTTGATTAATTTATTCCAAAAATTTAAAGAATTTAAAATAAATTGATAACAACATTATCTAACTTCACAATAATAAACACTTCAAAAAAACGTAGAAAGAAAATAAAAACTACTGTGGTTCATCCTAGTGCAGGAAACATACAAAATATATTACCTAGATTTAAAACTGTATCATTAAGAAGTATGATAATTTTTCCAAGTTCATATATCATTAATTTTTCTAAAAAATCATAGTTAGAGTTTATTTTTTTTATTTCATTGAATCTTCAAAGAAATGATAATTCTTTATAGTTCTTATTCATATGACAACGAAGAATCTACCAACTTTGTGTATGATTGGAAGCTGTAGTCAAATGTGAAATCAAAATTTCAAGTTTTATTTCACATTCTACTATAGTTGTATGTGATTTGAGGTACTTTAAACAATTCGTAACAGAGTTCTATATTACTTCATCTAACTCTTTAGCCCTACATTTTTCTTTCAGAAATATTGATTTAAGATTTTTATTGCAGAATGTGAAATTTATTATTGGATGAAATAATATAGATAGTTAGAGTCTATCACTATACTTCACCAAATCTAAAATTGCGCTAAACTTGACTGTGGAAAAGTTGGTCCCAGAGTACGCTATTGGATGCAATTAGTTTTATGTCTTCTGTAAGGGAATTTCTTTCTTGAACAACTTTCATGTCCTTCTGTTTTAGGACGTAGGTTGGAGATATGAATCTTTCGCACACTAGCATTATTCCTACCACCTGTATGCAACTTTACTTTCGATCATCATGAGAAAAGGACTATGGAAGTTACAGTCGGTAATGGTAACCGAAATATTAGGTAAAGTGGTGAAAATTCGTGAGTTGTGCGTTATTGAATCCAGAATTGACTTCAAAATCTCAGAACTTTTGAATTGTTTGCAATACACATCACTTGAAGAAAAGTTTTTGAAACTCAACTTGCATGACAAAGACCTTCAGACAGGAAATATGTGGCATACAAGTTCATCCAAGACAGATGATATTGATATTGTAGTTCATACAAGATCCTCCCTGGTCATCTATAACATTGTGCTAGAGATTATATTGTTGAACATGCCTCAAACAGCTCTAACGTATACTCCGTGCGTCCACCGTCTGATTGAGTTTGCTACTGTTAATTAAATCGTACCGAAAAAGCCAACCATAATGTACACAATTTTTGAAACAGACAAAGATTTCCTCGCTAACCGTCAATTTGAGACACAAACAATGAGCTAGCAAGTGATGTGATATTGGTCGCCATGTCTTCCGTGAAAGTGAATATAATACTTGTCAGACAGCGTCGAGCTGAAAGCTAAATCAGAAACATTTTAGTTCCTTCTTGGAACTTAAAAAAAAAGCGACAGATCCTTAGAAATACATAATTGGGTAGTGAACAGAGCAAACGTGGAGATTCATGCGAATATTCACTTCAAAATCAACCATGTATATAAGCGTAAACAAGAAAAATATTACAAGAGACGTGAAATACGACTAGACTTACCCACCTAACCCATACAGTAATCCATAAAAACCTTTGGACCCTACTGATCGTGTAAGATACAGGGCAAAAATTGTGCGAGATTCGGAAGCGAGAAGCGATCTACTATTATTCCACACCAAAAGAATACTTCAGTTCGTCATTATAATGCATACATGGTCGCACGCAAGCATACCCAAGTAACGGCGTGAATTTCTCGCTTCGCAGAGAAATAAGTGAAAGTCAGAACTCATTGGCTGACACGGGAAGTTGAATCATGGTTTGCAAGTAGTAATTTGAGATCTAGGTTCGACACATGCACTTTACGGTTACCAGCAAGCATCTTACGTTTCTCTCCCTGGATGATGGACAGTTTAACATCAAGATTTGCTTCTTGCTCTTGATAGTGCACATCGACTTCAAGAGATGCAGGTATCGCAAGGAACTTCCTCAGTCGGCCTGGAAGGAAATTCCGTCTACCGTACTTGCACTACATGAGAAGAGAGTGGGGCCTCAAAATTACTCCCAAAAGAGACTCAGATTCCGACTGTGCATTATGTCCAAATTTCCCGGAGACCGGCATCACTGAGAAGGGAGACATGCTCTTCATTATTTTACTTTCATTAATTCTCACTGAAAATTTTAAAACCGAAAAGATCCGGTACAAAAAAGAAGGGCCCATTTCTGACCAAAAGTCGACAAAACCAAACTGAAGTGAAGCACACAAGCACTGAACTTCCCACAAAGGAAGGTCGGTGATGCCAGAACTGAAAGCCTCATACTCCTTGTCTTGAAGTTACGAAATAAAGGAATGCTTGATCAACTACAGCGTCCTCGACTCGCCGAACCTCAAGACCTCCTGGGAAGCTTTCAAGTAATTGACGCGATATGAACTAACTCTAAGTGAAACAGCACGGTCGACAAATCAAATTTGAGGCAGCAGTGATCTATAATCTCAGAACCTCCAGGGGTACACTAGCTTCATCCTTCTATAGATCCATGAGAATAGAGTAGACGAAATTCACTACACAAAGAGATTTCACTCCGTAAGCCAAAAATAGATGGCAGGCATAAGTAAACAACCTTGGCTGCTGTTCATTGATGTTGCCAGAGTTCATCTTCACTCCAATGACCATCAATAGACTCTGGCCCCAATCTTTCAAAATCAACAGACCAAATTGAAACTTTAGTACAGAAGTGTGTTCTGAAAAAGCAAAGCCAATACAGAGGGAGAGAAAGAGACATGTGATCAATTACAGATTGTGATCAAGGTTTGAAACCGGACACTGGGGAGATACGGAAACTCTTGGATAGTGATACACCATCTTCCTCTTAAACAGAACTAGACACACCAACCACTGACTTGTACACAGCGTGCAGATTCTCAAACAATTTCGGTATGTCAGTAACGGGACAACCTTGACAATTCGATGAACCCAGAAGTTACATGCCCAGTTCACAGAACACGAGTGACTCGTGGCAGGTGGACAGATAAAGTGAAGTACAAGTTCGCAACAGCGGTTCTACAATATGTAGCCTCTTGCAGATGACTCAAACTCTGAAGTTTCTTGACCGTGATGAATCATGCACGGTGCGGTGGATTCGCCGAGAGTACCCCAAAAAAATTAGATAGGTGTTGAATTCTACAGAGGTAGAATACACCTTCGAAAATCGGACGGGGACATAAAAACTACAAGGATAGGAGAAAAAGTTTGTTGGTCTGAGTGTGAGGAGCAAATTACCTCGGGTGTACTGCCTTGGAATATAACTTCGAAAAAGTCCACATGCACTCACCCATCTGGCGTGATGAATCAGACAACAGGTGACTAAACAAGTACCTCTAACGACAACAAAATACTCTAACATCAAAGGTAGGACAAACTTGCACAGATTACACAGAAACTTGAACTTTGAAAAACCTGCACTCACATCACATGTGGTTGTGTGCGCCCCACAACACCTTCATGTATCAGGTAACTGCTGCGATGAGGTTTCAGGGACATTCCTAGCCTCGGTGGGACATATATGCTTTCTATGCTACACATTACCAGGAAAGACACGAGATATGAGTCTGGCCTCTCATAACCTGATTCCATCAATTGCAAGGATGACCTTAGCGGGATGAATGGAGCTCCGTATCTGCAGAGACAAGGTCCTCCTTATGCCTCCAATTTGAGTGTAGCAAAAGCAGACGAGAGCGTTCATTTAAAATCACTGCAAAAAAACTGATACTGTGACACAAACTCAGACCGCACAAACAACAACACTTCACAACCATTACTAGAAGAAAGTGATACTTTTTGCAAACCTGAAAATTTTCCTCGCTTCCATCCTACCCAAAAGCGATGGGTTTGTGTTCCTCCCACAGTTTCATATCATCAGTATCTACCCTGTGAGTAAAGGGCTTAGTATGGACATGAACGGCTGGTAACATGGCGTGTAAAAGCCATCTCGGAACCCACCTTTGCATGGCCCTTAGTCCTGCTCATCAGGTAGTTTGGACCCAGGTAGAAATTACAGTTAGCCCACAGGAATGAAAGTGTGAGCCTCAGGAAATCCTCAAGAGGGTGCAGTAAACATGGGAGTATGAAGTTTTGAGGACGGCAACATCATCAGATGCTACTAATGACATGGAGGAAGTCAAAAAGGTACAGCACCGGCTATGTTTGACGTGAACTCAGAGTTTTGACTTATTAAAGGACGAGAGATTTCCTGGCACAAAACAATTCGGAGCACAGAACGGTTTTGCTGTATATATGGATTGAGGCTCGCACCACTTAGCAAGGATGGTTGCCTCATGAAGAACCCAAGTGCACCACTTAGACCAGAACAGACTGTCCATACTTTGTCTTTGAATGTACTCATTGTTGGAAACCGTCTAAACAAAAGATTTGAATTCCAACACCCAGTCAGACATGGGTAGAAAGGGTAGACGGTTTTGATGATATGTTAGGATATGACGCCACCCCTTCCACACCAACAGTATGCACACGACAAAGCTCTTGCTACGATGAGTAACAGATTTGCAAAACTACCAATCCATCGAGTACCTTGCTACAAGGCCAATTGCATGACCTTTAAGAAGTACAATATTCACGGGCAAAGTACCTTCTTTCTACCAAGACCGAAATGCAAAAAGATGCCTCCAATCGATCAGCTTGTCCTTGAGACATATCTAGAGAATATCCTTGCACATACACTGGATGCCGATCTGCACGCATAGATTTAAAGTATGAATATTACTTCAAGGGCCTCACTAATTTACTGTGCCTTAGGTAAAATCAGCAGTTAATTCTCTGCAGTGTGAATCCATTCCATGTGGTAGTACACTGTAAAATGGCCACAACTGGCACACTAGGTTTTCCTCCCCACAATGGCGAGACCAGAAAGGGCATGCTAGTGATTGAGCAACGTGGTCCTCAAGATACAAAAAAACTCAATAAAATTTGGTGATTATCGCTGATGGTCAAATCAGGACACATACTGCCGATTGTCCTCCAATCAACAATTACAATGCACTCCTACTGGTCACTGAGAAAGGCGATCACCAGGCCAAAGACGAATTGCTCGTAAAATTGCCGATCTAACTTCGTTAGAATACAGGTGATATAACTACACAGTTACTCGTACAACTCGCTAAGGAGAACAGAGACATTTAAACTTACAAAGTCAACTCATCTTCCTACTTAGCAGATTTTTGACAAATATATGATCTCAAATGCTCCACCAAGCGTTCCTTGAGCACTTTGGGCACCAAGTCTTTGCACAATTCTCGCTCCTCCGCAAAAAGCTGCCTACTGTTTCATCCACAAAGCAATAAGATGAGTTAGAAATAATCTTCAATTGGACTTAATTTGAAAAAAAATGGCAGTAGTTTTATAAAAGTGGCAGTAGATCCTCTGCATCTAGTTTTGAACATATACCACAAAACTGACGAGGAGCAGTTCAATCCACGGTGAAGCTGTTGTCCTCACAAACTAGCTTTAAAACCGGATACCAAGTCCCTGTGAGACCCTTTGTAACATTTCACTAAAAGCCATATACAATTCGCCGTGCAGTATCTTTTAATTGAACCACGTCGGACCAACGAGGAGTCTAAAAAGCCAGATCCACATCGGACTGGGGTCCTCACTTGGAACAAACAAAAGGCACATATGAAGACAAGGGTTTACCTCCCCTATTCACAGTTCAAAAAATACAATCCCCACACTCTCCGAAAACATCGCAACACCATCAACGACATTTATGGTAGTAAGTACATTCCACAGAAAGAGGTATCGTTTTCTCTTCTTCCATTTTTGTGTTACATTGTGATATAGGGAAAAAACACGTGTTGTAAAATTAGTGCATATACCCGTGAAGGAAGATAAATAAACATCATATGACAACTCGGAGCAAGCTCTGACCTCAGAGTTGAAGTCTTGGCTGCATCTGATGGCCACAGGCCTTCTGACTTCTTCATCCTCTTGACGGCTCGCAGTCGTTCTCGTAGCTCGTCACCCCAACCACCACCTAGGAGCTCTTCTCGAGTTTCTTTCTCCAATCTGAACAAAGATGAACAAGTACGAGTTATACTTCAAACTTCAATGGTATATTAACTGATATCACATCTGAATGTCAGACATATTAAAAAGGGCCCGGTATGTCATTCGTTGCATTTACAATTATTTGATGAATGGCTTATCATATAAATCATGACACATCAACAGTTGCTTTTCATCCCTCTCTGATAACACAGCATGATAGTATCATCGAACCACATTGCTCATTCCATCAACATCCGAAACTTGTACAAGTACAAGCAGTGCAGTGTAGCAGCTATAATCGAAGGTGGGAAAAAGGCGCAAACAATCAGCGGATGCTTTTAACAACGTAAACCTCACGTAGACAACTAAGTAGAAATAAAATCACACTTTTGAGTGGATTGAATCCAGAGCGAGGCGAAAGCAAATTTAAGATCAAACGCAATAGATGCAGATTCAAAACGGGAACAAACTCAAAGAGAAATAGCCGAACATATGTGCCCTACCTGCTAGTATCTAAAGACTTGGTGGTTAAGCAAATACTTACAATTGCTTGAACCTGCCGATCCCCAACCATTCGTCGCCACCAGCAGACTTCAGTACCTGCCTTTGAACGAAATCACTAACTGGGGTTTCTAGAAGCGGCGCAAATTGTGGATCCTCCGAGGCGACCACGGAACATTTAGCCTCATCTCTCTGCCTCTTGGCTCCAACAGGCCTTGTCTCCTCTGAAATGTCCAACGTAGTATTTCCTGCACTATCGGATCTTGCAACTACAGGGATGCAGACACCATCCGTCGAATCTGCTCCGTTGGACGTACGTGATGAATTCCTCCGTAAATCAAGACCACGAAGGTCGGTACGAGTATTCTGGTCCTCTGGCACCGCTCCTATTTGCGTTCTGTTTTCCAAAACCTTATCTCCAGAGTGTACACTTGAAACTGTGTCCCCGTCAGAATTTAGTCTAGCAGAGGAGCTACCAACGTCAAAGTTGCTAGCAGACTCTTGTTCTGGAACAACGATGCACGGAGGAGAGAATCCCTCACAACTGTGTTTGGCATTGGTGCTGCAAGGCATTGGATTGGGTAGAGATACGCATGAAGGTGAAGCACCCTCAATGATATGCTTATTGCTGAACTGATCATCTCTCCCTGCCTTTTCAGGTGGGTCATTGACATTCCTAATCTTGAACCTCATCTGCTTCTTCGTATTGACACGGCTGTTCACAAGAGTACTATTGGACAACTTGGAATGAGTCGCGCTTGAATGAGGACTACCATACTTTTTAGGTGGTTCCTGGAGGTCTGTATCAGGAGTGGTGGGGGGCGATGGAGTTGAATCATTCCGATTAACAGAAGAAACATCGGGAGCACTGTTGCTTCGTACATAAAAGAGAATATAAGCCTTATCCGCACGAACATTATCAGGATTCACAGGATACACGCTTGCATCATTGCAGCAATACCATTTTCCTCTCGGTTCCTGTAACACGCACATGCAATGGTTTGGCCATATCCAGAATAATGAGAAAGACTGAGGATATCATAAGGTTCGTTACAGAAAAAGAAAAACAGGTATACTCATAGCTTTTGATCCACGGAGGAGTAAAATCAGAGAGAGGAGTAAGCACAAGTAGGAGAACAAAGACGGGGACGAAGACTGTAAGGCCGCATGTGCAAAAGTACATGAACAATGATTTGCTGAAAAGAATTTGGTCAAAAATAAAACGTCATTAATATCCTCACGAGGTAAGGGTGGAGTAAACACCATGCGAAAAGAACGAGTAGAGTTCAGCTCATGAATGAGAGTACAAACTAGGTTTCAGGAGATTGAGAATTGCCAATATAGGATACCAAACCAACACGAGCGTAACTTGTAGCAGGGCATGGAAGCAGCTCGTAGGTTTAAGGCAGCTTCTTTACATGGAGGGATTACACAACAAGGTAGAAGATTTCTAACGCAGCACTTGAACTACAAAAGGTACTGATACAGAAAAAGAGACGAGTAAGTTGATAAAGGTTAAACGTAGCAAAGATAGTAATGGATGATATGTTATATATGGTATGGATGATATATCATATCGTATGGATATATCTTCTGCCTATGGTAGCTCGACACTGAAATATTATGCTTCAACGCAATTAAAAGATTGAAATTCAAGCATTACCTTAACATACGCATAATAATGACCCCCATCTTGAGAATGACCGGCGTGCACGACCACCCCGTAGAGCATATACTCAGGCCGTGCATCCTGAAGAAGTTGTAATAAAAAAACGTGAATCACAGGACTCAGTGACAGGAATCAACTGGGAAAAGCCATAGTCAATAGATATTTGCAATTGGCCAAACTACGCTCCTACACTGGACACCGTCGAGACAAAGTGACAGAACAGTTGATTCATTGCAGGTCAATTGAGCGTGCTCCATGTGTGACTTCGTTGGGCATGTTCTTGATACTTTTATAAACTTCGATAAAAAAGATAGCGAGGATAGCAACCAAGTGTTATCGTACCTTGCTATTTCGACACATGTGACCGGCTAACCCCAAGCGTTCGTCGAAAGCAACATGACGATCAATTTTCCCACCGTAAATGTTTTCAAATCTCTGTTCGCATTCAAAAGGTTCCGATTGTCAACGTCAGATGATGGTTTCTGTAGACTACAATAGCGAACGCTCTTTAAGAAGAGATGAGAAGAAACGAAGACACGGACACAGGGTACAAAAAAACTTCTGTGCTATACAACATTTGCGTTATCCATGAAAAAAATAGCATCATGTTAATTATAAGCGTCCCTCAACTAATTTTTTAACACCTAGAGCACTATTAAGGTATCTGAAGGAGCAGTAGGTCATCTGCCCAAAGGCTTTGCGAAACGTCTGTTAAAAAGACCCAAAAAACGGAAAACCTCCTTACCCAAACCTTTCACATGTTTTCAGAATGAGGATCACTGTCAGAAACTATCGTTAGAAACATGGCGCCTACGAACTTACATGGATATGGACATAGCAGCAAATATACAACATAACGACACGTAAATTGACTTTTACGATCGTTGAGTATTTACTTTAAAACTCTGTTGAGTTGATTTGTTTGAAGACAGTGGGTGGTAGTATCAATGAAACGCATTGTACATTGCCAAAGTTCTTCATAACATGCGTAACAAACCTCAAAACAAGTCATGGCCAAGGAATAAATTTAGAGAAAATAATTTAAATTCAACGAACGATTAAAACCGACAACTAAAGTATCTAATGCTTGGAAATCCACTTCTAGCAAGAAGATGCACCACGCCAGAAGAGAAAAAGTTTTCCTGACCGCGACATTGACTTCATCAAGGAACACTTAAACAACATTGAAAAGAAAATCATGATTTCGTAGCTTTACCTTCAGCTGAATGACTAACACAGTTGGGGCTTTGAAGACTGACAGCTGCTTTCTCGCTGTCGTGGGCTTCTTGCATCTGAAGATGAGATAAGTACGACGTAAGCTTAACATATCAAAGATCCTTTCGTAAGATGCACCAGAATCAAGTGAGGATACAGGCAAGGAGAAGCAATGAAATTGTAATGGAAGCAAAGCCAAGCAAAACTAAGGAGTCCTTTGTCTACAATAAGAAACAAGGGCAAATGGCTCAAGACTGAATAAAGAAAGCAGAAGCCTCTACTGATGTGGGAACTCTCTGCTTCATCACTCATTTAAATAAAGCGAAGCCACTATGGAAGTGATCACTTACTTGCCACAGTGATACTTGTTATCGCCATCTAGTACCTCAGGCATAAAAAAGCGGCACATAGCCTCTCTGAGAGAACCCAACCTGGGCAGGATATCTAGACTCAAATCCATGATATCATCCAGTTTATTTGATTCGGTACCACATACTGAGCACTTTATCTGACTTTGAATGATACCGCCAAAAATCTCCTTGACGATTGTATGTGGCTCCTCCTTTGATTTTCCATCCGCATGCTTAGTTTGGCGATTGCCAGCGGCAACTGGTTTTTGAAGCTGAATGCAAGCACTGTTGCAAGCTTCAATTGCATAACGTAGAAGCTCATGAGCATCCTCCTGGCGGCCAACACGGAAGAGCTTTGTTGACCTTTGAAGGCAATCAAGAATTTTCGTTGGTGAATCCACTGGGACATCAATTGTGAGAGACAATCTGATCCTCTTCTCCAAGAAACAGAAAGCGCAGTTATTGTTGATCTTGTCGTTCCGGGATCCACCTGTCAAAAACAGAAATCAGATGATGAGACAATACAATATACCAACTTCAAAAGGACTGACACAACTACATCTATCCAAATGATACAGACTTAGCCTTCCAAGTCGGGAGGATTCTCTGTTACATGACATATTCTTTGACACACATGAACACAACTTTTTGGAGAACGAAGGGCTTCGATGCAGTTGGAATGAAAAGTGCACACTAAACATTATAAGACCAGTATCTAAACTTAACTAAACATTGTAAGACCAGTATCTAATCTTAACTGGAGACATTTATCTCACGGTTTGACCGGAAACCTACGAGAATTCGGAGTGCAGTAACATCGTCCCGCTATGAACTTTTTGAAGAGGCTAGTCCTCATCGGAAATTTGTTAAAATACTAGGTTTGACAGTTTCAAAGTACCAAAAAGCATGGAGCGACCAGAATCCCCACGAGCGTTCACACCGTCTTTCTCAACGCAGTTGGGCAACAACGATGCAATGTGGAGGTGCCCTCATAAAATTCACTCTACCTGAGGTGCTCAAAAGTAGCTTAAAACATCAGGTGTGAAACAGGGAACTGAATTATAGGAGTAAGTGCTTCCAAATGTCGCTACTACCTTTTAAAAACTAAACGACAAGAAGCAGATGACCAGAAGATATACTTTCTCCACCCCTCTAATGAAAAAAAATACCCTGACATCATAATGCATGGTAGCATCTTGATACACTATTTCCTACAAGATTCATGACTTTAAAGCTCTGGTCAAATGTTAGTTTGAAATAGTTGTGCACCTGTGTAGGTGCATGATCATATCATGAGAACATTTCATTTATTCCGGTTCCAATTACTCCTGCTCTTCTTCAAACTACATCATCTTGACTCTCCTTATTCTCAAAGGCTAGCGATCGAAGCTGTGAGTTGTATGTAGTACACAGCAGGCCATGGTGCATCGCTAACTCCTTTGCTGAATAAGGTGATTCTGTTTAGTTTATTAGTTCTTTAGTTCTTTAGTTTCTAAGTTCATTCTACAGAATGTTTTTCTTGAATTAAAGTTCGATTATCATTGAGACAAAAACGTGACATTCGTATCTACGTTACGAGCTGGTATGACTCACTCGAACAGACTGGGAGAGAGCCAGCATTGTTCAAAACACTTGGCCAGTCCTACGAGTGCGGGCTTCACCTTATTACTTTTGTTCTGGGATTGGAGGTTATAGTGTTGGCTCGCATACCAAAAAGATATTTGCATAACCCTTTCATATATCAAACAACCAAATTTTCCTCGAGTCGTCTGTTACATTCGTTCTTTCTTCCGAGAATAGGATCAAGTAAGAGATTCAATGAGAGAAAGCAGGATGCGCTCCGCAATCGACTTGTGTCGGTTGTTTCTTTATTTCACATGATTTTGCTATATTTCGCCTTCAATACCTAGATTTTACAGACACCTCAGTGAAGTTACCTCAGGTTACCAACAAATCCCTTCCCTCTTGCGAAGTTGTACCCAACAATTCGCGACAAGATATGTATGAACTGTACAATGCGGCAACCTCGGCTGGGCATTTCAGTAAGACGGCTTTGAACAAACCCCATCAAGCTTTGATTCTAGAAAGAAATGAGCATAAAGGAAATAACTCATCGAACGCATTAAGACACGACTGGAAAAGGCTGGGTGCATAGACGAACATGCAGAGGAGTGCTGTCCTTGCAGGCAAAGATTCGCAAGGGGCGGCGTGTATGTGAGACATTGCAGGACGCTATTGAAATAGCACGTATTCCCAAGATTCCTCAATCCCAACGGGCCATCCTTTCGCCGATACGGAGTTTCTGCACGCCACAAAATTTGCGAAGGCTGAAGATGAATAACTTGGGACATGTTGAGGCAGGCAAGACAGGCGCTGCCCTGCTACTCCTCCCTAGCATGATTGACCCTCACCACCATGAACTCGTCACAGCAGCGGCTCCCTTTCCTCTCCTCCTCATCCTCGCACGTCGACCGGCCTTCTTCGACTTCAACACAAAACCAACCCTGATGCATGGTCTGCCTTACAGACCCACGCACACACACAGCGGTTCCGATGCGCAGATTGCTCAGCCCCACCCACCTACCTGTCGTTCAATCTCTCTTCCTCCTTTCTTTTCTACACATCGTATCCTCGGCTTTCGAAAGAAAGCTATCTCTGCTCGATGGCTGGGTGTCACGGCTCTACTACGGGTGCGCGAGAGCCGATCTGAACCAAATCTTGCGCATTGCTTACAGTGGAGCCATCCGGGCTATGTCGTCGACAGAAGGATCGCTCCGGCGTCGGTGCTGCTCAAGCAGCAGCAGCAGCAGCAGCAGCTGTGCGCACCGAGGGCGATCGGATCGTTGAAAGAACCGCACGCGGAGCCGAGGCTGCTCAAAGCATTTGCGCCGGTACCAACAGCAAATAATCAGCAATCAGGTCGGCCAGCCAAAGCCCACGCCAAAGCCAGTCAGTCCACTCGGTAGGGGTCTCCCTCTCTCTTTTTCTCTCTCTCTCTCGATGCGAGTTGGAGGGAAGAGGTAGCGAGAGTGCCAGACGAAGCGGAAGGGGACTACTCCGAGGAGACCAACAGTCTTCGCTCGTATGTGTCTTGTCTCCTACGGTACCTCTATCGCGTTATCTGGTCCTCTCTACTCTGCTTACCCACCTCCTAATTCCGCCCGCCCGCCTGGTTGCACACCACGACTATGGTTCGCCTTCCCTAACGAACTGAGTCCCCAATCCAGTTGGAGGTGCACAGTCAAGAGCTAATTTTCACTCGTTTTGTTTCCCGGCGTATATTTCCTCATATACTCTAGTATGTAACGTTTTGAACCTGGATTACGATGTCGGAGGTAACGACCCACCATCCTCTCACTTGAATCGGAACCTCATACGATGCCCGGTTTTTTCTTCGGCATGGTTGGCGAAGACATTGAAAGACATTGAAATTCGGGAACATATTCCCGCCAAAGACACAGCATCTGACAATCTGCAGTTGCGAGGCAAGACTACATACATGAAAACGCATTTTCTATCGCTCAGCCGCAAGCTGTCTCATTATTTGGTATGATCGAATGCACTTATCTGATTTCTTCACGAAGATATATTTTGAGAAAATTGTCATCGGATTGATTTTCAAGATGAATGACCTGGTTGCTTCGGTTGAGTCTTGTGACAGTTGAGTGACCATGCTTATGTAAGGTAGTGTCTTGCTTTGTCTTGCTTTAAAATTGTAGGTGCGATGATTTACTTCACGGGCGAGATCTCTGGCTCAAGTCCAGGATAGCCCAGCTGCGCCAACATAAATAAGAAAACATAATGATTTATTGTTGCATGATTTCCTTGACCTGGGTATAATCTGGTATTAATTCTTCATATTCTTATTGCACATATCCGTGGTAACTAACAATTGCTATGCACAAGCATGTGTAATTCGGGTGCGAAGATATGGCCACAGTTTGTTGAGGTTTGATGTCGTTGATCACGTTGAATCATTATTATTGGTTTGGAGTACAATAAGACGATGTTTACAAAATATGTTGCATACATCGCTTCTTGCATTGCTCGTGAAATAGTGGTGATGACGTGACAATTGAAATTTAGAATCATTTGAACGTTGTTGTTTTTAGTTATGAGATTGATTCAATAAGTTCATGGATATAAATACTCTAATCATTGAATTTGCTACTACTTTTTCTGTCCGCAAATTAGTAAAATGACTTTATTAAATTTTCAGTTGTATTGTGAACCCAACAAATAGTTTATATAATTATAAATTTCATTTTTTAACATTTAAATAATATTTATCAAAATATTGACAAAATTGAAAATAAATTTCAATATTTATAATATTATACTCAAATATTCTATATAATTCTATTAAAATTGAAAAAATAAATTTATATATGAATTATCATTTCCATCATATCAATTTTTAATTCAGTTTATGTTAAAATTAACTGAATAATTTTCAATCAATAATATTTCCACTTTAAAAAATTTATAATTTTTAAAATTGTCAACAAGAAATATAAATTTTACACTATAATCTGTTTTTTAGTTTTGTTTTCCACTTAACATATCTACTTCTTCACATATTTTACTACAAATATATGGTGTTATGACAAATTTTCATAACTGATGATATATTAAGAAAACATCTACTTCATGTATTGAAATATCATAACAAAATAACCAGATCATTTTTATAAAATATTTTTATTGATAATTTTATGATCTTCATGCAAATGTGTACAAATCATATAAACTACGTCTTTTATGAGCATGAAAATTACTAGTTTCACCTTAGGTGTGCTTCCTCTTTCTTCTCTCTTTCTTCACTATCTCACATTATTGAACGTTACAATCAGATTAACCTCACAAGATATTCAGATTGCATCCAATACAAAAGAATGTGCAATCAGCAAGAGACAATAGCAAGGCACAACCTTTGAAAGTATTGAATTGAGAAAGTTGTAGCATTTCAAATTTGGAGCAGAAATTTAATCACCACAAAACTTGATTGTGGAGCAAAAAAATTAATTATCACACTTAGTCTTGATTTACACTAACGTTGCCTATATGTAACGGTGACTTTGAACATTTAATGTGAAATGCATACGATAAGGATGATTATAATTTGTAGTTATCATAACCTCAATCTTCAAATCTCACCGTCAAGAATCGAACCGTCTAAAGCTCTAATATGGAACTTAGTTCACCTATCATCACTAAGTATATTTTATTTCTAATGGTTTTGGCAAAAGCATCTTTGGTTCACCAAATCTCAAACTCCTTGCCTTTAATAAAACAGAAACATGTTATTCTAGCTTGTATAAAAAAGCAATCAAAGAGTTCCAAATGTTGATACCTCGTATAAGACGTACTCTTAAATTCGAGATCACCAAAATAATAAGGCTTACATGCATGAATTTGACCAGTTCATGCATGCTCTTATAGCACACTACGATCATTCCAGAAAGAGGTTAATATATCCCAAATGTAGAGAAGTCAGCTGACTCAGAACGGCAGGTCTCATAAAAGTTACCAAACAGATGATAGAAGGATCAAAAGCCGTAGGCTCAATTGGCTAAAAGTTGAACAGCTAAGAGAAGAAAAAGCATAAAGTTTCTAATCTTTGCGAGCGACCGCCCACCGATTACCGAAAACCGCTCATGGATCTGGATTTTTGTATCCCGAGGAATGCAGATTTATATGCTTTAGTCAAAACTTATTATTATTTTTAACTATTACCTTGTCTAGCATACCCTCATACCCTCAGGAAAGGTAGACCCTTAAACATATTTGATTCTATTCATAATATGATCATCTCCTATTATCTACTTCAGGAATGCCATGTACCCTTGATAAACTTCGTTGTCAGATGTTTAGGGATAGTTGGATTAATCTGGAGACATTGGGCAGGTTTACTCCAATTTACTTCATACAATCTATTTTTTCTTGTTTTTTGTGTCAAAATAGGTTGTTTAGGATTCAAGTCATGACACACATTTTGTCATGACACACATTTTGTGGTCACTGCCCGCAGTTTTCACTAGAATTCAAGAAGTGGCTCTTTCTTCCTCAGACTTATCTTTTTACGGTAGTAGTAACACTTCTTTGTTTAGGCAGTGTTGGCAATAAGAGCTGAAATAGCATAAATTTTTTTTTAACTCCACATGTAATTGAGTTGGAACAACACAAAGATAACTCTTATAATCAGACAACTAGCTCTCTTTCTCTGAATCCCGGGGCACATGTCTCTGTAGTCTCGAGTAGGCTCTTAAAAACATTTGAAGCCCTACATGCCGCCTATCTCCTATTGGTAATTGTGTTATGGAACAGCACAACAAGCAAGCCAGGTAACTTAACCCCGGGACAACTTTCGAAACTCTAGATGGTATCGACAATGATTGATTCTAATACTAGATTAGTTCGAAACTAAAGAACGGGACTTACAGGTTAATAAATTACAAATTGTTGGAAGTTTATTGAAAAATATATACAATATTTATCTGGGTGGAGGAATTGGACATTTTTTTTCAAAAGATATTCCTCTCTGTATCATACTGAGATGATGGTACAGCCCCATAATTCTATCAACATCGAATATTTTTTCGCTTTTATGCTAAGTCGTAATTATATTATTTTCTAAATTTGAAGGGCTCAAAAATTTTAGGATCCTCAATTCAAAAATCATCCTGTTTATGAGCTATTTCGTAACGCAAACGGAGTTATTTGCACAGACATTACTATTTATTGTGTTTAATCTTACACTCAGATAACGACTACATAAATTGTGACATAGTATCATCAATTATGATGTCACTACTATTTTCACAATTTGTGAGATTTTTTTTCCTTTGTGATTCATGCCTTCAGTGAACGCATGGTACGATGGGTGCTCAACCTCAATTCCTGTCTAAAGTCTCTAGGCTGTGACATGCAGAAGTACTAGCCAGAAGCTGAATACAACTCCTGGAACCACTCATTTCCTCGAGATGAATGACTGTGTAATGTCACGGGGACACCAAGTGGGATAGATGAAGCAGTATCACATTCACACAAAGTGCAAGCGACAGCCGAAGATCCAGCGAGTAGAAACGAAAGAGTTGTGAGACGGATACAGATTCAGGTGAACAAGACCCGATTCTAGATACACAAAAATGAATACTGTATAATTTTGGACGTGAAAATATTATTTTAGAGTTTATAGTCATAAATTTATATTCAAGATGACATGGTTCAGAAGAAGCAAATTTAAAAAAAATATAGCTGTTGAACAGTGAATGAAAAAAGTAATGACAATGCGACAATAGTTTTTTAATGGAAAAGCCAAATTGGTGATAATAAATAGTGTGTAACTTGAAATACTATGTAGTATGAGTTACAGATTTTAAGCCTATTCAAGGCAACAGATGTTTGACCAAAGAATGACATACATATGAAAGCTATGTGAAGACAAAATACTTCATTTTTTAAAGAGATGTGATGTTAGTAATAATGAAAAATAATAGATGACATTTTTGGGGGGTTTAATTTCGAAGATGATCGAGCCTTCAAATTCGAAGCAAAACCATGATGTAATTTGTGAAAGAGTATGTTTAAGTTTGTGTGTGGATTGAGAACTCAATTGAAGTGGACCAATTTCATAAAAATAGAGATCTCTAAGGTTTTGTGTAGGTATAATTGCATAATTTGTACTTGTAAACTAACAGACTCGGCCCTGTAGGCATACACGCGAAATGAGTGATCTCTAAAGGTTTTGTGTAGGTATAATTGCATAGATTTGTACTTGTAAACTAACAGACTCGGCCCTGTAAGCATACACGCGAAATGAGTGAGTGAGAAGTCTTGGTATAGAAGTACGAATGCATGAAGAGAAGAAAAATTTCAGACGGCCCGAAGAGTCTTCTTGCACACAGTTGCGGAAAATCGAAGTGCTTTTCCTTTTGATGTAAACATGAGTCTATCTTATAGTAGAGTAGGATTCAGTCAGGGCAGAGGGGATCGCCTGCTTTGGTAGATACTAGTTTCTTCAGTCGAAGTTCACACAATACGGGAAACTACAAACCAACCGATGCAGCTCCCAGATCAGCTCGGAAATGTCAGGTTTAGCATATGTATCCAAATATGTACATATTCAGTGGCTTTCGTCACTACATTCACAATCAGTCGAAACTGTGCAGATTAGTGGTACGCATTTAGTACATTGATAATACATCTTGAAATCAATGAGATTTATCAACAAAGCGTCATGAGGTTAATACTTAGAAGTTAAAATTATATTAATTTATATTGAAAAGAATTTAAATGAGATGCTTCAAATGAATTTGAGTTCATCTAATGTTCTTCGTTACTATTCACATAAAAACATAAAAACAAAAAAAGTTTGGAAAAAAATATACAAATGTTTTATTAGCACACCAATAAACCTTACTTACATACAGACTTTTGAGTATTTGCAAAGCGAACCAATCACCATGAGAGTTGAATCAAATCACGAACTTCAGATAGTTGACGATAGTTGCTTCCCCGCAATCCATCGCCCGTTGTGATGTCTGTATCGGTCACAATTGCTGGTTCTAGCTGGTAGGAGACTGCTGGAAGGATGCAGAAGAATGGATCGTGGTTTGGAATAAGCGAATGAGGTCTTTGAAAGTGAGCCACAGGAACTGAACCTGTGACCTTCGACTAAATTGCCTTCTGGGTGGAAACGAGGTTCTCAGATCTCGTTTTATACTTTGCAGGCTAAGAGTAGTGGCTGCCGAAGTGGTGCAGTGAACAGGGGTTGGTTCTGGGAATTGACAAAGAATGGGGACAAGGAGGAACATGGATGTGGGGTTTGTTGGGCACACTTTTGGCAATCATGGCTTGTGCCGAGCCGATTAACTCACGGACGCTGACGAAATGCGACTTGCTCCAGACATATACAACGAAGGTCCTCTAACAGTGGACCTGTTCTCTGTTTCCACGGATGCGCTCTCGGCTCACAAGCATCGCCGGAGCTCGAAAGAAGCCTACGCCGCTTTGAAGCTTACGGAGGATCCTCCGCGGCCTCTGTTGATCGCTGCTCCTAAGACTGCCGGAAGCTACCATGTAATTCTGTTCCAGCATAGCTACACTATGAAAACACGTTCTACAGTCACACGCTCAAGAATATTGCCTGCTAGATGTCGATACTCGATATTGAACCCCCAATCGCTGAACCGAACTGGTCGGATGTCATACCGACCGGTCCCAGACCTTCCCGGGCCCGTCTTCCCCGTCCGCATTCGGTCGCGTGCTCCGTGATACTCTGATCCGGGCTCGGTATAAGAACCCCGGGGCGGTCCAGTCATCCGCTCGCGTGGCATCTGTAAGATCTCGGGCAGGCGCCTTCGGCTCCGACCTCAGCGAGTTTCGCTGCTCGCGGCACCTTTCTATTCCGGTTCCCACTGGGATAGAAGGTGACGTAATACCCTGAGCCGGTCTCGGTGTTAGAACCCCGGGGCGGTCCAGGTGTCCGCTTGCGTGGCACTGTACGGTCTCGGGAAGAGCCTTCGGTTTCGACCTCAGCGACCTTCCCTGCTCGCTCGCGGCAAATTTCAATTCCAGTTCCCACTAGAATAGAAAGGTGACGTGATACACCAACCTCTCACTTGGTTTTTTTTTGTCCATTAGCATTAGGAGATGTATTTCGATAATAATACAAAACACTAACCGATATAAACTATATTTTTTAAGTTTTAGAAATATTGAATAATAAACAGTCAGAGTTAATCTCGGGTCTATACGGTCTCGGGCAGAGCCTTCGGTTCCGACCTCAGCGAACTTCCCTGCCCGCGGCGAATTTCTATTCCGATTCCCACTGGAACAGAAATAGAAAGGTGACGTGATACAGTAACCTCTCATTCCGACCTCAGCGAACTTCCCTGCCCGCGGCGAATTTCTATTCCGATTCCCACTGGAATAGAAATAGAAAGGTGACGTGATACAGTAACCTCTCATTTAATATGTATTCATTTAAGTACGTAAAATTTTACTGAAAAATTGGCATCAAAATTTATTTAGTTAAAAATGCAAATTTGGAAGATTTTTATGTTTAAAATCAATTTTTGGTTGAAATTTTCTCATCTAGCATTAGGAGATATATTTCAATAGTAGTACAAAACAACTCGCCCATATGAATCATGTTATATAAATTTTAGATAATATTGGTCAATAAACATTTTGCAGTTCGTTCAACTCTTTCAGTCATACATGATAGTATCTGATCACTTCGGTACCTCTTATATAAGCATAAGTTTTGCAACCCTCATCATTGGTTTAGCCAAAATTCATAAATTTAATGCAATATTTTTTTATTTGACAATTGAGTAATAGGAAAAAATTGGCCTTAACCATGTCAAAGCATTTATTCAAATTCATTTAAAAAATCAACCAGATTGAAAATATTCTCTTTAGGTTCAGATGTTTCGTGAGATCATTTTAGTATTTGTTAACGATTGTTTTCTTTTTTCAATTGCTTCATTAACTTTGTACTCGTAAACTTAAGCAATTTTATCAGAAGCATCGGTGTTATTCAAAGTAGATCACATCTAAAAATCATTAGGTAATTTCGTTTTGTTTTTTTTACAATTGATTAATCGTCTAATTAGCAATTGTCATAATAAATCTAAGACTTGCTATGTAAATTTTATTAAAATATTTTTAATAAATTTAATAAAAATATTTTAAAAAATTATACATGAATCTTTCATAAATTGACCAATATTGTTGTTAAGTTTATACTATGTCTCTTCTTCTAAAGAGATTAGAAACTGGATGACTATTATGAGTTAGAGTTCTGATTCGCGTAAGTACGGTACGCACAATCCTCCGAACATGCCATCAAGATGCCTACTTGAGTAAGAAACCCGGGGCGGTCCAGATGTCCGCTTGAGTGGCATCTGTACGGGTAGGAGCCTTCGGTCCGATCTCAGCGAGCAGCGAAGGTCTCACCTTCGCTGCTCGCGGCACGTTTCTATTCCGGTTCTCACCGGAATAGAAAATGCCGAAACGAAGCGAAGAAAAGATAGGTTTCACAACATTTGGGAACATTCTTGAAAAATCGAAACTCTAAATTTGGTCTACCCGCACCGCTGTGGAAGACCGCGCGGTGCGTCCCGCGTCCCAGCTCGACGGGCGGTGGCTTACCTCTCCGGACGTGAGAACAGAGCAAGGGAAGTGTTGACTTTGAGGTCTATGTGGAGCGCTCACGGGGAGGTGTCAATAAAATGGCGCGCGTCCATGGAATGGCGCACGCGTTCTGGGAGAGTGTAAACTGGGAGATAGGAGATCGTCCGGAGTGGAAGCTGATTTTCAAACAAGGGTGGGAGAGGAATTTGAGAATTGGAGGGTACTATGCTGGCCATCCGAAATTGAGCGATTTGAAAGAAGCCTTGAACAAGCAGAACGTTGACACCATGAGTCCTGGATACGGAGGCGGTGCTGATGGGGAAGAATCGTCATCTTGGAAAGGCCCCAGAGGAATCGAGCATCATAAGCGTCGAGGTGCCGACGAAGGTGACGAAACGCCGGAACCGAAGCGCAGAAAGATCATCGTAGCTGCGATGCACCAAAATAATGTTGATGAGGACGAGAGGACTGAAATGGTTTATAAACAGAGAGCCGAGAAAGCTTTACGCTGCGGGTCTCCGATTCAGTCGAAGCTCGCGTCTCACCTCAATCACGACCACAATTCTCGCGCCCTACCCGGTAGAAGAGACAGGCCATTGGCGGCTCTGCCCTCTCCTCGTGAGGTGTTTCGCGAGAAGGAAGTAGATTTTCCGAGAAGGTCTGACGCCTCCGGAAGGACAAGCAAAGTCTTGAGTGAGAGAACCATGACTGACGATGCCGCTGATTCTTTTGTACTGAAATGTGGCGACCGCCTGGTTTCTGTCACCCATCTACCAATCTGCATCGGGCGGACGGTGAGCGGGGGCTTTGGCGATCAAGACATAGTTTTGTCCGGTAAATTTTACGGGGGACGAACGAAGTCGTACCCGGTGGACATGTGGAAGATGGTGCTCCGTCCGGGATCCGAGCCGCGTCTTCTGGTGAAAACCACAGAAGGTTTCTGGTAAGCGCTCGGGTCCACCCTATAACACCCCAGCTGTGTGACCATAACGCTTCGAATTCAGCGGAGCGTTGAGAAACTCCCCAAACTTCTCAAATGATTGAGAAGTCGCTCATGGTACATGCTGTGGGGAGTTTCAGAAAGGGATAATTGCAAGAGAGTTACGCGTATCAAGTGTTGTCTTCAGTCCGCAGAGCTCTATGGCTAGTGTAGTTTCTGAAGAAGGCCAGGCGATTGGGGAATTAAGGTGCTGATTGTTTACTTGTGTAGGTTACGACTGCTGCAGCCGCAGCCATACTACCTGAAGACTTTTGGCGATGGCTACATCCTTGCCCAATTTTTGCATTTCGTGAAGGAAAGGCCATCCGCAACAGCGATTGAATTAGAAAAGTACCTGGCAAAAGCTTGCAGGTAAGGCCACCAGCGCGATGCTGGGATGCACACGACGACAGTGACCTCTAGAATTCTGCTGATTGGCACAAATTACTTAGTAGTTAGAACCTTGACAAATACTTGACAAGAGATGCGACTAGTAGTTTGTCAAGTACTTGTAGCTACTAAGTTGTTTAATCTAGCAGCTATAACTTAAGTAGTATTCGTACGATGCGTATCAGCTGTGGAAAGCATAGTATTGAGTCCCTTCCGTGGCCTAATGCAGCATGTACGGACAAGAGCCTTTTCTGGAGAAACTGACCCAGCATCTTCGAATCATTCGAAGTTACGTAGAAGAGGATGGAGACTTGAAGAGTGCGAGTGTAAGTTCTCCATCGTTCTTTCATACACTGTTTTCTTGTACCTCCGCAGTGTATATGCGGAGGTACAAGAAAACCATACGACGTAGCAAATCCTGTTTGGCCTAAAAGATTAGGATCCAGTTGTAATTCTTTATACGCATCAACGTGTGATGAAGATGATTCTCATCGAAAGCCTTGTCGCTAAGTGGGGTATTGTACTAGTGCTGCCGGTTCTTGTTCAAGCTGCTTACTCTATGTAGCTTAGGGAACGGATATGGGGCTCTCATTTTTATGTTGGTTTGGGTCTGCGTGTGGTTGACCACAGGTTTTGAGGACAGTGTTTCCGAACATTTTTACTAAGGTAAATGCCTAACTTCGTTCAGACGGAAGAACTCGGGATCAAGAACCAATAGTCCTGCTCAGATCTCTTCATGATGCTTTGGTGGCTTTTATCGTTTGAGTGTCAGACTGACGTTATGAATGTGATGATTTTTTTCTCATCAAACGGGGTTCTATAGTTACAGTCGGGTAAGGCCGCTCCTAAAGGCAGGATGTCGGGGTCTTTGCAGAATCCCTCAGAGCTTCGAGGAGATCTTTCACAACATAGTCGCCAAGTCTTGAGGTCTGTGCTGGGTTTGAACGGAGAGCGATCTTTGCAAAATGAAAGAAAGGCGGATAACATCAGACAAGATATGATGTGGGGGAATGGTTTAACGCGGGGTGAAAGCTCAGCCGAGCGATACGTACCAGGAAAAGCTTTTGTTGACGAAGGAATCAACCCCAAGAGGAGCGGAGGAAACTTGAGGTTTGAACTGGCAGCAAGTGAAGACAAGAAGTTAAAGCGCCATGCGCCAAAGCTTGAACGAGAACGACACGACAGCGGAAAGAATGATAGAAAAAAGACAAGCTGGCTGGTCGGAGGTAGTCGCTTGCATTCTGAGGAATCAAATGGTGCTCGAGCAAAAGATGATCGGAAGATCTCACAAAGGTCACAGACCGAGATGAAGAAACTCGATGATCCGCCTATTTGTATCATGTGCGATGACGGTGGCGACTTACTCATGTAAGCTCAAAACCCTTCAGTTCGTGTCAGTGAATGGCCATGATATCCACCCCTCGAGCTTCGTTTGGCTCTTGTTCCTTTGGTACAATTCTTCATACTAATAGAATCTATTTGTTTGATGATAGTTGTGATGGTCCTTGCAACCGTTACTTCCATGGGTTCCCAGGAACGGGATCTGAATCCTTCTGCCACACACTCGCCCTGTCACGGAAGGAGACAAAGGTGATTTTCTTATTTGCCACATGTTATGTCCCTTGTTCGATGATCTGCAAAGAGGGCATTCCTTCATGGTTTTGGTTCCATGTTTGAGTTTGTAAGCGGGAATGAACGAGTGCTTAGCCTTCTGCTGTGATACAGGGCGAACGATGGTATTGCAAGAATTGTGAACTCAAACAACATCAGTGTTTCGTTTGCAACAAGTTGGGCTCCACAGACGCAGCCCTTGGTCGACCACAGGTATACGAAGAGGCCATTTTGTCTTACAAATACTCGTTCTGTATCGGTTTCAGATTTTTGTAACCACTGCGTTGAGAAGACGTTTTATGTCCCATTCTTAGGTTGTTTCCAGCTTTAAGCTGATCTAAGTTTTAGGAGAATTTGATTTGAGCGCCTTGCTCCTCGCAGATCTATATGTGTGAAGTACCATCTTGTAAACGTTTTTATCATGCGCACTGTGTCGCTGAGTTGGTGGACTTTCCGAATTGGAGAGCTAAGGCAGAGGCAATCAAGAATGGTACAGAGCCCCTCATATGTCCACGCCACCGGTGTGATACTTGTAGATACAGCGAGAGTACTCCTGGAATACTTGTCCAGTGCAGACGTTGCCCCAAAGCTTGGCACAGAGAGTGTTTCGTCAAGTAAGTACTGAAATCTCGAAAGCTGCCGAAGTATCTTCCACTCGAAGGGAGTGGAAGATACTTCGGCAGTGTAAACCTTTATCCGCATATGATATATTTCATATACCCTGCATTTACTGTTTTTCTCTTCGACCTCACCTGTCCTATCTTTAGAGAACTCGAGTAGGAAGGAGCAATTCAAATGATCTTTATGTGTCTCCTCTCCTGTCTTGTTGCAGCTATAGCCTGTCCGGCGAGCATCAAGGAAATACAATCTGGAAGCACGATGAGCATGAATTTGTCTATTGCAGGTTTGGTTCGAACCTTTGTTTGATATGGCTTGTGCGAAGTGGATTAGGTCGATCATAAATGTTCAGAAGCTGACGGTTGTGTATGTTCGCAGGCAACATAAAATCAATCCAACGATAATGACTCCTAACAGGGACCACATACGCTTCCCAGAGGTTGTGGACAATACGAGGATCAAGAAAATCAAATTCAAGGCTTCAGGAATGTCATCCACCATAGAGCGTCAATATTGTGAAACTCTGCCTCCTAACTCCTTAGCTGCAGAGTTAGGGCTCTTTGATCAGTGATGACAGCTGTACAGTTCGGTGTGCGCACTCTTCTGTGGTTTAAACCCCCTGGAAGCATTTAGGCCTTATTTGTAGATAGATAAGAGGAAGGTTTTAATTTGGGGAAAAAATGGAAACATCGGAGGAGAATTCGTCGACTAGTTTTATTGGCCTCGTCACGGGAACATTGTACATTGTATCAATTTATATGTTACACATTTTTTTCCACATTTCTACAGTTTTGAATGAGAATTATCTATCTATTTGATAATTATACTTCCCACAATTTGATGTGAGTTGACTTAGTATTTAATGTTACATCATCTTTCATGTCCGAAGAGTTACATATCTTTCGTGTCCGAAGAGTCAAAACCTAGATCTAATTCAAAGGAATTTCTTTTCAAGGGAATGATGTGTTAAACATATCAAATATGGTTAATATCATACATTGCACGTGTCATAAATATTATGTTGCCATACATAATTCTTCATATACGATTTTTGTTCTGATCTTTTACCTTCTGCGTATGTTGTATCTTATTAATCGTGTATTGATCAGTTTTTATTGTCTTCTTCAATCATGAAGAAGAGAGGATGACGAGGAGTACTGGTATCAAGAATTCCCTCTTGTGAAACAAATGAAACATGAGCGAATAGTCAAGAATAACAAAATATTGAATCTAAGTTGTATCTATACATGTCAAAATCTTCAAATAAATTACAATATATAATGATTATTCACTAGAATGTAACTAGATCAACAATACTTAAAACATCATATCAGATTCATTGATGGAATTTGGAATTGCACAATACTGTGAGCCAGCTTTCATTCCCAATGGTTATTTAAACTTCAAATTGTGCCCTACTTCAACTTTTTTGTTTGCAACTAAGCTTTCATCAACAATTTTTGTTAAGCTTTTTATACACACAGACTATAAACTACCTTCACGACAAGATGGTGTTTGATTATCGCATTGTTATCTAACTGTCCAAGTTTCAGTGTTCAATCTTTTAAACAAAAAAGAAGCTCCTTAATATCTGGTTTTTATGATGAAGCATTCCAAATTTCTCTTGTTGTTATTGGCTTGGTATGTAATGCTAATAATCAGCTCAAATTCATTATGCCTGTTCAACATGTATAAATTATCTTGATACCACTTACTGTTGCAACATTAGATGGTCGATAGTGTTGTATTTTTGTATTGATATCGTCGAGGTTCAAATAAATTCTTCTTCTATGCATCACTGATGCATAGAGGAAATTGTCAAAATGCACTCGCAGCATCTAGTTTCGAGCTTTATTTCTAAAAGTAAAAGTATGATCAAAGAAATTCATTTAAGATCATGACAAATTTCCAACTGTGCTACGCAGTCAGTTCAAATCAGCATCAGCCTCTTGAATATATGGGGCTGCGAACGTTTTTACTAACCTTACAAAATTTAGAAATAAAAGTCCAAGTTCTAGCGTTGTCAAACCCTTCATTTCCTCGAACGATTTATGCTCTCCCCATGTATGAGTGAGTACATGAAACCGAGGACAAATTGGGTCCACTGTGAATTAGAGCCCTAGCACTCCAGTTCTTGAAGAATCAATTGTCAAGGAACCAAAGGCATTCTGCATCCGGCTTCTAGAAGATCGAGTTGCTTAGATTCGGTGATCAATGCCTTCAAATTACAGCTGAAGCTCTTCTAGAACTTCACTGAGCTGGTTACTCCCACCGTTCAAAGAAGACGAAATCGCCATTACCGGTCACAAGGGTTCAATCTTGTGGAAATGGAGGGATTGGTCAAGTTCGTTGTGGGATGGGTCAGTGGTCCCTGCACCACGAGGATTTCCCATGGCCCGTGCTGAACCGAAACCGAGTAACTTAGAGAAGAGCATGGAAGACGACCATAATAAAGTCGTACAGTGATGAATCCGAAATGGTAGTAAGATGGAGCTAGGCCCCACTAGGCTCACAATGAGGACTATGTCCTGGTGCACGTAAGATGCAGTGGACTGACTATGTACCCCGGCACAAGCGGACGTTACCGTATGGAGTTGTGGACTGCAGGGCGTCAAAATTTCAGAAAGCGTCAAGCGCAACGATCTGCTGCACAAGCACGTGCAAGGAAGGGGCATGCAAAAACCGGTGTAAGTACGATCACGTGCTAGACGCAGAACACGCGCGACAATCGTGATGCGATCATCGGTTGTGTGAACGGATGGTCCCTTGGGCAGAAGCTGCATGGATCTTCACCTGCAGTCATACATCGAATGTTCTGGGGCTGCACGAGAGTCAACAGGTTCAGATTACAACCAATCCTCTCATCCTCTCCACTGCTGAGAGAAAACAAGCGCGGCCTGGAGAGATGATTCTCACACATTTTATTGGCAAGAATCGCCACGATGAGCGCAGAGGACACAAACTGACACTACAACAGAGCAGGGCTAACCAAGTCGTGGTCCATGATGCTCATGATATAACGTAGATTGTACAAGTTGGGAGCTAGCTGTACACGAGGAGACATTTTTCTAGAGGGTGACGTTTCCAGTTAACAATTCGAGGGGATCTCGGGTTCATGTGAATGCTAAAATTCATCCCCTCGGACACTTCTAAGAGCGAGCGAACGAGCAAGTGAGAGTGGGTGGGCGAGTGAGAGGGAGAGTGAGAGAATGGTTGGTTGTGGAGGGCAGCAATGTTAAATAGTATGAATCTGTAAGTGGATGAATCAATCCTGCAAACTATCCTACAAGTCTGATCCGGCCGGTCGGTTCTCCTCGCATGAAAATAATGGTACAAGGTAAGCTGACTAGACGGAGCACAGCAGTCGAGGACGGGCGTGGGCGCATGTCACGTCAGGTATGCTTCGTCCTGAAGATGCCAGGCAGAGGCGGGCAGATTCATCTCATCGTCGACAGCACGCGGAGCTCGTGCGCACCGTGAGCGAAGTGGCATCGGTCCGCGAAGGTGCAAGTGCCTTGAACGAAGTTCTCGCACATTTTCGTCTTGAAGTTGTGCGATCCGAGCGCGGCAGCCTTGGGCGCAACGACGTCGCGGTTCTGCAGAAACTGCCGGACCATCTCGCTGGCGTGCTCGATCTGCTCGAACGAGCCCTCCATCTCCACATTGCGCATGTTCGGGTCCGTCTCGTGCTCGCGAATCGACAGCTTGGCGCCCGTGAGCCGACTGATCTGCTTGACATTGGAGCCGGCCTTGCCGATGATGGCGCCGGCGAACGCCGCCTCGATGCTGATTTTGGTGGTCGAGGTCGCGCCGAAGCCCGTGGCCGTGACGCCCGGCGGCGTGGGCTCGCCGTAGAAGAGCGCCGACGCGACGGCCGTCGACGGGTGGCCGTTCGCGTAGAGGCCCGCCGCCGCCGCGCCGGCCTGCAAGTAGTCCAGCCCCGATCGGCCGGTGCTGCCGCGCCCGTTGTTCGACGGCCGCAGATCCGCCTCGCCGTGCGCGAAGTGGCACTTCTCGCCGAAGCGGCAGCCTTCCGGCGTGTTGTAGCGGTTGCAGAGGCGCGTCTTGTAGCCGCCCACCGTCACGCTCGGGTCCGCGACCGTCGCTGCGCCGCCCCCCTGCGTCGCGCTCATTCCCGCCGCCCCCAGCAGATTGCGCACTCCCGCCGACCCCAGCACCAGGCCCGTCCCGTTGACGTTGGCCAAGGGCGCCAGGCCCAGCGCCACTATGCCCCCCGGCACGTAGTGCAGAAAGTGGCACCCTTCACCGTACGGACATCCTGAAGTGCTGCCCCCCACCGCAGCGACGACGCATCCCCACAGACCCACAGATTGTCAGTGCGGCGACCTCGAATTCGATCGTTCAGAATCTGAGTTTTGCCTGCCAGCAGCACTCAGCAGCACTCGGTGGAGGTGGTTGTTCGGGGACTCACGCAGCAAAGAAGGACTGAGTTACATATAGACAGACAGACAGACAGATAGATAGATAGATAGACAGACGGACGCACGCTTGCTTAAGCGACCACGGTTATGCATGTGTTGGGACTGATGCAGTGTTTTCTGCCCATGGGTCCTAGTGTGAAAAGTGTTACGAATTCGAGTTGAGAGCTGTGGGCAATGCTTTTCCCTTCCCGTCCCTTGCAGGTTTGCAATTTAATTCCAGGCTTGTTGTTGTCTGCAACTGATTCATTACTGGTCTGGAATTCTGTGCTTGTACGCTACCCGATCTAGTTCATTGACAGATCGGATCCACTGCAGAGTGGACGCTCAATTAATACCAATTGAGAACGAACGAGCAGCAGGAGCAGCAGCAGCACTAGCAACCAACCACCGTATTTTGCATGACTGTGAGATTAGCGGATGAGCAGGCAGGCAGGCAAGTTAAGATTGCAGTGGCAACGTGTCCACTTCTTTACATAACCAATTTGGGCCAACTGAGCAGTTAAGCATATGTTGATTATGAAGGGATCCGGTAGAGTGAGTCCAGCCTCAAACACAGTGACACAGAGTTTCGGTTTGCCTGACTGTTATGACTGGTTAACTGAACGTACATGGAAATGTACGTGGGTAAGATCAGGCTGACCGCTGAATGGTAAGTGCCATATACCAGGTCCTTGCTTCCACTTGGCGTCTGCACATATAGCATCACTGTGGTTGCGAGCCTGGAGGGCCCTGCAGCAATGCCCAGCTAGAGCGGAAAGTTCCACAGGAAATCCCCGGCCCCCGGCACCCCCCGACGAGCGAACTTCACTAGTTCAGTGTCCATCAGATCAGGCCAACATATACACTGTACATATCATATTCACACACATATCATCTGCTACAGACTTCTCTAGTCTCAACGTCTTGTACTCATGCCTTTGCTTTCCATTTTCTTTTCTTCTTCTTTGTCCAAGGTCCACACCCCTTCTAGATTTCTGCCTCAGCTTCAGCTTCTTCCCTGTCTTCTCTGCTGTCTGTCTCTAAGAATTTATCAAGTTGCACCAGACATAGAGATAGATAGATAGGTAGAGAGAGAGATAGAGAAAGAGAGATAGAGAAAGAGAGGGAGAGAGCGGGTTCAATCCTAGTCCAATCCTGTCAGGTCCTAGTGCAATCTTGTGGGAGCTGCTGCTGCTGCTGATGAGGAAGAGCTAACCTGGGGAGAGCAAACATCCACACACACTAACACGACTTCTCCAGTCCAGCAGGGGGTGAGAGGGGGATTCACAGCCACCGTCCTCGGATGGTGGCCGAGCCACATTGAACTAAATGATGATCTCTCTCTCTGACAGTCTGACCGACGCGTCAATACACACCGCAGCAAATTCTCGAGAAAGGAAATTCGCTGAGCGAATCGCGGGGCGTACGTACCTGAAGAATTTAGTGCATGGCTTAGTTTTGCTACCCAGAGCCGAGGTCGGAGCTCCGGCGTCCCCCCGCTCATCTGCGCCACGCAAGCAAGCAAACCACGAGGCCCCACTGCAGCAGTTAGAAACGAAGCGCCCAAGAAAGCCGGCGCGCGGCGGGCGGCGGGCGGAAAGAAGTTCAAGAAATGCCAAAGGGGGACGCGGGGCGCGTCATCAGTACGGGCGTTGGATCGCATTCAGGCAGGGGAAAATGGCGCGGGGAAGAAGCAGCACGCGAGGATTCGCGGAAGATTCTATGGGCAAAGAAGAAGAAGACGACGAAGAAGGTGGATTCTTCGAGAAGTAGTGCTTGCGGCCTTTAGCGCCATTACCATTGATCGGAGTGCTGGAGGGTTGCTCTGCTGCAGTCCCGTTGCCATTGCAGAGCCCGTTGCCGTTGCTCTCGTAAGCCCGGGCCTTCTTCTGCACCGGCTCGTACACTGCCATCGTTCCCAGCTGCTTGCTCCACAGTGTCCAGAGAGAGAGAGAGAGAGAGAGAGAGAGAGAGAGAGAGAGAGAGAGAGAGAGAGAGAGGAGGAGGCTCGTGGACGGTCGTTCTGACAATTGATTCTCAGAGTGCACGACGGAATGAATGCCTGCACAGGCTCAGGGTGCTGGCCGAGCATGCACCGGAGGAACGCGGGCCTGCATGTACTTGCTGTGTGCTAGCGTTCCTCGTCGTCCGAGGCGAGTGATATGAAACGCTAGCACCTGAGCACCCGGAAGCTCTGGGCTTCACCTTTACGAAGCGCACACGGGCTCACATTCGCGACGAGTCCGCATTCTTGAAGGCAGAATGAACTCACGGGACCGATTACTCGAGTCGCAAATTCAAGGCTTCTCCGACAGAGAAGCACTGTCCAGCATTTGGAAGGTCAATATGCGGTGCAGCAAAGTAGAATACGACATTTTCGGGTCTGGAGAGTCGTGACTCCTGAGCAAGAAAACATGGACATCTTCCGAACAGAGCCTCAGATCTCCTCCGTCCTGGCTCTGTACACTGTCGGTCACCTTTTTTGTTTCCTAGTTTCCGCTTGCATGACGATGAAACTGTCCACCGTATTCTGAACCACTCGAGAGCACTACTGTATTGCGATGCGGCTGCATTTATTCAATGCAGAATCGAGGTCCTGACACTATCATCCAATGACTGCTGATGTACGACTAAAATCCCCAACCCTTTCGGATCGCCTCCGAACTTTTGAACTAGTGACCTCTCCCTCCAGTATTCTGTCGAAATTCTTTGCCGCGAGAAGATCACGCTCTCGCTGCTGACCTTCACCTGAACGATCCAACAGCCATGCAGAAGAAATTCTAATTCAGCATCCCTGACAGGCACCCACTGTCACTCTACTCAGTCATCCAAGCCTCTACAACAATAGAGCAGTAAATGAGTAGCACCAGCTCACCCAAATGTTCTCTACAGTTCCTGCTGAAACTAAAATATTATCGAATTCTACGGCAATTAAGAAGCTACGCGCAGGTAAGGCAGCGTCAACTACTCTAGTCCAGACTGGATCCGGATCCGGAGTGAGTGGACAGTCGAGCCGAGTGATGTAGAAAAGAGGAAGAATGAAGAAGCAGCAGCAGGAGGAGGAGGAGGAGGAAGGAGAAGAATAATCGATTCCTGATGGATGGATGGATGCAAAGAAGCAGAAGAAGGAGGAAGTTGCGTTGGAACAAGAAGAAGGACTGAAAAGAAAAGGGTGGCGATCAAGAAATGGTGCCACTCCCTCCCCCTCTCCCTCCCTCCCTCCACAACCCCCCTCCCTCCCTCCCTCCCTCGCTCAGTGACTCAGTTGCTCCCTCGTTCGCCACTACCCCTGGCTCTTCCGCAGCTGTGCCGGTCACCTGCCATACCATTTCTCATCGCCCTTCCAGTCACTTTCATACTCCTACCGCCCCTTCCGGTGCCGTCCTAGACAGTTGCAAGACCGTTAGGCTCCCTGGAAACGATGACGACGACGTATGCTTACGATACGGTATACATTTTATGATATCCTCGATCGATCGCATACGTATGACATACGGTGGAGTGTTGGGGTTGTTGCACCACTTTTGTTGTTCTTCTTCGGTTGTTGCATCTTTGAGCTGAACTGTACTCGCTCTGGAGGGAATCAAGGACATACAGGATACTGTACTCCCAATGCCTGATCGAGCTCAGTCCAGGAGACGTAGTGTACTACGTATTGTGTACTTTGTAGTAGATGACATACCAAGTAGAGGAATGCTTTACGGGGAATTTATCGAAGTCTGTACGCCTATTCTCGTGTGAGAATGGTTTTGTAACACAATGTAGGATGCTGCAAAGTTGTACATTTTAGATGATGAGATGTTTTCCAAGCTCATCAGGACAAAGTTGTAATTTCTTGGCTCATCAACTTCATTACGGGGCTATCAACATTAACCAACCGGCATGCCATGTCCATTCGAATCGTGCTCAAGCGTTGCATTGTCCAAAGGAAGGTCTAGCCAGTCTGAGAACATGTCGAAATGAGAGGAAGAACCAATGATCCCATGATCTTGCTTTGCTGTTCTAAGACCAATATAAACTTCAGGAAAAGCGACAACGAATCAACATGGAACGTGAACTATCGTTGAGACTGAATCTCCACCGACAACAGACACGCAGTTCCTTCTTTGCCTTTGGATCGAAGCATGCATGCATACTAGTTCGATAGCAACCGGTCTCTTTACTTCAAGAGGCTGCAAGTGGTAAAGTTCTTCAGCTCTTTTTGAAGCTACAAAACATGAACTCTCTGTCTTGAACTCGTTTGCGTTGTCCATGAACTAACAGACACGCCTAGTGTGGTGCACTCTTAGCAAACTACTTACATATGTTACACACTTAGGCCTCGAATTGCAGCATTAGACCCCCCTCAGCATTTCTTCTGTAGAGAATGTCTGATACATTTGTCTTCCACCACTACACTACATTGCACTGCCAACATGTCCAGTCTCACAAGTCTCATCTCTCACCATTAAGTCTTGAAGTGAATGAAAAATGAGAAGTATTATATTGTTGACCGCTTCTAGAAGAGTTGGCCTAAGATAGAGACTCGGCCGCTCTCAGCATTAGATAAAGCGACTGAATCTAGACCACTCGAATTCTCTTTTCTTAACACGCTTGGCTTAATATGAGAAGGCTACAAAATTGGCCCGGCGAAACAAACGGCGAGCATCGGTATCTAACACCTAAAATCCTGAATGATTGTCAGAAATGATTCGACTAGTTAATGAAAAGCGCAAACCTGGTAAGAGGCCAACTGAAGATCCCTTTAACAGAATATTTTGTTTGAGAGCCCCACAAGTCTTCTATGCCGCAGTATTCACCACTGCAGAAAACTATTCCGCACAATCGTGAAAGAGATAGTACCAGGGTCTATTACATCTGATCGAAGATGTAATAGAACCTGAGATGAGAGAGAGCACGGGTGAGATGGTCACCTCCCTTCTGTACCACAAATCAATACTTGAGAATGAAGTTCAGATCGTGAAGTCGAAATCTCTAAAGATTTGGTTACAATGCGAGTCACACATCTCTCTAGATTGTGACCTTTTGAGTTATATTTCTTGTGTCTTTTCGTTCAGGATTTTGAAGACAAGACAAGAACTAGAATATCTCTGTAACATTGTCAAACAAAAACAAAGGTGACCAAGTTTATGTGACCAAGTTTTGCAGAGCCTCTGCTGTTGTTGAAAAGAGCAAGCCTTCCATTTGAGCATAGCTCGTCTTGACCACACAACATTAAGTTCAGAGTGTAGAATTTTGAGTATTGCATCTGTAGATTGAAGGTGTATGACGCAAGCACATCCAAAATTATGTGGAGAATGCCATTTATGACAGGAAAAAATGCTAGAGAGATCATTTAAAAGCAAGGTCTATTTAGCGAGGCTTTACACAAGTGGTTATGGAAACTGGACAAGGGAATGGCTTCCTTTATCCGATTACAAGATGAACTGGACATAAAACCAATTCAATTCTTACCTAACCAGCAAGATACTTACTGGAGCTCAGAACATCGGCTTCTCGTGATTCGTGAGTTTGCGTTGATCCATGGCATATCTGCAGAGAAAAGGGTAGTCCACAAGGATTCTTGATTTTCATTTCTCTCATGCTAGAAGAAGCACTGACCTATTGCACTGCGATCAACACAATAACCAAAGACGAGTCCCAGCTGTTACCTTAAGAGGGCCCGAGGGACTGCAGTCTGGATGTCTAGTTCCTCTTGTCTCCTTCGAGAGATTTCCTCTGAAGAACAGGACGATGCACGAGGCTGAATTTACTGAAAGGTTCATCTTGTAAAAATTGTTGAATAGACAAAAGTGCTCAGAAATACTTTGATACAACAACTGCCCTATATGGTATTTGTGAGCTAGAGTTGTAGCTATGGAGGAGTGCATCAGTAGTAACCAGTAGGTACAGTACGTGTGCCCTTGATTGTCATCACAGATAACCATATCTTCTGCCAGAAATAATTTTGTCTATAAGGAAGCCTGATCAACATCGTCACTGCGTGCATCCAGATTCGATCCGTTCTGCTGGGCAAGTGTTACTTGTAGCTTGCTCAATAACCTGACACACAGAGATTATGACGTAGATTTAAATTTACATTCTGAACTTGGGGAAAAGCTACCTACATTGAAAAATACGAATGGTGAACCTTTATCCGCATATTTATCTGCTTAGACATAGTTGTGAGGTTATATACCAAAATAAGGTCAACTGAAATGATTTAAGTTCAGCTTTCCAGCCAATCATCTTATTTGATCTTTATAGGATCGAAGATGCAGCATTAGCTCTAGCAATTCCAAAGTCCAACTTACAGTACCTCCGAAGAGAGCGATGTACTGCAGGAGAATAACCGTAAGTGGATCCTACATTTGCTGTCTGCACACAACATCAGAATCAACCCACATGTAAGATCTGAAATCAATTTTCGCAACTAAACTCTTCTCATCCCATCAAGTCTTTCTTGATGAGCAAGAAGGACGTAAAAACGTTATGTTTCAGCTCCCCTGTACCAAACTTTAAATTCGAAAGAGATATGAGATAATTGAAAACGAAAAGCAAAGCTTGCGAAGTGTAGGCATGTGATGCTTTCCGTTTGAAAGCTCTTCGAGTCGTACCATCATCTAACCCCGATATCACTCTAAGTTTTGAGGGTGCTGGTGATATTACGGCATATACAAGCAGTTACAAGTGGAACATTTTGGAAGATCACATTAACCTCGATAGCTAATCTAAACATGACTGAGAACAGAATCTAGAGACCAACCGACTACACCAATCGACAGCTTCGAGAAAGTGCTTGTCGTTTGTAGAAGGTTTTGTTCAGCGACTGCCGATTCTCATGCAGTGAATATGAGAAAAACTGGCAGATTCCAGTCGAAGAACACTCGAAACAACTGACACGGAGGAAGAACAGACATTAAAGTGTGCAATTTAGAGTCCAAACGAGGAGAAACCAGGCCATGGACCAGGACCGATGTACTGACCTCCATGGTGTGGTGTTCGAAGGCTGCGTTGGAAGGCTGCACATTTAAGGCCCTCCACGCCAGAGCTTGAAATTATTTTGCCATTGGATGGATCCATCAAACTACTCCGGAAGTTTCCTTGTTCGTAGTCCTCATTTAAGGTGTACCCACATGAGCACGGTTCGAGCTGGAAACTATGGCGATCACGAGGCTGCCTCGTGATGGCCACACTGATTCAAGTGGACTGGAAACATCATGGCGTGAATACGGACCCGATTGTGCTGTTCGTGCTTTTAGCTCACTCGACAAACTTCGAATGACTCGCTTATACAGAACGTCCACCATTATTAGATCTGGAGACCTTCGCAACCTTTGCCGTAGTATTCGAAGATCAGGGCCCAATGAATAGCACTCTTCTATCGAGTCCTCCTGCTCTGAGCGATGAAGAAAAAACTGTCACTGTCACTGCCATATTTATCAGTCAATTGATCTAAAAAATAGTACAGCCTTGTCGTGAGGATTCTCCACCACTGTCTCGTACATTTCATCGTCCTTCTATGAATTAAATCTTGCTGGAGATTACTAGACACAGTACACAGTATGGTTCCGATGATGAAGTCCCACTTCTCGTGCAACTGTGAGCAGCAGGGAAACCACTGGACCTCAGACTTGTCATAGTACCTACCCAGCTGCTATATTCATATCACACCAGTCCTCCCAAGTGGCCTCGTCCTCACTTTCCTTGCTTGCTCGGCTGCGACATCCTTCGACGATCAGAACCCCACGAGAATAACTTGCAAGGCCCTGAGGGCGTGAGGCGGAGGTAGAGCGCAGTACAAGAAGAGGGGAGAAAGGTGCTGCTTCACCGACGACGGCGGCAAAAGGGGGCCTCGTTCGACACGCATTTATGAACGTCAGGAGGATGCCCGTGTCTCTGGAGCAAGAGTAAGAGTGCGAGCGAGCGATCGAGCGATAGGCGTCGTACCACGAACAATCGAATGTGAAGACTCTGCAAGCTCAAAGGTCGAAGCGGAGTCATGGACAGCTTTGAATGCTGGAGCGGGGTTCAAGACTACAACAAGTACAAATTTAGTCGGTCCGTCCGTCAGTCGGACCGTCCCTCTCCCTCTCCCTCTCGGGCGACTGTGGCGTGATCCACGAGTGAGAGAAATGCCAGAAACATTCCTTCCCGGCCAGATTCTCTGTGTCTGACCCGCGCACCGAGCTGGCCCTGTCACGTTCGGACAAGAATTCTGAGCTCCGACCTTCCAGCACGAGTGGGTTCAATTCTCCGACGACCAATCTATGTCTGTAATTACACCTCCTACATTTCAGCCCTACTGTCCACGGACAGAAGACCAGTGCTTGAGCTGTGTAAATTTCTATCTTATCCCGAGCTCGAGTACTCTCTCTCTCTCGGCGATCCACTCTCCGACGCTCTGACTTCTGCTGATTGTTGCTGCAGCTCTGCCTGCCTCCGCATGAATCGTCGGAAGCACGATCGCCATGCTGGCACTGCTCGCAGTGTGTAAATCACTGCGGTCGACGTCCCGTCACGTCCAGCTGGCACTGCTCGCGCTGTGTAAATCACTGCGGTCGACGTCCCGTCACGTCCAGCGGGTAATGACGTGGTGTGGGAGGGAGGGCGACGCAATTGATTGCCTCGTCACGACGGGCTGCGAGGAAGGACGTCGCGAGTTGCGACTAAATATCGGCAGAGACGAGACAGTGACGAGGCAAAGGCAGTATTCTCGACCGAATTTGCCGGCCTCTAATGCATTCGGTCGACGGTCTTTCCTTCGAGTTGGACCCGATCGAGCGGATAAGAGTCAAATGTCCTGCCAAAACGAATTCGTTTCTTGGTCGAGAAATTGTGGTCTAATCTATTTGGCGTATACAACATACTACCACGTCTCCAGCTTCGAGTACAGAATCGCTTGCATGAAGAGTCCAAATGCTTGATACAGGTTCACGACTACCAAAGAAAGTTCAAGTCCCCATTTGCCTGTGCCTGCACCTTCACTTGCTCTCTCCATCGTTCAGCACAAACACTCTGATTTGGTTCTCGTTCCTTCCCCTCTGGTGCAGTCTAGGCCACCGCAGTCAATTACCACAATCAACTAAGCTCAGCGCAGCTCGCTTCACCTTAGCAGAGAAATCAGTACAGTATGACTTAGATTCTCCTCATTCGCAGTTCGTCCAAGGCAGTGGACTCCAGAGCCTGAACGCACAGTTCAATGCTGTAGTCCGTCATTGAGTGTAACATGGATAGCGAAGAATATGTATCCACACAGTGGTGCCAAAGGCTCGTCCTCAATCCTTGGAATTATTAGTAACACATGGTTTAAATAATAGAATTGTGCATATTCGAGCTGACCACGATCTTCAAAATGGACTGTATGCATGCAGTAGTTCGTGATTCTTCTCACAGATTGCTACCATCCCAGCTTCAACATGCTCGTAGAGTTCTAATGTCTCCAAATCTTCCCGAATTTGTTGGCGTTTCTGAAAAGTTCCCATCAATGCCTTGTACGCCTGTGAACTCTACCGATCTGTGGCACAAGGGATTATGTCATCTGAATTCTCAGACTTCCCACCGATCTGTGGCACAAGAGATTATGTCATCTGAATTGTAAGACTTCCCACCACATTGTCAGACTTCCCACCACATGACTGCGAAAAATCTTGTGGATGGCGTGTCTTACCTCCTCCAGGTCGGAAAGGAGCCAGAATGTGAATCTTGCGTCCTCAACAAACACCATCTCCCTACTAACGTGAAGACAACGGCAAAACGAGCTATCAGGCCTCTCGAGCTCATACATAGCGATCTGTGTGGCCCGCTACGGTCAACTGTTTGTCATTATGTTCTCACTTTCACGAACGACTACTCACGATTCACTTTCACGAACGACTACTCACGATTTACATGGCCGCATTTTCTGAAGCAAAAGAGTGAAACTATTGCCCTTGTGGAGACTTCCCTTCCCATAAGGTAGCTAAATCTTATCTTTCATGAGGGACGAATACACCTCTACTGCCTTCAAAGATTATTGCACTAGTCAAGACATCCATCGCCACCTCACTAGGTCCTACACTTTGCATCAGAAAGGGGTGTCTGAGCTTATTGAATCAACTCCTGTAAGTTCCCTGCCCACCTCCGGACAGAGGTAGTACAAGCGGTCAACTATGTACGTAACAGATATGCTAATCGAACACTAAATTTGTCAACTCCCTCCGAAAAAATGTTTGGCTCAGTACCCAATCTTTCACATCTTTGAACAATTAGATGCATTGTATAGGTCCATATATCTCAGGCAAAGAGAACTAAACTCGAGGTCAAAGCATTTTGAGGAGTGCTACTTGGTTATGATGAAAAACTTCCGTGCCTACCGTTGTTGTGACCCGACTACAAGAAAGTTAGTAATCTCCAACGATGTTGTTATCTTTGAAGACACACCAGGAATTTTCAAGTTCCAACAAGAATTTTCTGATGTCTTTTGTGATATGGATGACTATGAAGACAAACCGGTGACCGATCCGCCCACGACCCGTCCGACATCACCATCACGATCCGAGCCACTTCCATCATAGGTTTCTGATCTTTTTGCGAGCTCGCCTCAGTCATCGACAGACCTCTTACAACTTCTCATGGCACACTACCAAGGCGCAATCCCTTCCGAAATCGCATGCTGCCTATATACTACGACCAATTTCACATGCAATAAGTTTTTTAACTTGGTCAAATCAGCTGAGATGGTGGATGATAAAATTTCATTCAATATGGTTAAACTCCACAAAGGCTGGCAATGTGTTATGCATGAGGAGTTTGATTCCTCGGTTGAAAATATGACCTGGAGATTAGTTCACCTCCCCCTGGCTGTAAGACTCTATCCTCTCGCTGGGTTTATAAAACAAAGCAAGAGACCAAACTTGAGCGCATCCGAATAAAAGCCAGATTGGTTGCTTAAGGACTAGTGCAACAGTTTGGTGTCAAATTCAATGAAACTTTTGCTCCCGTCATTCACTAGTCTACCTTGCGAGCTATGATTGTCCTTGCAGTATCTCTAGGGTGGGACATCCACCACATGTATGTTCTAACTGCATTTCTTAATGGGAAGGTTAAGGAGGTTGTATGCATGCAACAACCTCCTGGTTTTGGAGTTGAGTGCCACAAAGACAAGGTATGTTGTCTTCTCAAATCCATATACGACTTGAAATAGTCATCAAAAGAATGGTATGTTGAGATAGATACCTATCTTTGTGCCTCTCGCTGGGTTTGTAGTCAACTTGATTCCAATTGTATTTTTTCCGAGAAGGTTCTATACTTACCGTGCTCATGCTATATGTAGATAACCTTCTCATCTTCGGCAGTATTAATTCCAGAGTTGCAGAAATCAAACTTCAGTTAGTTGCTAAGAATAAGATGAAAGATATGGGTTTGGGTTTGGTTTGGACCTTGGGATTGATATTATCCGCTTCGCCAATGGTGATCTATTTTTGCATAATCAAAAATACACAATTGACTTGCTGTCTGATGCATGCATCTATGATAGTATGACCGAGATTGAACAATTGATGCATCCCAGTAATGTCACCTGGTTGGTAAACTTATCTACTTATCCTATACTCACCCAAAATCTCATATGTTGTCGGTCCGGTTGGTTGACTCAAGCAATTTCTTCATAAATTGCACTCGCTAGCTATGATTCACATACTTAAATATCTTAATTTTACAAAGTACTATGACATTTTGTACCAGCGTGACACTCCTTCACAACTCTGAGGTTTCACAGATGCAGATGATCTTAGTTGCAAAAACACTCGGCGACCAATTGATGCCTACCTATTCCAACTCGGTTCTGGACCTGTTGCCTGAGCAAGCAAGCAACAACCCACTGTCTTGGACAGTACGATGGAAGTAGAATATAAGGCTCTTTCTGAGGGTGATGTGTACATCTGACGTTTACTTCAGGAGCTCAACTTTTTACCTCCTGCTCAAGTTCCAATCGGTTGTGATGATAGCCATATTCATCAAGACCTCAAGACTGCTGCTACTCCAACCGAGGCTAACATGCATCTATCCTGCAATAATCAAGTTGCAATCAAACTTGCTCAAAATCTATTTTTTTTATGCTAAAATCAAGCACATTGAGGCAAAACATCACTTTATCAAAGAACGTGTTTTAGAGGGGGAGATAGCATTTGATTATATTCATGCCGACAATAACCCTGCCGATTTACTCACTAAACCGCTGCCTTGCCCCAAGTTTGAAGAGACATGCTATGAGAATTCGATCTATGCAAGGTTTATAATACCAGCACTAGTTTTCAATGCTGTCAATGATAGAAGCATTCCGTGGAAAGGGGGTGTTGGAAGTACTTATAAGTCCGAGGTAATTTAGGATAGCCAAATTAATATCAGTAGACATGTTTGTCTTAACCACAATTTCTAGTTGGTAGCTTAGAAATTGGGAGTGTTAATAGGGAGTGGCTAGGATCCCTCATTTAGGGCTAATTAGTCCTCACTCTACACCAGTTAGATGATAATTGGAGTGTTAATAGTGAGCGGCTAGTTATCCCTCACTTAACGCTAATTAGCGTTCCAGATTCTTCTCTGTTTGGTAGATGCAACGAAGAATCCTAGAACGCTGAATAGTATCTATTTCTAAAATAGGGTGTTCGACGAATCAGAGAGTATATTATACTAGGGTGAGGGCTAATTAGCCCTAACTGAGGGATAACTAGCATTGTTAATATTAGGTTAGTATTTAGTACCATTCTTGTATTCAAGTATTCTTGAATTGCTATACATAGGGTGGCGAGGCGTTTAAGTAAACGCCTCGACACCCTATGTATAGCAATTCATTCTTGTCATTCTAACTACAGGGTTTGCATAGTTCAGACCAAGACCATTCCTTGCCTGATTCATGTATAAATATTTTCATTTGCGAACCAGGGTGTTGTAATATTGTGGGTGTTGCTGGATAAAGAATATACGATGGTAATAATCTCATACTTAGGAGGTTCAAATGCTAACTGCACACGCGTCCAGAAATCTATGTAAGAAAGGCTCATGGAGTTTCAAAAGATGTGGGAAAGTTCAAATTACATTCATCGCTGTCAGATTAATCAATGTATTATCCACCCATCTGTCATCTTACAATGCCCAAATGTGATCAAACATTGACAAGCCAACGGCTGATGTAACGTCTATCATACTACTCGAATATTAGTTAAGTCTACTATGATGACTTGATGTTCTTCTCTTCTTTGGGATCTGAGAGTTCTTTCCAGCTAGCAGCAAAGGATAATGTTATCTAGACTCCGAAAGGTTTGGGATCCCTGACTGCCTTATTCAAATATATGAGGACCTCCGGAAATTCAGACTGATGCAGAATCAGGACGATCGTTGCATGATTATCGATCCAAGTCACAGAGAGATACTTACTCTAATCTTTGCTCTTGAGGCAATGACGCAGTTAGTGAGGTGAAACCGAGACGCGTCAATTGCTGGTTAAAAACTATTTCCATTTCTGGGTGATCATGATTAAAACTAACAAATCAAAAAGTATGTGCACACAGTCCCCATCTGCGTGCACACCATCTGATGCTTGACCTTGAAAATTTTGCGTATGACTCAAGTTTTGCGTATGCAGAAACAAAATTGTCGTGCTTGCAACTTCCTCATCTCACTATAATCCAGTATGAGATTTTGATTCATATTCATGCAATTATGGTCGAAAGCTCCAAGTAAACAAAGAGCACTTCAGTGCAAACGTTGAAACTTTGTCAATTTTTAGTAATTTCTTGCATTATTATCAGAAGCTCCATGAAAACGAAGAGCACCTCAGTGCACACGATTAAAAGTTGGATGATTTCTCGCCAACAGTAAATGTGAAACCACTACCACAAATTACTCGCCAGGTAAATTCATTTTTGCTGAGATTTCCCGGGAGAATGACGATTTGCGGAATTGGAGCATCATCAGTATTACCCAAACCTAGTTGACCATGCTCTCCCCAGCCCCACACCTTGAGTTCACCGTCTTCTGCAGAAACAATATCGAGGAAAGAACAATGTCAACTGACATATCGTGGGACACAAGGAGCACTAAGCGCCAGCATCTTATTTCAAATGCAAGAAAAGAACTTAGATAGTGACAAGCGACTGGCTGATGTAAAACTATAGAACGCTTATCTTACCCAAAAATACTGCAGAGTGCTCTGATCCAGCAGACAGGGAAACCACTTTTCTGCCTTCCAGTCCATGAACTCTGACCATTTTGGGCCAATGTTGATCCGCAGAACAAGTTATGACTGAATCATCGCGGCAACCACCTTCTTTGAAAAAATTCTCTACACTTGTTGGACTGGGCTCCTTCTGTGTACCTTCTATACTACCAAGCTGTCCGCGTTGGTTACTACCCCAAGCCCACAATACATCTTCATCTGTGAAACACAGGCACTAACATGGTGTCAGGATCAAAGTCATTACTCCAAGGTCAGAGTTTCCATTGGCTCAAAAAGGCAATTTCTGCCTTGAACTTGTTACATTGATCTAACTGAGACAAGGAGGGTGCAGTTACGGAGGCACATCACCGGTCAGAGCGAGTCCGTGGTTCCAACCAAGAGCCACTCTACAGAAGCGTAATGGATGGCTGGCTCGTGTAGGTATACGTAAGTCGGATTGGCCACAAAACCCTCGTCCCCAAATATAAAGACAGCCTCCTTCTGCAACAAAAGGAATGTTCAGTTTTTCTCGGAAGACATGAAACAATGCAAAGATTTGACCAAGTTTTGTCTAAGTAAACGCTGTACTCACCTGTGATGGCTGCACTGTGATCTCCATTCGCTGCCAGCTCCACGACTTGGTTTCCAGTCCATTCTTTAATCTCCTGAGGAATCGAGACCTTCACAATTTTTTGAGAACTTAACCGCTCTGTCCCATGGACATCCAATTCTGCAAGGCCGAGTTGGCCTCTTCTAGATGCACCGAAAGAATATACTGCAGATTTTGCATGAGTTCCTGATCCAAAGCCAATAATCTTCCTCACACAGTGAACATTTAGTTACACAAAGGACTCATCGATCCGTATCTTAGAGAGCGGCGAAACATGCTGTGGGAAAAGATGTAAGCAGAGTTACAGGGCTAATACATGTAAATCAGTGAGTTCAAATTCCCTTCATAAGCTTTGGTGGTGACAGGAGACGAGGCTGACTGGAGACGATCATGAATTGCACGGTTTGATGCAAGCAATCACCTTGGGTATCTGTTAGAACTAGGGTGTGACGCATGCCACAGGCTGCCTTCACCACAGCTCTGCTCGACAAGGATTGTACTTTGCATGGAAGCAAACGTTCTTCACAATCACCATGTCCTAGTTGCCCAAATGACCCACTTCCGCACGTATACAGCTCCCCACATTCTGCACAAAACGATGTCCGCTGTTAGAGACAGCACTTCATGTTGACTAAACTGTTTATTCGAGACGTTTCGATACAGCAAAGCGATGGGTTTTCTGACACCGTGTCATTGTGTGGGCTCTGTCCACCGGAACAGGACACAAGAAGGTGTAAATCGCTGGGTGTGTCTGCAGATTGACCCCTTCGGTCTGGAACTCATGCATCGATTGAACTGGAATAGTTACTGGCCTTTCGATGTGCAAGGCCGACATGCCCAAGGAAGAGCAAAAAGAGCAGATCCTTGTTGCAAGTACCAGTCACGAATGCAGTGTGGCTCCATCCGGCCGCAAGAGAACAGACATTGATGCTGTGGAAAAGCTCGACGATTTTTGGAGCGCTCACATCCCCCAACTCCTTTCCGTGGCCGAGAGCACCAGATTCTCCATTTCCCCAAGTCACAACCTGTGCATGCTCCTCACCTGCGTCATGCCATATGAGGACACACATTTAGAACACTGTGCTTTGCACATGAAGCTGAAGCGTCTTGACGCCTGAGATTCATCACACCACTTCCCCGAAGTCGAATTCCTCACTATTAATCGACTCATCTCTCCAGACGACGCTTCGGTTCACACCGCAATCGCTGCTGACACAATTTTCCCACACCGTCGAAAGAGCAAAAAAGCTGTGCTCGAGGAGGACGACTTACGCCAGTTCCTCTCTGTCAGAAATCTTCCGGAGCCACTCGTGGCGAGCAGCAAAAGAAAGACGGGATCTCATGATCTAAAAAATCCGTGTGGACGATCGACAGACTCACTGACCTGCTTCCCGCAGAAGTGCAGCGGCGTGTGCACCTCCGCAGGCCATGTCGAGGATCGACGAGGCGCAAGGACGGAAAGCCGTGGAGCCATCGCCGACGGGCCGAGCATTCGCGAAGGACGACAATCGAAGCGGCTCCAGACTGTCGCTCGAGGCAGCGGAAGCCAGCTGCCCGCGCGTTCCTGCGCCCCAACTCCAGATCCAAGTCTCGTGAGCCATCGACGGCGCCCTCCGCCAGCTCTCGCCCGCCGCTTCCTCGTGAGAAACGAGGACCCTCTCCTTCCTCCCGTCGATCTCTCTCTCTCTCTCTCTCTCTACCTCTCTCTCTCTCTCTTAGAGGCCACTCTCAGACACACCGATTCCAGGCAGCCTCTGGCGCAAGTGAGCTCACGGAATTCGAGACCAGCTGTGACCCATAGTGCTCGAGATTCAACAGCTTCTTCTCGCGCGAAGAGTCGGACGCGCTGTCATCGGGAGGGATCCCGAGGAGCTTGGAGCTTGCTTGCCTGCCTCACTGTCCATGTTTCCGGCCAGACGAGGCAGCGCCTTCGCAAGTGCTCGAACCGACGTCCGAGGACGGAATTTGGCAGGGCTTGCTATTCGACGAGCGGCGCTTTTTCCTCGTCGTTCGAAGGTCTGGTGTGTAGGAATTGGAGCGCAACGATTGCAGGGTTTTGGCCGCTCGTACGTTCACGGCCCAGAGCTCGATCGTCGGACGTCGGGACGGAAGGATAGGAAGATATGGCGGAGGCGGAGGTAGAGGCAGAGGGCAATCTTTCGCAGGGCATTCTGGAGATTCAAGGTGCCAACGCTGTGTGGCTCGATCCAGTGGCAGTGCTGAATGGAGCTTATTCCCAGTACCAAGTGTCTTACAGTCGATACTATTCTCGTCCTTCTTTCGGAAATCTGCATTCTTCTTCGTCGTCAGCCGGAGCTGCCTGCAGTGAAGGAAACACGCGCAAACGCAAGAGGAAGAAGACCTACACTCCCAACGAGAAGGAGGTTTTGGCTGAACTTCGCCATAAGGTGAGGAAGACCTCGTGAATGTGGCAGGCTCCCGTCACTGTACTTATTCCTTGGATTGAAGTTCTTCTTTGGTCGGCGTTACATCTGCAGATGTGAATGAATTACTGCCACTCGCATATTGTACTCTAGTGGTTTGTGGAGGCATTCGGGCACACTGGATCATCTGACTACTTTACCTGCGCAGGAATCGAGATCCTCCATATCACATGCACATTCTTCATTTCTGGCGACCAGACCGCCATTGAGCTCTTCGAAGGCGACTATGGACAGCCTCAGTGGAAACTGTACAGCTTCACAACAGCTTTCGACTCTTGCGGATGCAAACACCAATACATCAGAAGACGCTGAAGTGGACTTCGTCCGCTTGGCTGAATTGTGGCAAGCCCCTCTCTACGAGCTAAATTATCTGAGAAAGTCTTCACAAGGCGCAGAAAGTGGTAAGTGTCATATGCGCCAGGATGACATATGCTCCACGTACGGTGCTTGCTTTCCTGAGATGATCCTGTTTGCAGATTCAATGCCAAGTCATATTTATTTACTATTCGTACACATATACGAACGCCATTTGGAAACTTTTCCTCTTAGGCTTGTACCTACCGACAAGCTTGGATATAATTATCTCCATCTGTGACTGTTTTATCTTCCTGCGTAAGTAACACCAGAATTTCTGCTCGAGAAATTACTGCCTCTATTTAAATTTCTCGTCTGCATGAGGCTCAGTCCAGAAGACGGAGAGGCTTGAAGTGCAGATCATCTACCATTAACAAAGTATGAAAATTGATCATACTTTGTATGATCCATTTTCAGGTTTCAGCTATTTGCCCGGGTACTTGGACTCGTGAGACTGAAACTGTTGTGTAAATTTCTCTGTCTGCAACTGGAGATGTTAGATGGTGCCAGCATATGGAATCGAGAGCAACTCCGCTTTTTGGTTCGTTCGTGGAGCATGAGGAAGAAGCCTTAGCTGAATGTGCTGGATGCACCTTCATTCTCCCCAGAAATTGCCGTTTCCTCATGGTGCGCCCCTCTTGACAAGCTACTTTGTCCTTCCTTTCTTTCAAACCTGTTCAAGTTGATGCAGAGCTTCACCTAGCGCACACATAGACCATTTCTTTTCTTGCTTGCATTTGAACAAATGGATATGCAGGCTGTTAAATTTATAAAAAATTGATGAATCAAAAGACAGCTTTGCTATTCAATTCTACAAGCTATACAAGCTAACGCGTTTCTTGTATGAATTTGGTCGTGGAATCTGAAGTCAGATGTTTCTCATATTCATCAACTTATTCCAGGTAAGTAGATCAACCTTCTTTGGAAGTTCTGAACTAAGTACCGCCTTTGTTTCAGGTTTTCATACACAGTTGCAAGAACTTTGTAAAGCTCTTGACTGATTTTTTACAGAATAGTCATCATATCGTACGTTCACCTTTACGTAGAAAGTACAGAAATCATTGAGTGACTGAAACCTTGTTCGAATGATGCAGAGCATCCAGATTTTGGATACAATCTCATCTTGATCGACCCTCCGTGGGAAAACAAGAGTGTTCATCGAAAATCATTGTAATGTCTATCTCCCTTGTTTCGCTGAGTAGTAGTTAGATGGTGCATTTCCTTCCGTAGCCACCACAATTTTACCCCTCTTAGTCAAAGTCGGGAATCTAAGCTACAAGTAGTATGTACAGGAGAACACACCTCAGTTTGTGGTGCACAAAGCTTACGTTTCACTCGCTACTACTACTGCTTTCAGCTGTCAAAGGCCATTTCAGACTTATTCAAACAGAAACTCATTAGATTACTAGTCTGAGGTAGGACAGGTAGGACTCCTTATGATCAGGACTTGGATATGGTTCTGATCAGCCTACTTAGGACCTGGATAACTGGGCAATTCGCCGTTCGCTTGGTCAGTGATCAGTCGGCCTTGATCGATCCCCTATGACAGTAAAGATGCTTCTGCTAGTACTCCGTAGTTTTCTCCAACATCTACGCATCCGTGAAGTAGAGCTTCAGGAGACCCTAGAGAAAGAGCGTGAGGGAAGCAAACTCACGTCCTGGTCTTGAGTACCCTAGAGATTTTATTGTCTCTGTAGAGCCAGCATGCTGTTCATTACTTATTCATCCATGAAGGTCTTCGGAATGTTTATACTGTATGGTTTTGTGTCCCCAATAGGTACCCTACTCTACCAAATCGACAACTTTTGTCTCTTCCTATCAAACAGCTTGTGCACAGAGAAGGTACCCTTCTGGCATTATGGCTTACTAACCGAGAGAAGCTGCACCAATTTGTTGAAAAAGAGCTTTTTCCAGCTTGGGGTGTTCAACTCGCTGCTTCCTGGTATTGGCTGAAGGTATGACTCCTACTTTTACCTTGTGTAGATATAGCATCTGTTGTTGCAGTCATGTAGTATTCCACCATTGAATAAGGTGATGCATGATCATGAATGTATAAAGGATGGTCACTCTTCACCTCAAATGCTGAGAGGGTATGTAATTCTCGGGGTTGGAGGTTCAAAGTGAAGGTGATTCTTTAGAAGTTTACCAGGGAACTAGGACTAAGTAGCTCGAACCAGCCAAATGTGGATTGGTGATCAAACTGAATTTACAATGAAACTGGTTTACAGCTAAATGATTCTGGCCAAATGATCAGCCCCTTGGATTTACAACATCACAAACCATACGAGTGCCTACTGCTTGGGTATCTTCCCGGTAATAAGCAGGCGGCCTACTCTGACGAAACTGCTCAAGAGGTAAAAATCGCTGATAATTTCTCTGCTTCTTATTTCAAGTTTTTAGTTGAATTTGAGCAAAACGTCATTGAGGCATTTTTTGTGATCTCTGCAGGATTTGATGAGCATGAGAGAAACTGTTTGTTATAAAGCACCTCCTAACAAGTTCGTGATTATGAGCATTCCCGGAGATCACTCAAGAAAACCACCTCTGGGCTGTATCCTCCTCGCACTTTGAAAACCCACTGCACATTAGATAAGATTGTTAACTTAGCTTGAGAACTCTGAATGTTTGTATGAGGTCCTCCGCACATACTGTGTTACCTTGTTGGGTAAAATTCACTTTATTTCGATGTTTTAGAATTTAAACGGCTCTCGACTGAAAATTGTCTTGACTGTCATTGACCGCGTGCTAAGCATGCCGAATGGTGTTGAATTTTGATGTGCTTTGACAAAGCATTTTGATGATTGTCACGCTCGCGTTCCTTGATTCGCATGTGCAGCTCTTTTATCTCAGTATGCTCCTGGTCCGCATCCCGTTACAGGTCTTGAACTATTTGCAAGAGAACTGACGCCTGGCTGGACTTCTTGGGGCAACGAACCTCTGCGCTTTCAGAATTTACGATACTTTCACAACAGAGGCTGAATCCGGCTGGTTAAGCTGAAAATGTGCATCTATTTCTAGCACTCCTGCTTTACGTGAAGGATTGGAGGTGCTAAAACGGAGTTTTGTTCGATGAGTTCCACTTTTTTACCACGAAGTGATCAGATCATGAACTGGTGCGATTGATTCGGATTATGAGCAACGCCGCCTGGAATATTGGTGGCAGAAGCTGAGAAGGGTTGATAGAGCGTTTTAGCACTGTAGCAATGTAGCACTGAGACGATGGTCTGATCTAGCATCACATAAGCATGTACTTTAAGCGAAAAAAAAACCACCACTATTCTGGTGAGAAGGAGGAGCAAAGCCACAGGATTAACTCGAAGGCTGTTGTAAGTAAAACACCGTATCCCCTACTCCTTCGTATAAGTTCCATACTACTACACCTTTGTGTACTCAAGACAGGCAACACGAGACACGCCTTTTCTGTACTTGAAGAGATACCAAATACATGTACTTGAAGAGATTCCCGTTTGTAGCTATCGTCATAGAAGAATGTTGACTGTAAGGTGCAGTAAACCTGTAAGATGGATTTATGCATATTCTTTTGAATGTGAAAGCTAAATTGTATTTGCAGGTGAGAATGTGGTGTAGCACAAGATGAGCCTCAAGATTTACTCGTTGGTGAGCTTTATTCTAGGGACGCCGAGACGGGTGAACCAAACAGCCAGTGGTTCAGTTTATTCTGAACGACAGTAAGGAAACAGTTCATTTTGAGCTCCAAATAATTAACACGACGAATAGTTAAGTCGGAGACAGTTAACCCTGATACTGTTGGATCAAGCATGCATGTCTTCTCTTCATCTGGCATGCGAAGGAACAACTGGTCTGAGAATCGATTTAATTTCTCGGACTACCTCTAGAGGATGTTATTCTTACACTTTGGATGTACGTGCTACTAGTCTTTGGATACAGCAATACTACATACACCAGTAAGCTTCGAAAGCTTGTGACGAACTGTAAATGATTATGGCGAGACCTTTCATCAAATAACAAATAATGCGTAGAATATTAGCTACACTATTGATCACATTGTACTACCAAGTTTGACACAGTTTTCTGTGAATACTAACATAATGTTGTCTACTCTCATTAATATGTAGAAGGGAAACTCTACAGCAAGAGAAAGATTTACACGATAAACGTTATGGGTCTAGTCACTCTATGTATGTAATGTTGCCTGGATACATCGCAGTCTCTAACCCTCTCCACATCTGATGACACTGAAGACATTCATATTGGTGCTACAAGCAACTGGACTGTGACGAGGGTTATCGCGGTGGCCTCAGCGCTAAATCCCCCCAGAGTCGTGAGACTTGTGAGTCTAAAGTTGAACCTGCATTGGGTAAAATGAAATTAGAAAGGGTAGATGTAAGGAAACTTTTAGGTTCAACTCACTAATTTAAACACCCGATTATATCCCAAATTCCAATTTTGAGAATCACTCCAAGTTCCATACAAACCTTCTGTAGAGAAAAGTATGTCGGCCATCCAATCGCTGACTCGAAGTAATTGGTCAAACTTCTGTATTGATGGCAATCGATCATAGCGTTTCATGGTATTCATAGCGTTTTTTGGGTCAAATCCCGTTATGAACTTTGGAGACAATGTACTCATAAGTAATTTGGAGATGCTTTTTATGTAGATTCAGAGTATTATCTTTGTAATCAAACCACATTAATAATCCGATTAAATATTTCACAATTCACCCCAAAATAATTTAAGTGACATTTTAATTGAACTAAAATGTGTCAAATTTTTGTAAACTGAAAATTTTATTTGCAAAAAAACTGAATTTTTTTTATATGAATAGCTTTTTTAGAAATATTTCAGAAATCAATTGATCCAATTGATTGATCATTTAATTTTTCGAGCACAAAATTGACGATGTCACACAAATAAATAAATAAAATTTCAAATTATCATGACTAAAATAATTATTTTGGGGTGAATTGTGAAATATTTAATCGGATTATGATTATTGAAGAATGAAATACATGTTCTTATTGTTATATTTTGTCAAAGAATTTTGTTTGATAAACTTTTGTAAATTTTATTCATTAATTTTCACAATTAAAATATCAAAATTGTCACAAAAATGAATTGCATTGGATGGCTATTTTTCAATATTATATGCATTTTACTCTCTCTGACATAAAGCATTCAACATTCATCATGGTATTCAACAAACACGTAAATTGAGTGATTGAAATTTTTTAAGTACTTTTTATAAAGATATTATAATAAAAAATTTCAGTTGATACAAATCCTATTTTAGCTACAAGGACTATCAGCTATTACACTTTATAATCACAGTTTCAAAAGCTATATTTTAAACCAGAATCCCACCTACTTATTTTTATTCCTTTGATCTCATGTTTTTTATTATGATCAAAAATAATTTGGAGTCAAGAAAAAATATAGAAAAAAGGAAAAAACTTTCAATTTAAATAAAACTTGTATCACATCATGCATTTTTCAAAGTATATTAGAAATTTTTATAGGATATTATATTTAAATAAAATTCATTTAAAAATATACAAAGAAATTTCATGTCAAACAAATAATTTGATCAGTAAGTTTTATTGATCATTGCAAAAAAACATAAATTTTTGAGCAAATTTTTATGCATGACTTCTACAATTCATGACAGCAATATGATTTTTTCAAACAAAATTTTTATCAGGATATATCATGATATTAAATGATAATAATATTCACAGATATACTATTTTACTTCTCAACATGATACAAATTGAAGAATATTATCTGTATGAGTTTGAACAACAATAACTGAAATGTTGTCTACATGTCACATAATCTGAAATTATAATCCAATGTTAAAAAGTGCAAGTAACAGCATTGACAATTTTGTAGCAAAATTAGTGTAATATGCATAACAATTACGATTTAAATTTGAATCTTGAGATCATGAATAAATTTGAGTCAGATGAGATAAAAATGTGAAGTTTATACAACTCAAATGTATTTGAACGAGCTTCAATTTTTCTTATCTTATTTTATGAATAAGATATAGTATAAAATTATTTTATCCCATGTTTTGTATATATTTAAAATTATATTACTGGGATATTTGATCTATAATAGACTAAAAAGTTGAATTGTATGACAAGACAGAGAGTTTTAGAATTTTATGTCTATCACGATAAATTTTTAGAGTGATGTATATTTATTATTATTTAAAAAAAATTTGAAAATTAATTACATGCATTGTTTGACTTAATGACCTGATTTTATTTAAAGATATTTCGTTCTAAAATTTACTTTAAATTAAATTCGGAAATATGTTATAATTTTGATTTTGATTATTTTTTTTGTTCTTTGCAAAGTTTTCCATACTCATATTTGTCAAAAATCTTTTTTAACTACTTTCAAACATTTTTAAACTTTAAATCGTTATATGCATATTTGAATTAAAAACTTTGACTTTTCAGCAATTTTGGTTTTTTCTGATACATAATTTTTCAGTAGAATCTAATTTTTTTAACATTTTAAAAAATAATTAGAATCCAAATTAGATTTCAACTCATTTTTCGCTTATTAGAAAAAAATATTCTAATGAGCGATTTTTGTTGTTGTAAGGGAAAAAATTTAGAGTAATTTCGTCACAGCCATACAACAAAATCAACATATAACAATACGTGATTGAAGTAAGTGAGTCTTTGTTCATAAAAACACAAAGCTTTAATGAAAAACTTAAGATTTGTGTCGCGATGAGCTTGTGCCAAACCTGTGATATGATAGTAATCGCCCTAGTCTAATTACTTACAGTCAAACTAACCAGATTTAACCAAGACGTTCACTCCTCATATTCACAACTTCTGTGTATTTTAGGGTTGAAAAAAGTCTTTCTTGTATTTTCTTTATTGGAATAGATATTTATTTTATATTGAATTGAACATTACAACTTATACAGAAAGCTATATTTCTTAAATTTAGATTAAATATGTTAGAATCTAGAATTTAGAATTTACTCTATGATATGTAAGCAAATTTACATACAATAAGAGGGAAAAAATAATTATTATATCATTCTCGTTCAAAATATAATTTACATATATTTATATGTTTATATATATACTTAAATCAATAATATACACAAAAGATGTGAGATGGGTACCCAAGAAGTGAGACCACAATCCTTCCAATATACATTTATTATAAATTTCTTCATAGACATGTCTCTCACTTCCATCAATCTTATATGTAAGAAAGTGACTACCATGGGCAAAACAGGAGTAAAAGATGTTCATTTGAGTCTTACAATCATGATCTTACCGTCTTAAAAGATGGATGTGAGAATACTGTATAAGCATAAAATATGATATGTCACTAACCACTAAATGCTATTTTGAAGCATACTAACAAATGCCCAGCCCCACATTACCAAAATGACCTTCTTCGAACCTTCTCAAAAGTAGTACATTCAAAGTACTCGAGTGCCATCGTCCTCGCAGAACCCCTTAAATTCCATACCGTCCCCCTTATTGCAAGCCCTCTGAACACACACCATGGCTTCGACACTTCGGAGCACAAAGATGAGTGCCCCTCCTGTCCCAAAGTATGTAGTACAGGTGGCTAGGGGGATGTGAGAGCTTGAGATAGTATAAAGAGTTCTCCCTTTGAGCAACTCCTATACCTTCGCATCAACCTATCATCACCTTTTGTATTCAAGTACTGTAGGCTCAGAAATTAAATCAGTATCCTCGACACATGTTTTGAATCACAATTCTGCTACATATACCCGGAAGACTGCAAATGTCTTCATTTGTCTTCTTCGCGACCTCTGTTTGCTGTCACTAAGTTATGCGAGAAGAAAGCAGGCATGGAGCGTCACGCTGTTACAGGAAAGATGGAAGGCAAAAAACAATAAAAGCAGCGGGCACGTTCGGCAACAAGAGTAGTCTGAACTTCTTGAAAGAGAAAATAACAGGGTAATTCCCAACCTCAGAGAAACAACATGGTAGGACCCGCAACCAGAAAGATGCCAGTACTGTGGAAAGAGATATATGTTCGAAAACTCTATGCTCTGATTTCCACCAGGAGTCACCTTTTGTTTCAGAGTCATCTGCTCATGTCTAAAACGAATTCCACCTTTTGTCAGATATGTTTAATCTCTGCTTAGTATGTTAACATTTTCAGTTTTGAAATATAGACAGAAAGGATAATTTTATTATCAATAATGCATACATTCGTGGGACTGCAGGGTACACTTGAAGCGAAGTACGGTGAGACAAGAGTAATTTCACAGAGTAACCCTAAACCTTTTGTTTCAGAGTCATCTGCTCATATCTAAAACAATTTCCACCTTTTGTCAGATATGTTTAATCTCTGCTCAGTATGTTTACATTTTCAGTTTTGAAATATAGACAGAAAGGATAATTTTCTATCAATAATGCATACACTCGTGGAACTGCAGGGTACACTTGAAGCGAAGTGCGGTGAGACAAGAGTAATTTCACAGTAGTGCAGACTCTTGTACTTGATAAAAGGACACTAACCCACACTTCACATTCGTCTGTTGTTTTGACAGAAAACATGCAGTTTTTTCCCATCACTTTCAGTCCATAAATAAAAGTGTGAACATGCTGTGCAGAAAAAGTTGTTCTTCGCGACAAAACTACACCCAACCTTATTTACTTTTCCTACTATGGGCACTCATTTCCCAAAACAGGATAAAAAGACAAGAGCCAAGTTCATAGTAACGGCAAAGTCATTCTTCTGTGACGAACTGCGACAGAATTTGAGAAGCTTAGATTTGTTGGTTGGTCTCACAATATGAGGTGTAAAGGACGACGCTCATCAAGATTTAAAAGATTTACATGCATATCGGCCAAAGTTCCTCTAGTTTTCAGCTCGCTGCAACCCTATCCTTCCTGCTTCGACAGGACCTTAGCTTAGCTCCATCAAAGCAAGCCTGTAAAATCTGACCTTCCTAATCTTATGAAGCGGAGATTGGCTATTGATGTCCCAACTAAATTCTTCGACTGATAATTTCTGGAAACTGGAAATCTTCCTTCGGAAATCTCCGAGATAGAATCAACCTTGTCACTGGAGCCTCAATTTACTCAAAAAAGCAAACCGAGGTCCAAATGGCATGAGACTGACTATACAATAGAGGGAATAAAAAGACTAAAAAATTTACAACGTTCCGGCAGGATCAGTTCGATGCAAACTGCATTCTATGGTCTTTGCGTGGTTGAAAATTGAGAGGGGAGTATCTAACAAGTGAAATTTCCCGTAATGAAGGGGACCGCTCCATGGCCCCATCATATTGATGTGAGTGAATCCTAAGAGTACTTGGCATACAAGTCTTTCACCTCTTCCACGTCGTCGTAACTACCCAAAAAGATGGGTGACCGCTCGTGGATTTTTGTCGGCACGAGCTCAAGAGCCTAAGCAACAGAGACAAGGAAATTACGTACGTATGAGTAACATTGTCCCGGAAATGATAGCATTGAGATTGTTAAAATTCGAGTAAAACAAAGCAGAACACTGTGGCAGAAAAATCTACTTTAAGCGGAACATTCAAATCTTCGCTTCGTTGAGCAGCAGCAATTGATATCAAAGTGTGGCAAGGTTTATGCTGGCGTATATTCAATCAAATTTGAGTAAAAGGAAGTGTATGCAGCGGAATGGTCTTCTTTAAGAGCAACATCAAGACTGTGGACAAGCATCATCACAAAAGCAAATTAAGAACGGTGGTAGAATGACATACGCGCTGTTTGCCAGTGAATGCTTGTCCTCCTGCCTGTTCGACGAGGAAAGACATGGGGAAGACCTCGTACAAAACTCTGAACCACATAAAAAAACGGCCATATATCATGATGAAAGCGCTGCGTTGTAAAAGAAAGAAGGTGATCATCCAGATTTTATCACATTTTAGATCTATTTCTAAATGCAGTGCTCTTTTGGTGCATAATTTCGAATGAAACAACGGTGTGCATGTAGGGCTTGACCCAATGTTCCTCACGTAGCCTGATTATAAAGGCCAGCTTCAAAACTTTACCGGAGCTTTCCATTGGGGCTCTTCTTATCGGCGGGGTACAAAAAGATTCCTCCATATAAGAGGGTACGGTGAACATCTGCCACCATACTGCATATGTAAGAGACGTTCGTCAGTACATGCTTGGACCGATAGAAACGTCACCATCTATCAAGCACAAGAGAGCAGAACTGCACCGATCAAGCTTATCGCACACTGCGTGCCTATCGCTTGACACCTGCAGCATCCTTCGTTAAAGACATTCGTTTTCTGCTCTGTTGGTCGATCAGCTGGCTCATAACCTTGAGTGAATTCTAAAAACCTAAGCACTACACTGGACGAACACATACTCAATGTAGAGGAGTAGATTCGTCCATAAGTACCTTCCAATGTATCGTAGGGATTTAGGAGACGAACCGTCTGTTGGGAACTTTGCCTTCTCAACATACCTGCATGGACGTCCTTTGTCAGTACCAGCAAATAGATTGTATGAGCATTTAACTTCGTTCTTCCCTCTATCCTTCACGGGCATCGGAGTCCACTACACAGCTCAACTGGATCTGTGCACTGCGAAAAAGGGATACAACTCTTGCCACGTACTTGGTTGTCGGCTCGTCCCAGTTCTTAGCATTTCCTTCGTTGACAGAGTAGATCTTGCCCTTCTTGGGGATCTACAATTCAGTTTCCAGTTAAAAAGGTGAGACATGAAAGCAGAGGTCCCGGAGGCATAAAATATCAACCGTAGAGAAGATAAGAAGTTAGGTGATAAGATTGATTCCTCCTATTGGTACTTACTCTGATCAGAGGATGGGTCAAGATGAACTCTCCGAGGGAGGGGTCCAAGGTAAAACCGTTAACTCCCTCACCGGTGCTCAGCACCAACTGGATGTCCACAAACCACAGCAATTAGCAGATATCAATCTTGTTCTCGGTCACTAGTCATCATGGCTCAATAGATGAAATGTATCAGCGTGTTCACAACTTTGTTTAAAGTAAAAATTCCCGTAAAGATAATTGTGATCATTCGAAATCAATCCATCCTGCCACGAAAATCTGAACCCACCAGCTTACCGTGCAAGAACTACCGTACATACAGTAGCCAGCAGCCACCATGGCTGTTCCTGGTTTCAGTACATCTTCGACTGTACCAGCTTGGCCTTCCTCGAGCATGTAAATGCCAAAGATCTGCGAAAATGATTGAAGAGAACCAACCACAGCTCAATACTAGTCCTGTCTGGAGAGAAACGACAGGCTAAAATAAAGTCCATGGATATAACTAACGAGAGTAACTAAGGATAGGAACTTTAGGAGGGATCGTAGAGTGTAGTAAAGGTGGACAAATTCTACGTAATTCAACAAAAAATCACAAGTCGATCTCGACCAACAATTCCTGTACTTAACGCGAAAACGTCGAACGCATGTCTACTTGTAATTCAACAGGCTAAAAGCGCAGAACTTCAAGGCGCTGGAAAGAGACAGCTTCTGTGGAATACTAACAGTTCCAATGGAGACACCGCAATCGATGTTGGAAGAACCATCGAGGGGGTCGAAAACCACGCAGTACCTGCAAACCATATTTCAAGACCAGCTTCCCAAATGAGTGTTGAAGATAAATTGTCTGCAATGGAGTGTGGGACAACCGCTGACGTAAAAGCAAGTGATAATCCGTGCATTTATGCGAAACATACCTCCCGCGCAATTTCTCGGGAACCACGATGGCGTCTTCGTCCTCTTCAGAAACCAAGATGTTCTGTAACACAAGTACCCCAATTTCTCGGTTGGTGCACGTGACAGTTTGTTTCATATTCATCAAGAATGGACCTCAATCATTAAACACAACTGAGCCCCCATTCCTATCTCACATTCGCCGAAATAAACATGCTATGATGAACAAAATTTTACATCCTCTTTGTCTTCTCGTCAACTCCGAGCTGCGGCAAGTTCGAAATGCGCTAACAGACTAAAAGTCAGATTCGACCACAATCTACATTGTAATGTCTCCACTCCCCTGGACAGCTTATGGTTTTGTTGGTCATGTAAAAAGAAGCACTAGCTGCTTATGATCTCACGGATAATACACTACTGCTCCCATTTTGACAGTCTGCGGCTCACGGCCGACGCCCGCCTTGTTTCAGACCAGCTCTTTTCAAGAAGTCCTCACTACGCAAGTGAACACAGGCAATGCACGACTTGATTGACTGGAGAAATAGGAGATTCTCACGGTTCGGCCGCTGGAGGTAAGTGCTTTGACAAAGACTTCGTTCGAAAGGACGTCGAGCTTCTTTTGCTCTTCACCCTGAGACAAAGGACACGAATCAGAAAAATTTCGACGAAGGCCTTCGATTGCCAACTAATCCTCGGTAATGTGAAGGACCAGGTTTCTGTCAGAACATTCGAATCAAACAGTCCATGTAACCGTAGCCGGACATACAGATGGCGAAGCACACCACTAAACAGACCAGCGATGCTCGAGGTATTGCGTCCTTTTCCTTTTCATCCAACCTCTGTAATAATCTCTTGGAATCATGATCATGACCTCTAAAACTTTCACAGAGAACTCTCCGATTTTGATAAACCACAATGCTATTATCTTACCTGCACGTTGGTTTCTCCAGCGAGTCCGATAAGCTTTGCAAGACCAGCCTGAAAGTGCACCAGAAAAGTCACAATGAATCAAAATGGTGTGGACATGCGGAGCCAGCAAGGGCATAGGTCCTATTCGCAATCAACAGTCCAAGAATTTGAGGACCCCGTCCTGGAGTGCAACAGGGGTCCAAAATGTGCAATACAAGAGAATTCATGCTATCCTCCGGAACACTCACAAACATGATCAAGGTACTGTCGACGCTCTACGGCAAAGTGAAGGAGAGGGTTTAGTATTTGGACGAGATGAGATGAGACCAGGCAACCGAGTCAACGTCCTTGGGCCTTGCAAAGGGCGTGCTAGGAAACACGGCGCAAATCTGCTCTATAACCAGAGTGGTGGTCAATTTGGTGTGCCGAGAATGGCACACACAAGGGAACAGGCTGTGCATTCGGCTCGTGGGTGAACAAGACTTGCTGCGATCCTGCACAAAGGATGGCAAAAAATACATGCCTCGACAAAAGGCCCGTCATGAGGGTGACAATTGACCGACCTTATTCACAGCAGAGCACACAAACTTGCAGCCCAGCACGATATGGTTGAGCAGAATGGTGAGATCTCCCCGAGCTTCGGGGTATTTGCTCTGCTCGTTCAGAACGTGGCGGGTCAAGGTCATCAAGTCCGTACGCATTGCATCCGCCGCGTGATCCATGTCGACGAGCTCTTTTTCTCGAGAGGTGATGAGCGCGACAGAAACTGGCTGCTTTGCTGCTGCTGCTGATGCTCCTCACCGAATTCCAGCGCCAATTCGAGCTCTGCGTTCTGCGTCAGCAACGAAAGTGGGTCGCGATATATAAGAGCAGGCAGCTTCCGGGGATCCGCGAAATCCTCAGCCTTCTAACCACTGCGAGCGACGCTTTCTAAATTCCAGAATAACACGACGGACGACAGCGGAAAATTCCGCACGCAATTATCCAGCGCACCAGAATAATAATAATCGGAGCAGGAGCAGGTGCTAGTTGGTATCGCAACAGCTGCACGTACCCGACCAGACAGACCGGACCGCCTCGACCCAGCCCAGCCCGGAGATCTGTCAAAGGCCCTCCCTCCCTTCTGGATCGACGGAGTGCCCGCTGGGTCGGTCCGCTTATTCACGCGACGCGAGCTCTCGGACATCTCGATTTGCCGGTTGTATTGTAACGAGGAGCGCTGCGAGGGAGGGTGGGTCCCACGCAGTGAATCCATGGGAGCACCCCGGGCGGTCCGCACCTTCTTCCACCGCAACACGTGGCGCGGTCTCGAGCCTCTGCTCGTGCTTGCTGCTTCGTGAGTGACGACCGTCAGGCCCGAGCCTTCGAGATCGGGGCCCGAGCCTGCCGGGGGGGAGGGCGTGGGGAGGGGGATTCATGTCAGTCCCGTCTATTCTTCTCGGCCCATTTTCTCGTTCCTTTCTCAGTCACTTGGCATCCTTCCAGAGTTCAGCCTAATGTCATTCCGCATCCATTTTCTCAGCAGGGTTTAGTTCCAGCTTCAACAGCTGTTGTTGACTTCACCGAGAAAACTAATTACGATTGCGAAGATTATTGAAAAAGGTCATCCTCAACGCTTCGACAAAGGCATTCGTGTCTGATACATGATTTTTGTGAAGGTCAGTTACTCCGAGTTACACATAGTCTAACTCGGATCCAGGGTAATCGATGAAGATAAATCGAGGGATAAGGCATAGAATACAAGCACTGAAGAGATGGTGGCATCAGGAGGTCCAGAAAGGTTTGTTGAGCTGCATATGCGTACATGAGAATCTCTTGCTCGATGACCGAGCTGACCATGTTCTCAAGAATGCGAAACGACACTGCTTGTGACGTGACGCTCGATCCTGCTTAAGCTGAGCTGCTACTATTTAATTCATCCTTTGGTTTGAGCAGAGGGTACCGAATTCTACGTGGACTCGATTCCTTCCGTTTATTGTTCGATGCTCGGCCTGCTGACAAAAGAGCTTGTGATCTTCGCCGATCATTGAGAACTGACGAGCCAGATTGACAACCTTACAGACAAACAGATCGGTGAATGCAAGAATCGGTGGAAAGAAACCGTGTGCTCATGAGAGTCGGAAGGGAGAGTGAGCGAGAGAGCGAGCCATGACGAACTTCTGTTGAACCTTCTCATGACCATGACCAGTCAACCCTGCTGCAGCAGCAGCTGATGAAATCTGGTGGACAAAAATTAAAAAGGAATAATTGTTGTTTCCGACTTTGTCACTTCAGAGTACCTCAAAGACACTCTTCGAACGGAAACCCCCAGCGGCACTAGGCTGCCATCACAGCAGCGTAGATACAAGGCATACAAGTCGTGGTCCCATGTATGGATTCCCTCACGAAGCCACTCTCCACACGCACTCAAAAATGGGAATCGAAGCAGAGGCCGAAGTGGGACTTTCCCTCGGACAGTTTCTGGGCCGACCAGTCGCAGAGCTTGCGTATGATTGAGCTGACTCGCAGTCCCAGAATGCAGATCCTCCTTTACAACAAAAAGACAATGAGCCGTCGGCGTCGTAACTCGGGAAGCAGAACTGACCTGTCAACAAGTCAAATCACCGAGCCACAGTAACTTGGACTGAACTGGGTCAACCGCCGGACCGAGCCTGCGCCTGAGCCTGTAGTAGCCTGTACAGAAGTACCGCAGTGCGAGGTACGGAGTCAGGTTCGAACTCTCTGAAATGCTGCTGACCTCACGCCGCGTTAGACACGCTCACCAGCTCTGCTGCCTGACTGACTGACTGACTGACTGCGGGTGAGGTCAAACACGGGCCTCATGTAACCGGCGTTCTGCTGCCCGCCTGAGATATTCGGCATTCGACATGCGACCTGCTGAACCGGTCGCTCGGCGATGTCCGATGGATGTTGGAACGAGGGATTCCTGGCACGGGAAGATATCCCGGCGAGATCCAATGACATATTCGCACGTGGTGGGCTATGACGGTACAGAGGCTTGTGGCCACACCTCCTAGAGCAACGGGAGCTCGGGGCCCTGGGTAAGGTGTGAGTGAAGGGGAGACAACCCAACTGCTTTGCATTTGCATAAAGCGCGATCGTTAACGCAACGGTCCATCGGAGGAAGGAGATAACCATTTGTGTTCCTTCCCCTCCATCGCCCCGTGCACTTTTGCTCCCTCTCTCCTCGTGAGAATTATCATCATCATCATCGTTTTCATCTCCGATCTTAAGAGCGGGGCCACAATCTCAAGATGATAAGGCGGGCTGGCGGGCTGGCTGCCTGGAATGGAGGAAGGGATCCTGGAAGAGGAGCTTGAGTCGAACGATGAGATCGAGGAGGTACTATTTGCCCAGACTGTTTCGTGTTCCTCTGCTTTTCCGAAGGTTGCTATCCACTCTGCGAGGCAGTCAAGGGGCCGTCGGGTTGTCGCAGCTTTGCTTCAGGGCGACTTCTATGTGGCTGGGAGACAGAGTGGCCAGATGTGGGGAAGGGGAAGAAGATAACTCCTCTGCTGTCCTCCGCGTGCTTTGGATCGTGCAAGTGATACACCCGGAATCCGTTGACGTGCACAGCCCTGAGTATGTATCAAACTCACGCTGCTGTGCCCTCACTACGACTTCATGCTGATTTTTCACTAGTGAAGGCGTTCATAGAGCTTCTTGTGTTGACTTCTAAGTGAACATAAGTAACAATCTGAGAATCCAACTCACAGCATTTGCAGTGTAACATACCGGAAATTATTTTCAAAATTACAAAATTTAATTTTGGTTTTGATTGTTATTATTTTCTTTTTTTTTACATCGTATTTAAGGTTTCAAAATCATTCTTTCTTGTATTAAAAATATTTACTAGAATAAGTATCGAAATTCATATATATAAATATATATATTTATGAACACATACATATACAAAATATTTGAACATGATATGTACTTTGTTAGACTAAACCTAATTTAAAACCATGATTATGTTTCATAGTATATCTTTTATTGATAATCTATAGCGTTAAATAATCGAATGAATTTCTCTGCTAGCTATATTTTCACTATCATATACAAAAAATGTATATGAGAGTTCAGCCAAAACTAATTAAATGAAAATTTCGTCTAATTCAAATAAGTAATTAACATACTTGCATTATTATATATCTTAATTCAAATCAATTCTACATTGTCAAATATCCCATGACAAAAAAACTCTGATATATCCATACAAAGAATTGTAGCCAATTTTTTTTTGTTTGCATAAATCAATTATTATATTATATATTGTATCAAATATGTGTGCGACAAGGTAATTAAATCATATTAAAAAAGCTCAGTTTGAAAGAAATGTTGAGATTACTTTGTCATTCAAATTTGAAATATAAATCTTTTCTTATATATATTTTTATAGCCATAATTCTTGTTTATTTTTTATTTTCGAATAAAAATTAAATTCAAATTTTAAATTTAAATTTAAATTTAATGAAATATAAATCTCATTCTAAAATTTGGTTAAGGTATTAAGTTCAGAATTTATTAATGATATAATAACGATAAAAATTAATGACTTATCTTGAAACAAAATTTAACATACTCACAAATTATATTTTGATGTCTATTTTTAAGGTTAGTTTTTCAATAAAATTTATTTGAAATTCGGTTTTAAAAACATTTCGTTGCTTATTATTTCTATCATTTATTCAACTTAAAATTAATATAACTAGAAAACCTATAATGAATATAAAAGATTTCAAATGATTTCAAAATGTTATGATTTATTTGCAAAAGTTTAATATTTGAAATTTTCTTGTAATAACTTTCAATCCATTTTAAATAAAATTTTGAATTAAAAAATAAATATATCATTAAAAAAAATTGTTATTATCAATTCATTTTCATACAAACATGATACCGTACAAATCTAATTTGTTGATGACAAATATAATATGTATATCTCATACATATAATCAATATGATTAAAAAATATACATAATAATAAAAGAAAATAATAATTATTTTTTAACCATTTTTATTAACAATCAATTTTTTATTTGAATATTTAAATTTTTTTTATTTTAAATTTTTTATTTATATTTCTATGTTAAAATACAATCATATATCACATATGATTATGAATTATTGGATATTTGTTTTAAGATCACATTTATGTGAAATGGATTGAATCTTTTATTGCACACGAATTGCAATATGTGTACAAATATGTATGTCTTGAATGAATAGTTTAAAAAAATCTAATGCATTAAGAGATAATGATACAACTCATTGAATACCTACTTAAGAATGTGTGGCAATTGTAGTATGTGAGCCACTACTGATGATCATTTTTTATTTTACATTGGATGCACCAACAATAATCGCCATCCTATGTACTCCAACATTAAAATATCCTAGCAAATCTTATGTAATGAAAATCTTTGTGGTCCAAACTATCTACTCGAGCATCAACATCTCCCAACAAATATTTTGTAATGAAAGACTTTATCCGCTATAAATCACACTACGCATTTCAATCCATTACATAAAGTGACTCGGCAATCAAATTAATGTAGTAGAATCTGTCTAAATTAATACTATCTAAATTGATAACCTGTGATAATTAATATGTGAGATTTTGTCCCAAGTCCGGCCCCACAAATATGTTATTAAACCTCCAAAAGTTAATATTTAATACTCCACAAGCAATACCAAAATTTTTTAATATTGATAGATAGAGATTTGACACAAACTTTCTACATCTGGGCAACTAAACCTTGGAGAAATACTCCGAGATTGGCTTCTGAACGAGCTTAATAGACCTCATAATGCTAATCTTGTCCTTGACTATTTGCATCGCAGCAAGCATCTCACGATCGACGATGTCTTGCTACAACAAACTTGCACACTTCAGTGCTTCAGTTGACTTCACGGAAATAGAATCTTGACTTTCGTCGGCCTCCATTGATGGAGAGAACCTGCACAATTTCCTCTTGAGTGGGAGCATAAGCAACGTTGAGCTCAGCAGTATAGTCGATGAAATTGCAAACATCCATTGGGTTCTGACATCAAAGCTCTTGAACATGCTCTTTGAAATCCTTGATCACCTCTAGATCAATAAGCAGCTCTTCCGGAACCATGGTCACGTCACCATCAATGGTGCAAATTTGGCAATGGCAAAAGCAGTTGCGAATTGTTCTTGGCTTCACATCCATGCTCCAAGCTACAACATCAATGTGCATAGTCTTGAGGACGTGAATCCTTTCGGGATCTGCTATTTTATCTTGAAGGTGATGAATGATTGAAACGGCGCTGATACTAAGCCTTGAGTCTTACTATATATCGATAGATTAAGTTGGAAAATAGCAAATTTGGGCAAAAATTTTGATCCGCATAAACTTGTACGCTTGCCTACGCAAACTTATAAATTTACTTAAACCCTGATTGTAACATGTGATTGCACGGTTGATAATTCAAGATAATTTTGAAGAAATTCTTCAGACTCGACAGATTTCTCAAATCTGTCGAGTTTGAAATGTGAAAGTTGTGGATGACGGAATTCAAGTCTTGCTCTTTGGACCTTCATCGTGATACTCAAACTGCTCGCTTGCCTGCGGAACTGGCTTTTGGCATGTTGGCTTTGTCGGTCTTGCGTCTACGCACTCCGCGTTTGAGCTTGCTTGCTTGCTCGCATTGATACTTTCTAATGTTGTTATGATTTTTCGTCAAAAACTTTTAATTCTGTCACTCAAATGGATATCTTTATCAGGTTGTTAATATGAAGTTTGATCCACAAGCATATGATGATTTTTTTTGCTAAAAAATCTATTTCAAAATGATATCATTAAATTTACAATGGTTTTCACTATATAAATTTTATTTATCGAAGTATTCTATCCAACAAAAATGTTGGATTAAAGCATTCTAGAGTAGGTTTGCAAAGTTTTCCATGAATTTTACACATTGATAACATTAATAGTCAACAACAAAACTAAAATCACCTCTTTGAACTTTCAAAAACTGAATTTTATAGTAAGTGTAAATTGATATAAAAAAAATTTCAAAACATTTTTAACTTTTAATTTTCAAATATAATGATGTTTAAATGAAATTTTTTATGAATATATGTAAGTTAGATGAATTTCATAAAAATTTTTGCATTATAATAAATTTGTATTAAATCTATCAAATAGTATGTAGATTTATATGATAACTTATTAAGATTTAAGATAATTTTTTCTATTTTAAAAATATTATTTTAATTATGTATATAATAATATATTTTCAAAATTTTAAGATTTTTTTGCATTTATTTGTTGTGAATGATATTTTCTATTTTTTCATACAATATTATATAGTATTTAATTACTATCAATTATTTATCATGTTTTTATTGTAATACTCAAATAATTTATTATGAGTATTTTTTATCATAATAAAATAATTTATATCATTGATTATAATCATAAAATTTAATATATACATATATATAATTAAATATTTTGTACATTTTGCAAATTGTTTGTTAAAGATGTTGTTCATTATTGCATAGAGTAAATAAGTAAACATTGTTATTATATTATATAATCGAGTGTAAATAAAACCATATTTTTCATTGAAGTATTAAATAATAATATTTTTTAAAGAAATGATTGGTCATAAATTTGGAGAATTTGCTTTTACACGGAAATTCTTTTCCTTGGGTAAGAGAGTTTTGCCCTCGAATAGATTAAGTATGTATATGTTATATTTTAGTAGTTTTATATAAATGTTTAACTTTTATAAAAATACTAAAAATTACATAAATATTTTTTACTTTGAGCATAATATTTATATGTTTTGTACATTGTCTTATAAGTTATATTAATAGTTTTTTTCCTCATTTTCATCGGATTGAATAGAAATTTTTACAATTTCACATTCCCTTTCATTTCATAAGTTTCTGTTCATAAAGTTTTACACACATGTTTAGACAAACTCAATTTTTTCCACTTTCCTCAAAATTCATGCCTATCATCTTTTCATAACGTCCATTCATAAGATCGAAGTACCATATTCTCTCGATTAAATAAAAGTTTTATATATAATTACAAAAATCCCTATACATTGAGAACTTCTCATCAGTACAAATATCTCTTTCTCTCGCGGCCAACATTGGAATATCTCGCCCAAGATAGGACTAACAGATATGTAAACTAATAAATTTGCACACTTCCCTGCCCACTAAACTACACATTAAAACATATCTTCCATATTCCCACAGTTTCACAGGCAAGAAACAGCTTCGTCTGTCAGCATGCTCCGTCCGCGCGATAATATCCGTATTATTCTCGCTATGAAGTGAAGAAGATAGTCTCAGTCATTATATCCGAAAACCATCTATGATGCTCTGGAGTCAAATTCAGTTGTTGGCGCCGTTTCAGATGTTGGCAGTCCTGGGAATTTGCACGAAAAACTCAGGTCAGAAATTGGCTTTATGTAGAGACATAATCGAATATTTTAACACTAGCATACCATTGAAAGTTGTACGCCCAATATCTGAAAATTCGCAAGACCAAGTTCGATGTGAGATAGTATTACAGTTTACGATATGAGATTAGAACAAAATTCCTTCTTCCACAAGTTTAAGAAAATAATCTGCACAAATCACTATGTATTGAAACTGTATGATAAGAGGGGTGATTTAGTACAGTTCATTATTGTTTAATGTAAATCCACAAGTGGTTAAGTACTTTCTTCTCTGTTTCAAAGTGAAAGTCATATCACTACACTTGAGCGAACAAAATGAACTGTGGCTGCTAATTTGTTCTTTTACTCTTTTAGCTTGTAAGCGGTAGGAGGCACAAACCGAGCGTACCAACATACTGTACAAGACCAGTCGTCTTCTACTCTACTGTCAGACACAGATCAAGCAAGTACACCGGAAGAATGATCTAATCTCTCAGGTGAAGTTTCTTCTTCCAGCCATATCCACAAGCAAAAACGATACAACAATCATTGACAAAACACCAGATCCAAGGAGAAGAACAAATCGTAACGACTTCCTAGTTTGTTCTACTAATCAACAGTATTGTACATTAGTAGTCACGTTCGGGAATGCTTCTATCGGGTCGGAAAGTGCAGTACCTGAAGAGGGCGCACTGTCAAGACTAGCTGCAGGTGTGGTGGTCGGAGTATCCGTGGGCTGCTTCTTACCCCACAGAGAAGAAACAGAGTCGGTAATTCTGCTAACAATTCCGGGACTCTGTGCGGGAGCTCCAGTCGACTCGTCTGTGACTGCGGCACTCGGGACGTCCGAGGATGTACCCAAAGCTGGGGTGGTAGTAGGCGACGAGGCACCACCGGTAGAAGCTTTACTTGCTCCGAATCCCAGACTGGATTTGATAGTTCCCGGAAGATTACTCACCGTCTCTGTCACTTTTTGCGAGAGAGCCTTGTCGTCGTCGCCGGGGTGCGTGGAGGACAGGAGAGAGTCTTTGGCTCCGTAGATCGCTCCCGTGAACTTTTGGGTGTAAGTTTGCTTGGCGGGGTCGGTAGTGGCAGCAGCTTCTTTGTTTTGATGGATCGAGTCCATGGTAGTGTCGGCCGCTTCGTTCGTCTTGCCCACCACAGCGTCCTTGGCTCCCAACACCGTCTCATATGCCTTCTCCGTAATGGGCTTCTCATCCGTGGACGATGACGTGGTAGTGGTGGATGGTGACTTGGCGGCTACCGTGTCCTTAGCAAGACCTACTTTCTCGCCTACCCACTGACCCCACGACTTGGCAGGCTCGGCGGATTTCTCTCCTCTCAGAAGACCCTCGGGATCGGGCTTTTGATGCTCGGTTGTCAGATCGTTAGCTGAGGGATCGCCAGCTTTGCTCAGAATGTCATCGGTCGCCCTTCCCTCGCTTGGCTTCTCCTCCGAGAAGGAATCCCTATCAATTTTGCTTCCCAATCCTCCGTCCAGGGAACTGTCTTCGCCGAACTTTTCTGAGATCCGAGAGAGAAAGACGATGATCAGCTTTCGATAAAACTGCTCTGCTGCACCAAGTGCTCCATCGCATTTTTGGCAGCAAAACTAAGTTTCAAAAGTATCAAAAGTAAGAGGTCGAGAGGGAGCATTTCAGCACGTCGCAAACTTACCACTTGGCAATGTGGAGTCTGACTGGACATTCATTTGAGATGAGGGCTTGTCGCTCGTAGACAGCCCCTGGAACTGCTCCGAAAGGGCTGAGTCGTCTTGCCCATGTGACTTCGGAAACTCTGCAGGAGTTCTCTGGTTAAAATCTTCAGCTTCAAGCCCCCCGCTTTTATCAGACGACCTTCCGAATAGGCTGTCATCATCTGCAAACCATCACAGTATAGGGACTCAGATGTTAGTGATTTAGAATCTAACTCGATGCAAAGATTGAAGAACGTCCTCTACTCAGATCTACCAAGAGATATACACTCCATAAAAGACATACTCCGTTCAAGGGCTATACCATTTATTGTAGCTGGCACTTGCCCAGCGTCCAACTTCCGTTCGTATTCAGGTTGAGTCATTCCAGAGAACTGCGAAGAAGATCACGAAGAGAAACGTTTAGCTGAAATTCTGCTACATATCTGCAAAGAGAAACTCCTCTATTTTGAAATTTACTTCAATGACTTCAGGCGCAGGTACAAGCAAAGAAATTCAGTCCAATCAGCCACATGTACATAAGTACATTGTAAGCAGCTTTGAAGCATGTACCGCATTGTTAGTTGGAGCGTCAGCTTCATCATCGCTACTGCTGCTACTGCTGCTATCATCCACCACGTCGCCTCCTGACCCAGGCTTCAGTTTGTTCTTCAACTTGTTCTTCTTCGTCTTCGTCTTGTCCTTGAGCTTTCCAAACATCGACTTCCTCTCTTCGGAGACTTGAGGTTGCTCGGCTGTCAGAAACAAGCAGGATGTAATCAGATCACGTTACAACTTGACTACAACCTCATACTATCACGGCATTGAATCAGTAAATCCCAGCAGAAGGGTGTGGGCCTCATAGGAACGATCAGATATGCATAACGGACTTCATGTCCTGATCTGATCTGATCTGAATTCAGAGGACGGGTCATTCCATGCGCCTGCTTATCATCGTACATTATGTGAAGCATAATGTCACACATATCCTGCTAGCAAGTTTTCGACTGGTTACCAAAGCAATGCAGACCGATCTCCTGAGAGTTTTGTGAGGAATGACGACCTACATGTGCTCATGGGGGTATCCTCCGGCTGCTGCACGAAATCCGGGGAGGTAAAAGTGGTAGCCTGAGCCATTCTGATGTTCCCAGTTACTCGTTCAAAACTTGTGACACTCCTCGGCTTCAAGCAACCATGAAAGGCTCGAATGCAAACTCCTCTCGCTGTCTGTAATATGATCTCCCTCTGAACAGCTCAAAGTTTCGATGGTAGGAAAAACCTGGGGAAATTGTCTATCAACCCTCGGTGACGAAATTCAAGTCGGGATGAAAGTGATGGAGTCCTGCTGCACAAGCTCGATAATAGGCTACGCAAAGTCGGAAGGGAGTGAGAGACCAGTACCTATGTGAGAGCTCTGAGTTCGGCGGGAGTTCTTATTGCAAAATTCTGCTGTTAGAAGACATAAGACACGTCAGATCGACAGATGTGCAAGTGATAGGTGTCGCTCGCAGAAGCCGCCACACAATCGCCGTGGACCTCATCTCGCGTGCCACGTACCAACCTCATTTCTGTAAAACAACTTCCGTTGTACATGCAATCAATAAGCCGGTCTACTTGGTTGCCACTCATTGGCTCGACGGAATCCGATGAAAGGTGGGTTCCAGTGTGGACTTCGCCCGAGCTACCTTTCACAGTGCTCTCTGTACGTTCGAGCTTGTTACTTCGGTCCCACTCATTCTATTTTGACAAAAGAACGATTCGAATCGACGAAGAAAAAGGTGGACGAGTAAAATATCCCTGTATGAAACCTGGTGGGTAACAGCAATATTGACCAACATATATCATCAAAAATATATTTCATCGTTACTTATAATTTTCAATCTATATCAGGTGATATATAGATTGCATCAGTCTAAGAGAAATCAAGTAACTATCAAGATTATGACATTTTCTAATTTTAATGTTAACAATATCAAAGCCCAACTGTGACATGTTTTATTGATGTGTAATCCAATGCTTACTTTACATTTTTTAGTAAAATATACCAATCCTAGTGAACAATTTTAGTAATCTGACATGATTAATCAATGAAATGTTACTAATTTCTCGCCAAAATGTCAAAGTTTTAGTATAAGTTTTCACATAATTCAAATACTGGATGATCTATATGCACAACTATATTTGGAGATTTTGAATGTCAGCCTCCCACTTGAGTAATTTAATAATTTAATCAAGAGTGCTTTTTTGATACATGATAATAGAACAACTCACTAGTTATGATAAAACTATTTTATAATACACATTTGATACGACAAGTCAAAATCAAATGTGAAGAGTTTATACTTCTTCCTTTATACTAACAACAATTTTTCATGACACACATGGCTTTGACGGTTTGTTAAACACAAATAAGTTTATCTCCACTAGTCCAAAATAAATATAAAAATGTCATTTTCGTTTGCATGCATGTCCATAATTACAATAAAAACCACCTAGTCTATCTAGCATGAAATAAACATATTAAGCTCTTCATCAAATTCCCACTACAAGGATTATGTTGACATTAATCCCATCTTAATTTTGAGTACACAAAAATTAAGAATGTGAAATTTTACCTCACTTCTTGAAAACCATGCAAAAAAACCCGTGAGCTTGATATAGAGATATTGTAGAAGATAGTACATCACTTGTTAATTTCGTAAAAATATAGATTTGTATATAAGTTTGAATTGGATTGCACCAAAAGATTTTCGGTAGATAATTTATTCTTTAGATGTTATTTTCATTTTTCATTTTGTGTTCAATTAGTGGAGATGAATTTGTTTGATTTTGTATGGAATATCAAGCTAGATAAAAGATGTTTTTTTTTCTAATATTTGACAGAAAGCATGTATTTTTTGTAATTTACATTTTTCTTTATGGTGAATTTCAGCCATCATTGTATTAATAAAACTTGTGTACAAACTTGCTTTGTCCATGCATAGTCACTAGATAGTACATAATGACATCATCTATTTACTTTACAATCTTGAGGTTTGCTTTGTATTCATTCTCCCATTTGCATGTTTTTTAGAATTAAAATGCTATATAAGATTCCATACACATAAATATTTTACTCGTTACTCATAAGGAATGTTACGGCTATCTACTGGTGCTCATCCCACAAAAGCAATAATGAATGTACGTGAAGGTTTGTACGCCTTGTAATCAACTTAGATTAAGATACGATATATATGGTTTGGCAAGATCAGGTTGTTGTTGAGGACTTTGTGTTGAATAGTTGCATATGATAGTGAGTTAGATAGGATGAATTCCTATATTCATTAATGTAAGAGAGATGTACCTATAATCGTGAATTCCCTTAACTAAATTGATATGCTTAGAATTTAATTATCTTTATCCTGGATTTGAATGAACTATATATAATCAGATTGATATTATTATCTAAGTTATAGTTGTAACTTTTCCACGTAGGGTGTTCCGTCCCATCAAACGTCGACACCATTGACAACAATAAACATGTTGATGGAGACTTCTCAATGTGGTAACGTACATAAATGAGGGAAACCAAAAGTACATGGTGAAGAATAGATCCCTACAATTTCAAGTAGTACTACATAGAACTACTATGATTGCTCCCAATATCTCTACATAGTGGCAGATTGGACGAGTCACACTAGTTAGATCCGTAACGGTAGTTCAGGTAGCGTAAGTGACATGCTTAACATCTAAACTATTGCTCCACTAGAGACACTTCGACAATAGCACACTTTGAGGAAATGTTAATTCTACCATTATCATAGGGATTTATTAAAAGTTACGACTAGGGCCACACCCGTTTTTGCTACGGTCACACCCGCCCGCTAATTACCATGCACATGTCCGCTTTTGCTACAACCCAAACACAATTTTGCCACTAAGTTCAACCGTCAAACTCATAATGATGCAACTTTCGGGTTTAAAACGGACGCAACCGTGGCACTCAAACCTGCAGGGCACATTCATGGGGTGTGCCCGTAGCAAAAGCGAGTGTGGCCCAAGTCGTACACTTTCTTAAAACGTGGAATTCTGTTTTCGCACAACATTGTTGAATGGCTTATACTATCAAAATGCAGGAGGCATGCTATTCTACTGCGCCAAAGATACATCTATTTTGTTACTACTCTTGGTGCTCAAATCAGTAAGATGTAGAGGAAAACAGCTTTACTCTGTATTATTAAACCTAAGCATTGGATATCGTGCCACTAATCCTTGACACCAGCTAAATTCAACTATACTAAAGATGGACGGACTTATAATACAAGGAGATCGTGATCCGTTTTGGAATGAAGCTCCGAAAAGTATGTCATCAGAAGAATCTCATGGCTTCAGACAAGGGAGCTATGGCAGCCCAATGGATGCCCATGATGTCTATCTAGAGTCAACGATTCTAATTATGAAACTCGTAGATAGAGATGGAAGGATTCGCGCCCGGAATCTTCTCTGCTTATCTTTAGCCTTGATGAGAAGAGGGGACACTATAACAACAAAAGCCCCATTGTCTGAAGTATCCGAAACTTTTGGCTGTGAAGTTGGTATGAGATCCGTAGAAGTGTTCACCTTCTCTCGAAGTTAGTACCATTCGAGAACTTGTCTAGACTTGGCATGTTTTGTTTGGCACTCTGGAAGAATATTGACTTTTCTGATCGAGGTTTTTTCCCACAGACGGCCAAATAGGTTGTATATAGAGCGGAAAGGGACGTAAGGTGCAGCAGCAAAGAAGAACGAAGGACCAGATGGCAGACAATCACGCAAAATGGTTGTCTCTACCATCAATAAGAATCTTCCGTGAAAAATTGTAAAGATAATTTTATATTAACTGTATACTACATATTGCAATTTCTCCAGAATACGAAAAGCCTTATGTGAATCTATTCATTTCTTCTAGACTTCAAGCTGATGGCGTTTGTTGATTTCTGTCAAGAAAACAAAGCTTCATACAAGAACATTTTTATAGTCCAACGTCTGCTTGACGCTGTGATTGGACATGGCCATGTACTGGAGAATATGTTCGAACATTCTCGCTGGTGTAGTAACGACTAAGTATACTTCTCAATATTAATATTCCAACGTGAGAGAAGTATGAAAGTTGTCAATAGTTGTTGATAAGTAAATTTTTTAATGATTAGTTTGATAATTTCTACCATCAGTTTGCATATGTTTGAACGGATGAAGAAGATTAGGTAAGAGGTACAAGACAAAAAATTTGTTTGAGTCAATATTATTTTAGAAATGAGGATATTATTTTCATTGTATTGGTAAGATTTTTTTTATCAAATAGTTTATACCATTTATCATATATTTAAGAATATATTTATTTCAACATTTTCATTTTACAAATTGTGGCGTATGCGGAGATTTTCAACTAATCCAACAAAATTAGCAGGGCAAGCATATTTACGATTACCTATTTACCATGTAAATTAAATGCATTATTTTTTATAGATAATGCTTTTCATACGACTTTTATTTAAGGCAAAACGCTATTGCAGTTAGCTGACATTCTTTCCTGTTTGACATATAATCTAAGAGCAATTTTGTTTAGTAGAGTTTTACTACAAGCAAAATGTTCTCAGTTTTTACAATTTTCCTAAATTGATACAAGTTTGGAATTTTCATACATACATTTAATATCATACATATCGGAACGAAAATAAACTTGCATATATCTTTTACGTAATAACTTCGAAGAGGATTGCAATGAAAACGGCCAGCTTATGTACTGGACAATGGTCTAATTCTATCCTACTGCGTAATGACATATTAGACACAATCAGCTATCAACACTTTTATCTACAATCTTTTTGCAAAAGTTCTTATTTTTAACGAACTCCTCTTCCTCCCAGTAGGCTAAGACAGAATTTACATGTCTTACACAAATTCAGCTTGAAGAACAGTTCTTCACATACGGTCGATCGCATATTCAATGAAAATCAGATATCTCATGGCTGATAAGTAGCTTATGCAGCAGGAGAGGAACGGGGTGAAGTCACCCCACTGATGTCAGTAACCATCGGAGTTGTATCAGTGATTGACCGACGTCCTGACCCTGCACATGAACCGATTAGCAAATGTTACAAACTCTTTCCCACCTTCTCGTGCACAACATATTCACATGTCAACCACTTCTTCTGTCTATCGTGCTCAACAAAGACCCCTTGTTAATATCTCTCTCTCTCTTCTAAATCAATTTTGAAAATTCCATTTACCTGATGGCGACAGAGTGGGGCTGGGCTCCTCCCCACCGGAGGTCGGCTTTTTAGCACCGCCACCGAACAGCGACGATACAACCCCCGTAACACGATTCATGATCCCTGGGGAGGCAGCACTGTCTGGTGTATCTGCAGCAGGATTGAGGTTAGCCGAGGGACTGTCGGAAACAGGAATGTTCAACTCGGATGCGCCCTGCCAATTTCTGGTAGCGGTGGAGGGGTTTGACGTGGTAGAAGTTGTACTGCCACCAAATCCCAGTTTCTCCGACAAGAGCGCTGGGAGATTGCTGATCGACTCTGTAACGGAATCTGAAAGTGCCTTATCATCTTCGTTTGGTGTCAGAGTGGAGACTGTCGTCTCCTTCGCTTTGTACATAGTGTCGGCTGCTTTCTGTGAAACGGGCGTCGAGTCAGATGACAAAGCTTGGTCAGCTTGTCCAAGTTTGCTGGCTGCAACATTTTTGGCACTGATGGCGGTGTCGGCTGCGTTTCCAGTCATCTGTTCACCAGGCGATTTCGTTACCGATCCTTCATATCCCAATTTGCTTGCCACAGTCTCCTTAAATCCAACACCTGCTTCTGTGAGCTTTTCTGTCAACGGCTTCTGATTTGTATCAGTTGCGGTAGAAGCGGACAGATTTCGGTCTCCAGCTGCTGTACCACCCATCCCTAGGCTACTAGCGATCGAATTTTTCCACCCAACTGCAGTTTCTCCAGCCCTCTGAGTGAGAGGCTTTTGTTCGGTGGCAGAAACACCAAATTCATCAGCTGGTGCTGCTGAAGAAGAGAAGAAGCTGTTAGATTGTGGCTGAGATGTGGTACTCGAATCAGTTTTTGATGTTTGCCCACCAAGGCTGCCCACGGCCGTTTCCTTTGCTCCGACAACTGCGTCGTACGCTTTCTGTGCCATTGTAGGCTCGCCACTTCCTTGCTGTACATTTTCCTTAGTCTGTGACACTTTATCTGCTGCAGCATCTTTAGTACCGACGACTGCATCGTATGCTTTCTGAGCCATAGTAGGTTCTGTTGACGTCGTCGTTGTAGGTGAAGACCATGAGCTGGAATTATCTGCTGGCACATCGTCGTAACTTTTGTACACACCAAGTTTTTGCCCAACTCCAACCGCTGCCCCTGTTAAACCGTCGTAAGCACGCTGATGGATGGGTTTCTGACTATCATAATCAGAAGAAGTAGTGTCGGAAGTTGACTCCTGTTCGTCTGTCAACAATGGAGGACAGACAGCTATATTGTCTGCAGAAGTATCTTTCGTTCCCAACAAAGTATCTGATATCTGCACAATTTTCAAGTTTATGGATTAGATTCTATTTCGTCCCTTTCCCTGACGATACAGACAGACGTGAACGAGTGTGTTTGGATCTAAAAGGAAAAGCTGGGCACTGAATCGTATACTTGACAGATTGCTTACATTGTTCGTGGCTGAAAAGCCTACGTCTTGGTTGAAACTGCTGCGGCTCGGCTCCTCGGCTTCGTCGAACGGGTTGAACTTTCGGTTCCTAGACTGTGACTCCGTCGATAGAGGAGCTAATATACCGTCAGCAGAATTTTCATCTCTGTAGACAGATCTGTTAGAACTATCATGTCGAGAGAATTCTCCAGAAGAAAAGGACTGATCTCCTTCTTTGCTAATGTTACTTCCAAAGGCTCTCGAGTCTGAGAGGATAGGCGCAATGCCAGCTGAAGAACCTCCTGCATATAACACACACACATGCATGTAAGATGAGTATTTACAGTCAACTGCTGAGTGTAACTGAAGTCTGTATACCCAATAAATAACATCCAAATTTCACGAGAGCTCATGTGTATTTACCATGGGCAGCCGGGGTTTCTTCCATGAGCGACTGAGAATTCCCCATTCCAAGAGTGGGAGCCATGGCAGATTCAGGATCCTTGTTGAAGTAATTATATTCAGTGGGAACAGCCTGCTCAACCCCAGCAGGTCCAGAGCTTTTAAACTGTGAAAGGGGAATGCTGTCAGATATTTTGGTTGGAGCTGACGGATCTTCGGTAGCGAGACGTCCCTTATCAGTAGGACTATCAAGTAGACCAAATTTCCTATCTTCCTGTGCATAACCTGTTCCAAGACCCGTACCGCTTTGGCTTGATTGTGTACCATTGAAGTCAAAATCTGCAGAAAAATGCTCATTGTATCAGATCGCAAATAAATCTTCGAAGAATCTGAACATAAATGGGCACTTTTTATGAATGCCAACAAACTGCCTCTTAATATTGTAATTTCTTACCTCTAGAAGCAGCTGCACTCGTCTTATCATCGTCATAGTTTACGGCATTGCTGAGAGGCGTGTATCCAAGCTGAATCAAGATCAGAAAGATGTCAGCATGATTTCCAACATAAGTCTTAGGTGAAAAAGTAACGCCTTGCGTACCATCAAATTCAACGTGTGCATCATGATACCTCTTGTGATTCTTCTTCTTCATCAGATGAAGACGCACTGCTGCTATCATCGGCGTGTGCTCCCATTGTTGGGTTCGTGGTCGCTGTTCCATCTTCATTGTGTCCAGGTTTCAACTTGGATTTCAACTTCTTGGCCTTGGCCTTCACCTTTCCAATAAGAGAAGTCTTCTTCTTGTCGGAACCGGTGTAATCGGGAGATGAGGTATCCATGTGCGCTGCGGACTCGGCAGTCGTCATTCCTGTTGTTCTCTCTCCTAGCGATCCCAGTCATCATCCAGAAGACAATGTTAGCCTCGTCTTCCGCATTCTTTGCAAACCCTGATCTTTGGTCGTTGAAAGTAATAAAATGACCAGAAGATAATCTCATGTCATGACTTCAGTAATCTCACCATCCTGCATGAAAATTCAAAGCTAAAAAATAAAATCCTGGCATCCACGGTTCGGTCATGAAACTGTAAAAGATTTTAGACCGAAAGGGTCTGAGCTTCGGCCTATGGATGTAGACAAGAATCTAGAGAACCATACTTGGATCAAGCAAATGCAAGTCGCTGCCGTGGGTGAAGCAACTGAACTGGACTCCAACCCAAGTGAAGGAGCAGATGCGAAAGGAAGATGAAATCTGACACTGCAATTGCGAAGTGTATCTGAGTTCAAAGGAGCGAACCTGTTGACAATGGGACGGGCGTGAGTTCGTTCGAATCTTTTGTAGTCCCGTAAATGTGTGACATCTTCTTCCAGGGCACCAGTATGTCGCTTTGAAGCTTCGCCGTGTCTATGAATTTACTGCTAACTTGCAGCCTATGTGAGCTATAAATCCAGCTCCTAGGACCCAAAGAGAGTCCAACCGATCTACGTGTAAGCTGCTCAAAGCCTCCAACCTCAGCGAGCGACACTCGTCACGCCGTGACAGCTTGACTGCAGGATTACAGCGATCGTGCAAGCTCCCGTTTCTGGCAAGTCTGAGTCACTGCATTCATGAACTGTACGAGCAACGAGATAGCAGCGCTACGAGCAGCCAAGTGTGGCTAGTACGACGAGACTCTGATCGTCCTGTTCTCACTTACTCAGTAGAGGGCAGCATGGGACAACGAGGACAGTCGACAATGGCTGTGAACGGCGCAGCTCTGATTCATAAGCACTGCGAGCGTAACAGCGATTCCACGAATCAGTGGCGGCCGGGTGGCTGCCTGCACACCTGTCCAGCTCCCGGACGTCCCCGCTCCATGCAAGGTTGACCATTTTGTTACCACGTGTCACCGCTTCGGTCTCAGTCTGGAGTGGGGTACACTCCTGCTTGGAGAAAAAGGCCTCCCACTACATTCCCTTCCTTTAACTTCAACGCCGTGGCTGACCTGGTTTGCCCTGAGGGATCGGCCACATAGGATTGGATTGTGTCGGTGAAGGGAGGTGGTGTAGCATGGCACCGGTAAAAAGCTCCACAATCGCCAGCCGTAGACCGGCTGAACCCGGACACTGCCTCGGTTTGGAGCCTTCCTTTTGTCCTTCTTCCAACAAACCGTCTCCATTGCCTGCATGTCCCGGTGGCCGCCGACTCCTGTAGCGGTTTGATGACTGCCCCGTTCTATTCGTCGGCGTTCGTCGAACGGATGTCTCGAACATTGTTCCTGTTCGAGATCCCGCACGGCTTTATCTCGTTTCCTAACTGCGTGGCAAATGAAAGCAGTAGCTGCTCGATTCGTAAACTGAACCGCGTTTTGTGCTTTGCGTTGAATTGCTTCCTGGTGAGATAAGAGTACCGAATTCCGTTGTGAAAATGAGTGAGTCATAGATAGCGAGTCCCAAGGCGCGTCAGCATTTATGTTGGCATAAATATTTGCACTTTCCACTATCTTCGGCTCCTCCGTGGCAAATTTGCAGTCATGAAAGATGACAATTATCTGTGAATCACTGTTCAAGTTTAAAGTAAACAGTTCACGAGTGAAAATATGAGAGCTTAAACCTCCCTGCTCTCAAAACGGTCATATCCTGTTTAGAATGATCGTGTTAAGAATTTAGATTATATCTTAGAAGAAGCAGTCATAGTAGTCTAGCAAGAAGGATGGGGAGATCCCGTCCTTTCTGCCAGTACCCTATAGATTCAAATAAGAAACATGTTTACGTTTATCTAAAATACAGGTTTTTTTATAAATTAAGTAATTGTACAGTATATCATCAAATTACATCATTCTCTATCATAACTAACACTATCTACATGAAAATGTGAAATTTTTTCTATCGTAGACTATAAATGAATGTATTGTGAAATGTTCATATTGTATAGTATTAGTAAAATCTGTTGCTTATTCTCACAAACGCGTCACAGTCTGTTTTCATAATTCTAATTATGGAGTAACAAAAAATTGCGTATAACTATTTAATTGGATGGCATCATTCCACGATATATTCATCTCAAAAGATGGATAATTAATCACTCTCATATTATGTCATGATTTACATTTGTTTCCAGTTTATTTGGAAGTAATTATACAACCATAATGAACAATAAGCAGATTTAAGAAGGATTATGCATTAAGAGAATTGGGTATCACTTGTCATGATTTACCTCATGTTTGAAGATACAATCAGCGCAAATGGTCAACAAAGAAGTAGTTTTAAACCTCTACATACTCAATTTAAATAAAAAAGTGTAAAATTTCATATGCAAGTTCCATACGTATGATGAACAAGAAGAAATTGAAGTGATAATCATATTATGAAGAAGTTGGACAAGTAAAATGTACAAATTTCCTTGAGTATGACAAAATGGTGCAGGAAGCAGCTCAAGCCTACAAATAGTTCTTTTTCAAGGATTACACCATACAAACATCTAGATTGTGTTTGTTGTGATTAGATTGTGCTAGTAAATTTAGTAAACATAGTGATAGTAAATGATAATGATGATAATCGTGTAATTCTTTTATTTATTTGTATAATTTATTGATGCAATATTATGTATTAAGACATAATTTATAACTTATTCACTCATTTTTTACTTTTTTGTGTTTCATGTGTTACACTTTTCAAATTAAATAATTAATTTATAACTAACAAACACTCAATTTATAATGTAATGTTAACCAACACATTTATTCTATATCTATGAAACAGGTTGATCTATTGATATGATAAATATAGGTATATTATTATAAATTGACTTTATATCAATTTTGAATAAATTATATTTTAGGTATAATAAAATAAAAATGATTATAGTTTTATTGAATTTAATTGCACAAACAATGATTTGTTCATGCATTTCAATAACAATAAAATTTTTTCTATTTTTTTTCTTCAAAGAAAATTTGCTAAATTTTTATGAAAATAGCTTGTCAAATATCAATTTAAATAATTAAAAAATATTATAGATAATAAAAATATTTTGAAACTTATTATTCATAAAAAAAATTCACTGTGATAGTTACAATTATCTCATCAAATGTATAAAATTTATAATTTAAAGATAACTTGATGAAAAAGAAGTAATTGAGTATAATATCATAGACTTTTAAATTTTACCATAGCTAGTTTGAGATAAAGTATGAAAATTTGTTTAAAGTATAATTTAAATCATGTCAAAACATTTTTTCCAAATGATTAATAAATATTACATGTACCATGCTAATGTACTAGAAAAAAATCAATTTTAAATTTTATATGATGTTGATCTAACACGCAAATATGAACAAAAGCAACCAAAATAGTAAAAGATATGTACACGTTATTTTTTGAGAGCATCAATAAACTTGAAAAGCATATATTTTAGAATCATATTCTAAAATGGTGTATAAATTTGAATTCATAATTCCTCATACAATTTAACTTGACTAGTTTCATTATAATATTTACATATAACTATGAAAATTAATGAAATAGAAGACAAAAAATTTTAACAAAAAAAATTAGTGAAGTTGAAAAAAGCTGAAGCTACAATCATGATACAAGTGGAACGTATTCAATACTTGCAAAAAAATTATCGCAATAATTTATTTTAAATATAAAAATTTAATCAAATGTATTGGATAAATTATGTTCAAGAATTGCTAAAATTTGATTAGATATTTTGATTGATTGTATTATCTTCAAATTTTAACTTAGTGGCAATTTGAGTTTTCAAAAGTTTCAAGGCTTTTAATGACAAATACTGAGTTTAAATTATGTTTACAAAAGATTATAGAAGATCAATGTATAAATGATATGTTAACATGCAGTTTTTTTTATGAATATTATTGTTATATATCAAAATAAGTCCAAATAAAGTTATTTCATATAATGATGATCATGAATTACAAGATAAATATTTAATTATTATAATTAAAAGAATAATTTACTTTAATCATTTTATAAGATGATAATTATTATTCTAATGAATTTTTTTTATCAATGAAGAGTTTGAAATCCAATTTTTTTGAAATATAAATTAAATTTGTTTCAAGTGATGAGTGGAGAAATTTTGTGATAAAATGATTGGACATGTACATTTAGATGAAACTTCAAAATTCTAGAATCATGATAAGCTATCAAAAATAAAATAAATAAGTGAAAATAAAAATTATTTCAAAAATTATAGATAGATCATAGATTTGAAATTATTTTTCATCAAAATGAACCCTCTACTTTAGTTAGCAATTGCATCTCACTCATTACAGTTTTATACTTCTTATGTAGTTGAATCAACATTTCTACATATATACTCGCACACCAAAGAAATAGTCTTTAAACTCATACCATGCATGATAAAAAAAGAAAGAACAAATTGAATACAAACTACAGCATAAATCATATTGAGTTGTTTGAAGACTTTGGCTCCACAATCATTATATGTTTTGACCTATTCTCATGATTATAGAGAATGAGAGATTTTTCATACTTTCAAAAGTAACCAGTCAAAATTTCCACTCATGATGTTATTGCGGAAATGGTCGATCAATCTGGATTTAATGATGAATAAAAATTCACTCTCGCACATATGAACAGAGCTTTGAAAAAGAAAAATTGAACTCGCAAGTTATTCTTATTGGAATACAAAACATTATATGAATACGATATATTCTTAATAAAAATGTGTACAAATTTTTTTTACTATGAAATAATCAGATCATATTTATGAAGCTTTCACAAGTTATGAAATATGAATTACATTTAACATTTTGAAACATTGTGATATTAAGACTAGATGATTGCATTGATCTTGAAAAAAATAGAACCTCGTTTTCATTGAGAAGCTTAGACCCCTATAAAAAAAAAACTTAAATATTATATTGGTATGGAGCGTCACATGCAATAGTTTGTTGATAACAAGTGATGTTTGATAATAAATAGATGTAGATTCTAAAATTTAACGTAATTAATGTCAAAAATAGTATCTTCATCATCAAGTTGTGTTATGGTCACACCAAAGAGTAATATATGAACTGCAAAGAACATTCCTCACAACAAAATACTATTGAATTTCACACTAAATTTGATTTTAACAAACATGAGTTTCATAAATATTCAATTACTGCAACTATACAATTCACAACAAAATACTATTGAATTTCACACTATATTTGATTTTAACAAACATGAGTTTCATAAATATTCAATAACTGCAACTATACAATGGAATGTATCACTATGAATGTAAAAGATGTTTAATGAAGATGCAGATGTGTTGAATGCTGTAGAGAGTTCAGAATGCCAAGGATCCTGGAGCAAAACTGGCTGAAATTATCATTTTGAAGCATCGAGTTTTGAAAAAATCTTCTGCAAACATGAATTGGTCATGAACGTGACTCTTCAAATATGGCATTGGTCGGTGCTCTTGCCAAATTTGTCATAAATAATATTTGCGGAATGCCATAAATAATCATGAAAGTCTGAGTCAACGAATTCTCGAGTCGGCGGTTGCTAGTATTTGTTGTTCACGAACAAACAACAACAATTCTTCAGCGGTGAAAAAAATGACCATCACTTAAAAACTGTTGTTGTTCTTTCTTTTCCGCCATCATTTAAATGACGCTCACAAACTTAAATACAGATTGAAAATTTTCATGCGGGAATCGTCGTCGGATGTCTT